GCCGCATCGATGGCGGCGGTTGGTGCTCGCACAATGAAGACAGATGGGCAGTCCTCATACCCCGTCATAGTAGGAAGTAACTTCCAATTCGACTTTCGCCAACATCCAACTCTTGGTGTCGTGGGGGCATTCTCCTCCTTCGGAAATCCGATCCAACGTGTATTCACCAAATCTGTCCCACTTCTCGACACACTTCGAGACTTATATACGACATGTGATCATGCGGAGGGCCGCCTGGACTTTTCAGCTCACTGTACGATAGAGTTGAAATCCGAAATATTGTTTATTTGGAAGAAACTGGACACAGTGCGATTCACCCGGTCACCGTTTATTCTAGATGATTTCAAATTATTTGACTATGCTTGGGGAAGTAGTCGCACTGGCTACAAGTTATTCAGTCCACGGGAGTTTAAACATGATTTCACCTGGCTGCTGATTGCGGGCAGTCCAACCTTGGTTCCTTCCATATTTCCGGTAACAAAGGCCGTACCAGGACTGGACGCAATCACATTACTTCCGCTTTACAACAGATTCTGGTCATCGCACGGTCTTAGAATTGAAGAGGAAAGAGCGGAAATCGACTCGACAGAACTATTCGCCATGCTGAAGAGAGAAAACCTGGAGCTGGAGCTCCTAGTGAATGATGTGCCACTTTCAGAAGCTGGCCTCCTGGATGTATCAGGCGTAACAGATCTGCTTGCAGGTCATGAGTGCACACCCGTATACAGGGCTTCCAGATTTCTGTCCAAATTAGCCAAATACCGCCGGGATGCCAAGAACAGTGGGCAAAGAAAGATTTTCATCTTGTCACCAGTCTTACAAGCATGTGTACAGTTGCTCTACGGCTGTCCAGATTTCCGTACATCATTTGATGCTATGGGAATATACGGGAGGCAATTCTTGCGAGCACTCTTTCTTCTCCAACTTCAAGAGTTAGATCGTTGGCTGCCGAAGAATGAGCCCATGTCTACGGTTGTTCAACGCCAAACGATGAAGCTCAACGGCATAGTGACCATACTTCTCGAGGTGGAAAAAGCTATTGCACATAACGAGTTTGGGGTTGAAGGACGGTCCTGGCATGAATTTGATCGGCCTGATCTCCCAGAAATGATCGTAGGTCAGCACTTCAGGATGATGCAGACTCTTGGCAGATTTATACTGGAGTTCCAAAATGCTTTGAATGTAGCACAAAGCCTTGACAGCACGGAGACGGCCACTGAGAGTGCGGTCCGTCGATATAAGGCGCCTCTTGCTTGTATATTGAGGAGTGTTTCAAGTGAAGAGCTATCATACCCGGAACTCGCATGTTATACGGTTGCAATGCTGGAACAAATGATGAATCAGTGGCTGCCCAGGGGATCTATGGAACAGCAAGATTCTGAACATCATGACCATGAGCAGGACAATATTGAGGAAGCGGTCGATACCGTCATTGTGTGGAGAGCACTTCTGATGTACCTACTGTTTTCTACTACGCCGCTGGACAGCAGTGACATGATAGATTCGGGGGTTTGGCTTCATACTATCCCGATACTGTAGGTGTCGGCGAGAATGTTAACGCAACTTCTTTGCACCACAGATGATCATATATAAGTGTGTTCCCAGTAATCGTGTAGATACTTCACTATTTCCAGTTCACGCTTCGATCATAGTCATATGTTTCCCGCTAAAACGCTCTCCAATATGACACGTCTGGCAGCACCGGGCTTTATTGGGCTCTTGGTGAACCGTCCGGCAGTCTCTTGCAACAATTGTTACAGAGGCCAATTGCTGTCCTGCTGACGTTACTTACGTAGCTCACCCATCATACCACAAGTAGATTTCCGATCCGGCTCTTTCCCACTCCTTGTAACCCACTAGCTGCTTAGGCAGAGAATGAGTCTTTCACGAATGCTGCATCGTTGCATTCGTTACGAGCTACGGCAATATATATTCACACCTCAACTCGCCTGAGATACGACTATTATTTTTTGCATTAAACGAATCTTCATCTATACAGAAGTCAACGGCCGTGCTATTTCATTCAGACCGTTCGTTTCAGCCAATTGTCGCACAATCAACGTCATTTTGAGGCATAACTCCCTACTTGTAGTCCTCACCTTTCACTGTACAATGTTGGAGGCCTGACAAGCAGACAGATTTGTCCGTGGTCTCAGTAAATGCATATAGCGTCAAGCTATAAGCCAGCCTCTGGCCGAGAAATGCAACCCTGCTCAGTGCAATTTTATGTCATCGCGCTCCGCCCTATTTGACATCATCCGTCCACGTACCACTAATATCTAGCACCAGTGCTATTAGCCCGATCCCTACGATCCTTCTCAACAGGGCCGGCCATAGAACTGTTTGATTTCCTTCGCAAGGACGAAGCCTTCAGCCGCCTCGCTCCTTGGTAGGCGCGGTCGAGCTCCGTCTCGATCACACAGCGAATCCTCAATGCACAAACAGCTGGCCACACAATCCTCTCGCCCTTGAGAATCCAGTAGTCGAGCATCTCCCGACTTGGAGTCTCTAGAAGCCTCACAAAGTCACCGGCCGTGACTTCTGGAACTAATGTCATGCTAACGGTCATCATTAGTACTCGAACTTCAACTTATATAAGCTTCGTGGCAGTAAACATACCTGGCACTAGGGATTCTCTCATCCACGAGAAACCTCCGGATCCCTACTGGCAGGAGTTGCAGCGTGTCCAGCTGTCCTAACCTATGCCTCACCTCCATGCCCACCATTCTTGCCAAGAAAGCCGTGATCGACATGGTCTTATTCCGTGTTTCTAGGAAAGACGGCCCATGCATGTCTGACTGCAAGAATGGTATCAGGTAAGGTCTGGCCTGACTCACTATGAAGTGATTGACATTGAAAAGCTCTGCAATACGCATGAGGGGCGAGTCCCGGTCTGAATAAGATGCATGAGTCCAAGGTCGGAGCTCTATGCTGCTCGCTGGAGCCCAGGGCACGATGGTGCCGTGGGCATCTTTGCACAGTAGTGTGGTCTCGCGGTGTCCATATAATGATGGCGTGGAGGCATTTGAAGCCACTGCTGCTGTCCAAATCAACTTGAAGAGTGTGTCAGTCGTGAAATGAGGCTTATAAGGGGGGTGTCGTGACTTACAACGTTCGGAGCGGTCAGATAATTCAACAATGTCGGGATCCCACCGCGTCCTTCGGTCGCAACCGTGATATTAAGAACTCGCTTGCACTTGTTGTACGCCTCCTCAAATGTCATATCTCCCACATTGGCACGTACACACTCCTCAAGTACTTTGACGTCCAGGAAATAGCCCTCCTTCCAGAATCTCTTCACCCGTCGAAGAAGTGTTTCCCATCTCGTCTTGAAAGTCTGTGTTTGTGCTCTTTCTCCGCTTTCAAACTTGCCTGTTTTTTCGAAGGCCGATAAATCAATGCCTTCACCGCTTAGAACCGCTGGTAGTTCCTCTTCTGTATGAATCGCTACAAGTGCTGCAACCAGCGCCCCTGTTGCTGTGCCAGTAATCACACGCGGCAGAAGTCCTCGCAGAAAAAGAGCCTTCGCAACTCCAAGATGACAGAGACCAAAGATCGCTCCTCCTTGAAGTACCAGGCTACTGCGCCCGTATGCCTGCCGGGTATCGTGGACAAAGTCAAGCTTCATCTGCGTTGGCATTGGCTCGTCATGGCTGAAGTGCACTCCAGGCCCTCCACTCGTCCTAGTCACGGTCTTGGTATCAGTGTTGGCCTCATTGCTTCGTGCAAGTGGCGGTGAGAACTGATATCCGCCGCTCTCAATTGTCCGGCCATCTACCACTGGCAGACTCGCAATATCCTCAATCGCCTCGGCCACCTGAGTGATATACTCTTCAATCAAGTATTTGGTGCCCGCAAAACTCCGGTTATACAGCTTTGGCGCAGTGATATTGCCCAAGTTACGCACAAGTCCAGAGCGTAGCAAGTTCAGTAGCAGCGCGGTATCGCCGGCCTCTCGGGCAGCTGCCAGTGTATCAAGCCGCTCAGTGATCAGCCTATAGTCGTAGTACCGCGAGGGGGGGCTGTAGCGCCATAGATCGAGTCCTAGCAGGTTGTCGAGGTGCAGGGCGGCCTCCTCCCAGTCCTCGTACGTCTGCGAGTTTCGCAGTAGGTCGAGCCATAGCTCAACAGGAGACTTGCGCCGGTACCATTGTTGTAGTTTCTGTAAAGTTTTAGGGTGGTCAGTTCAATTGCCCGTCATCTGAGGCTTCTCGTGTGTTGAGATGCTGCATTTGTTGTGTCCGCTCAGACATAACAACATACATGCCCTGGATGTTAGGAATGCGACTGACCTGGCGCCAGAAGACAAAGATCTCCACGATGATCCGCCAGACACCTACGATCACCGACATCACCGTCCCCATAGTTGCTTGCCGGCGGAGGCGGAAACCATTTGAGAGGTTTCAAGTCGTTGTAGATTCGCAGCAGAGGGCCTCCATGTTGGGGACGGAATAAGAGAAGGTGTCTCGAGGTATGCGGTCAGCTGGACATTGGGTCATTTAGTGCCTCGTGCCAGTGGGAACACAAGCTACGATTGTATATCGCCGAGCCGTGATTAGAGCTCCAACACCCCTGTAAGCCGGCCCTTTAAGCATGTGAAAGCTCCCCTCGGCGCGGCTAATGCAACCCCGCCATCTTATCTGAGCTTGCTGCCAAGCTTGTTTTTTTGCATCCTACCTGAGATCACGCATCACGTAAGATGGCAGTATCAATAATATCCTAGGTAGCTGTTGTAAGGTTGGAAATTGTTCGCATACCGCTTGCATATATTCTATCTAAATGTGCGTCTTTCAGACGCCGCTGCTGGCTCTGCGACCACCCGGAAAATTCGAGTTCCAGTTTTCCCCTTTTTGAATCCTTCATGCCGAAAGACAACCACAGATGCTCACGAAGACCGGTACTCCTTACAGTAGATTTATACATAGTCACCCTTGGCCAGTGTTTAGACCATATAAGTGCAGACATGCCACGCTACGCCACAGCAGAGATCAACCAAGGAGCTACTCCTCTTCATCATCGTCGATGATGTGACGACGACCTCGTCGTCCATGATCTGCGTGTGACGCTGCAGGCGCATCCACATCGTCGTCCAGGTCTGCCTCTGCATCGGCATCGGCATCCTCAGCGTCAGCAGTCTTCTGTCGCTTCGCACGAGGGCGCTCATCCTCCTCATCGTCATCCAGAAGCTCTTCATCATCGTCCTCTTCCTCCATATCCTCTTCTTCATCCGAAGGAGCAATGAAGTCATCTCCCATGTCATACTCATCCTGGCGGCGAGCGCCTTGTGGTAAGTCGTCATCCGAGTCATATTCTGGGCGACGCCTCTTCTGTCGTGGCCCACTTGCACCGCCCTTCTTGCGCGCCCCTGGAGCGCGCCGCCCGCCTTCAAGATCGCCAATTGACAAGGCGCCCCGACTGTATCCGCCGCGCGCTCCATCCAACTGTCGCGCAGTCGCATTTTCGCGTCGTCGTTGGGCACGAGTGCGTTCCTTCTCTGCGAGCTCAGCTTGCTTCTTTTGCAGCTCCGGATCTTGCGTAGTTGTGATGATCATTTCAGCGCCGGTCGCCCTTGTGTTTCTCGCCGCGGCCATCTTCTCCATCAATCGCGTCAGAGCCTCATCTTCCTGATTCTCGTTGGGACGGACAGTGTATTGGCGTGTGACGTGGCCAACGGTAAGGAGAGAGTTACTAGCTAGATGGGCAGCCGCGACGTAATAATGCGAATCCTTATTCTCGCTATATTGCTTGTTACTGGCTGGAGCCATGTCCTTTCCTTGTAAATCGTAATGGTCGTCGCCAATGGCAAGGGTGCTCGATCCATCGTCCCACTCGATAAAGACAGCATTGCTCTGGAGCTCGCCGGTCTCGGGGTGTTTGCGAAAACGGATGACGGGTTTCGGGTTGGAGGACCTCTCGTTCTCAATTTCCCATGGAGTCGGCTCGTATGTATCCTCGTCGTATGGCTCGGGTATCACCTTGATGAAATTGGGAATTCGGAGGGATTGTAGCTATTTTCATGTCAGTCGTAGTAGGCTGATCTCGGAATTTCTGACACTTACGTCGACAGACCTCGGCGTTCTATGCCGGAACACCTGAACGCCCTGAACCACCTTTGTTTTCACCTCCGGCTGTTGGTTGACGTCCTCATCGTCATATCCGTAGCGCTCCTCTCCCTTCTCTGATGCCAGATCGTTGTCGCTCAACGCGCGCTCCTGGTCTGAAATGGCATCATCATCACCACCATCGCCGAAGAGGTCGTCCATCTCCTCCTCTTCAATAATGTCAGCATCTTCGGGTGAGGCAGACATATTCGCTATTGGGGGTGGGGCAACGGCGATGTGGGATCTGCTGAGGCGTCGCGTGGTTGAAGTGACGGTCCTTAGAAAACGAATATCTAATATAGATCTCCAAGACGAGGAACAATGAGAAGAGGCTGTTGGGCTAGGTGCAGCCTCTTGTGGCTGGTACAGTGCGCTGGCGCCTCTCAGTGGCCCAAGCGCGAAGTGTGCATCGCTTAGCGTGCTGTGTGAGGTTTAGCGCAGATCCTACCTTGGGCGGCTTGACCTTCCACTGCAGATCGAACAATTCATTGCACCCTCACCCCTATTTCATGAAGGGAGCCCTGTGAACGACGACGACACATATTCATCAAGCAAAATTTTTGCAGATCGAACCTGCTGTGAACAGAGACGCACTCAGGATTCGTAGCTCCTCACAAAGGGGGACTCCTTTGCTCAACATCCGCTATTATCACCTTCCAGTTGGGCTGCGACAATGTCTAACTTGTTCTCGGGAATGTGAGTTTCGCGCCCATTTCATCTGTCAAACCATTTCAACAGTTCATGTGAGAACTATGATATTGTACTGCCTCAAGTGAGAGCAGCGCATTAAGAGAGCTTTGGGGTCATCAAGATCGGAGTGGAAATGGCCGATATTGGCGGGGCAAGCGGCATTGTTTGACCGTAGTTTGGGAGAGGTCGTGTGAGATGGCTCAATGCATTGAAAAACCGCAGCATAAGAGCGAGCTGCTCTAGCGTTTCAAGCAACCGCATATTATGATATCGGCATCTCGATCTTTCTTAATGCTGCTATCATACACTGCCCATGGTTGCTTGAGTACGAGTGCTTTGTCACTCGCATGAGTTGCTATGTGGCATAGATCACACATTACTTGGAATACCAACTGACATGACAACTGATAGCAATGCCCGCTTTCGCGGCGCGAGCGGTAAGGCCGGCGTGCCGAGCAAGAGCCCGACATCGTCGACCTCTGGGAATATACCCTCTCCGACCAGCTTGTCTCAGGGCAGTCAATCATCGACGAACCTAGCCGCTAAGCTCCCTCCTCTTCCAAACTCACCGTCTCTCGCCCAGACTATCGGAATGGACGAGCAGAGCGGAGTGATCGCAAGTGGCCAAGACATTCTCAACTCCTATCACTTACCAAACCCTCTTCCGATCTGGCTCAACCCGGCGTATGCTAAGCATATTGTCAAGGGAAATTTTATGACTCTGAGTGCCCGGCCCAAGACTGTTGAGCAGGGAGAGTGGATTGCCCACCAAGGTAAGGAAGGCTGAAATCAGATTCTCATTCTCTAAAAATTGAGGACTAAAGCATAGTATAGTCGTCGAGCATTACCGCAACCTGTGGAACTTTGTCCGTGTAATTCATGAGAAGGAGGAGGATGGCCTCTCAATCTGCAACCCTACATCATGCCCTCGGATGTCTGCTGGACAGTGAGTCGAGACCATTGCCTTCAAGGCCACATTCTCTGACATAGTTCTAGGAACCATTCATTCACCTGGCTGAACAGCCGTAGAGAGCCTGTCGAACTGCCGGCTTACGAGTACATAACGCTTATGCAGCGATGGATCAGCGGCAAGATCGATGATACCACCATCTTCCCTACTGAAGCTTCCGGCGTCTCGTACGCACACAATGCCAACATCACCACTACACCTCTCTCTCAGTTGACAAACCCTGGCGAGCCTGACTGGGTCGGTAAGCGAAGTGGCTTCCCACAGAACTTCGTTGATGTCTGTCAAACAATCTTCCGCCAAATGTTTCGTGTCTACGCCCACCTCTACTGGGCACACTTCACCGAGCCCTTCTACCATCTGAACCTAGAGAAGCAGCTAAACAGCTGCTTCAGCCACTTCGTGCTGACAGCCACAGCATTGGACATGCTGAAGCCCCATGAGTTGGAGCCCATGCAGCCCTTGATCGACCTCTGGGCCGCCAGTGGCACCTTCCCCCCTGAGTCGAAGGCTTACGAATACGCCAACCTCCGCGCGGGCGAGAAGCTCCTCCAGCTCGCTGGCATGGCATAACGACTTCACTGATATGGCTCATGACGTTTGCGGGGTACATACATATTTAGCATAGTGCAGCATGGTCTGTGTCGGAGTTATTGAAGAGGATCGCCCCTGATAAGATACACGGAAAACGGCTCTGTTCTCAGTGTTCGAGCCGCACAAAAGCCCCATTGCGATTTCCACACAAGGGTGTTTTTCGAGAAGGCCATTGCGTCTCATGGATTGGCACGTTGGTATTGGGGAAAGATGTTGGCAACGCAAGTTGCCTTGAGGGCTGCTGAGCTGCTGACGATGGATGTTTGAGATTACATGGTACAACTGCATATATGTCGGACGTTTTGAATTCATTAGGGATAGGCATTGCCACCATAAATGAGACACGAATAACCCAATCTCTTGGTCCATACCCTACTACAAATCTGGCTGAGGTTGCTAAACTACTCCCAGCAGCTGAGTCCCTTGAAGCGCTCCTTAAAAGCCTCGGCCATCAGTGATTTTGGAAGGGAGAAAAAAGAAGAGGCATTTTTAAATGGCAACCTCGCTAACTTTGTACTCGACAACGAGAGGCTTGCCCTCTTCCACGACGAAGCGGCCAGCGGCAGTGTAGGTCTTGTGCTGAAGCTCTATCAGCTCCGGGCTGCCCGTCTCAATTTTCACATGTGCAACTGAAAACCGTTAGCTTCGTCTTTAGAAAAGAAGACGATGAGCTTATGCTCGCAACATACATATCTCGCCGTAATCGGTCGTCTCCGCGCCTGGCTGGCCAGAGAGAACACGGCCGGCACCGCCTGTCATGTCGATGGTGCCGGTGTAGTTGTAGCGGATCAGGCCGCCGGTCTTCTTGTCCTTGGCCGTGCTGACGACGTCGAGACGCACATGCTTGCCGTCCGGATCGGCCTTGATGTAATCTGAGCCGTGAAGCCAGGTAGCGTCGACCTGGATGGGGTAGTCTGGCTCGGACTTGATGCCGCCTACTCCTGGGATGAATGCCACCATATCAAGGCCATTGCCAGTGGCTGTGACACCGAATTGATTTGGCGGGTCAATGGCGATCTTATAGCATCATTAGCACGCGCTTTTTAAAGAGTGTAGATTATTGAGCTTGTGAGGCGTACAGAGACTGTAAAAGCCGGGATGAGCTTAGGGAAGCCTGACATGATCACAATTATGGAGGAGTACGACTTGAGATATTCAAAGACAAGGACAATTCCAGGAAATTTCCAGAGACTTGATGATCAGAATAGCATAGCTCAGGAAGTTCCTCTCAGACTTATAAGTCGATCCGAAGCTATGGACAAAGAGGGGGCGCGCTACACGAGCTGGGTGGGGTTCCTAGCTGGAGAAACGGCAGACGAGCACACCCATCACTTCGGGTCCAGTTCCATGATCCGGACTCGCGGAAGTGTTTTCTGGCCAGCAGTACAAGTACAAGTACGACCTGTGCCTGGTGGTCCGGCTGTGCAACCAACCACCAACTGTCTTTGGGGACTTCCCAGCTGTAAAGGATCCATGGATGGATGCATTGTCAGAGAGCTTGACCTGTAAGATCAGAGTTCGGTCAACAGCTACACTCCGGTCGGTTTACAAGCAAGGCACGTAGAGATCACTTCAGTCGCTTGACTCTAGAAACGGAATTATGCTGAAGACTCCTTCAAGCAACTCGTCCGGGACTTCGTCCAGTCTGTCTACAACTTCTAAGGTTGCTTTACAATAGCTCTTGAGGCAAGGGCACAATAGATCAGATCAGATACCTTACCTCATCAGCCCTGAAGCGCATCGTCAAGGGCCAGCCAATCATCATGGCGCGCTCGCTAGCGGGGAACCGAGGTCGCCCAACAAACCCTGTAGCGGCCGCTGACATCACTAACGCCTCGATGCTATCAGTGTATGGATAAGTCTCCACTTGAGGTGGACTGTCCCAAGACGTCCATTGTCAGTGAGTTCGTGATTGTCGCTATTCAAACTACATCTCTTTTCTCTCTGTGGTCTCCTCGACAATTACGTTGCAACACTGGCCTTCTCCAGTAGCTCTACTTCATATCTCAACCGCCCCTTCTTACACTTACATTGGGCGCCATATCTAGCTTCAAACGTGGCGAGAAACGATCAAGTGCCGTACAGACAGCCTCTAGCCCCGAGCCTCGGCGATTGGCGCTATCCTCGCCCTGACTTAAGACCATAGCTTCCTCATACGATATCGATCTACTACATTACTGTCAATGCATGTGTTATTTCCCGAGGACGCCTTCCTATAGCTGTAGAAGCTTCTTCGACAATCAGGCTCGCCAGCGTCACGCGAGGCGGGCTTTGCCTCTCTTCTGACTGAAGCGGCTGTCGTTTCAGACGTGAGAGGACTTCTTCGCGACAATGGATCCTTCTTCGACTCAGAATCCATACGGTATGGCAGAACCGGGATCTGCGGCGCCGCCCGGGTCGAGGCAGCAGCCGCAGAGGAGAAGAAAGAATCATCGCGGTGGGAAGAAGAAGAAATCGAGAAGAAAGTCTTTCGCGGTCGGAGCAGACGATATGACGCAGGATGAAGGGCCAGGCACAGCATTGAATGCCGCCAGAGAGAGCTTCTATGACATGCCAGGTGGTAATATAAGTGGCAACAGTCTTGATAGCGAGGCGTTGCTAGATCACAGGTACGATATCCTTCTTTTGCAGTTGGTGTTTACAAGTGGTGGCTAACAGCACACCTCAGAGATCACCCCTCGTTCTTCAGACCTCGACGGACATCCACCCTGAATCCTATGACCTCCTCTTTCCCGTCTCTACAACAGCCCTCACAGACCAGACTTAGGACTGTACAAGGAGGTGAAAGTGCTGACGAAGATGAGGATGGCCCCTGGGACGAAGGGGCTCCTCTTCTATCTAATTCAGCTCACCAGAGATCCGATCCTGGCTTAGTAGGTTTTGGCGGATATGGGTCTGGCGATGCTAGGAGAAGCAGTCCTCAAAGCCGCCGTGGCTCTAGTAAGGCAAGCAGCAAGAGGAAACTTCTCAACCCATTCACGCCAGGCGATGGCAGCTATAACGTGAATTACCCGCCCTCTGTACCTGGCAGCCCCAGGATGAGGCCAACGGATCGTGACATGAGATTCGAGGATGTGATGCTCCGGGATGAGATCAGCCTTGGGGCAGGGTCGCCGCACCGGAGTGGTGTTGACGGCGAGGATGCTGCGCGATCTTCGTCTACTGCTAAGATGCAGCCATCACCTCTCGAGAGACGTCATACGATTGCATTGACCGCGGAGGGAGACGTGTGTTTTCCGCAGGATGGCATGTCTGAGATGGCGGATGACGAGATGAACGCAAGAGAAGGAGGTGCGTACGGTGACTACCGGAGAGGGAGCAGAAGAAGGCGGAACAAATGGCCAGATCTCTCAATGCTCGAGGAATGGAGTCGAATCGAAAAGGAAGGTCGGAGTGATGAGCGGCGCACAAAGAAGATTACAGAGCCGCAACTGATCAATGGCAGACTGCGACCTGTCCACAAAGGATGGTTCCGTACCGAAGAGGATGCGCCTTACCGATTTACTTATTTCAACGAAGAATTCCAGAGTACGATCCACAGCCAAACGATATCCGAGTTGGTACAACCCGGAGGAAGCTTCAGAGAGCTCTTCATACCTGATCCGCCGTTGCTGGAAGACTCTTCTGACAGCGAAGAGGAGGAAGATGAGCGACATCCTTCGGACTATAATACCCGTCATAGTATGGGTGGCCAGAATGGCGAGTCAAAAGTGCCGACACGACAGCCTTCCCTTGTTTCCACGACACAGACACATGTAGACTCTCGGCGAGATGGTACATTCTCACCTGTTCCTCCTAAGGAGAGGGGCGCGAGCTCACAGGAACCATCTGGCAATGCAACACCGGCCGATCCCAAATCGCCCGGGGGACTTATATCACCAACGCCCCCGGTTGCGAAACCGCCCACGCCGAAACCACTGCGATATGGGGACCGCCCTGTGTGGTGGCTTGACATATTAAGCCCGACAGAAGCTGAAATGAGAGTCCTATCAAAGACTTTCGGTATCCATCCTCTCACAGCAGAAGATATCATGCTGCAGGAGGCGCGGGAGAAAGTCGAACTCTTCCGCCATTATTACTTTGTCAACTACCGCACCTTCGACCAGGACCAAAATAGCGAGAACTTCTTGGAACCTGTGAATATGTATGTCGTTGTGTTCCGCGAAGGCGTGATAAGCTTCCATTTCTCAATGACACCCCACGCGGCAAATGTTCGCCGGCGGATCCGGCAGCTTCGAGACTACCTGATTCTGTCCTCGGACTGGATCTCATACGCCATTATCGATGACATTACCGATGTCTTTGTCCCTCTGATTCAAAATGTAGAAGATGAGGTCGATGATATTGATGACGCTATTCTGGAGCTGCACTCTGACGAACATCCTGGGAAATCGAAACAGTATAACGAAAAGAAATCCGAAGCGGAAACCTCGGGCGGCGAAACAGGCCGTGACATGCTTCGGCGGGTGGGTGATTGCCGCAAGAAAGTCATGGGACTTCTTCGTCTGCTGGGCAACAAAGCAGATGTAATCAAGGGCTTCGCCAAGCGATGTAACGAGCAATGGGAAGTTGCACCGCGGTCTGAAATTGGATTGTACCTTGGTGATATCCAGGATCACATCGTGACTATGACCTCGAATTTGAGTCACTATGAGAAGTATGTTCACTTTCAAAGTCCGAAGACATAGCAGACTAGCTAACGTAATTGATAGGATTCTCGCGAGATCACATGGCAACTACTTAGCCCAGATCAACATTCGTATGAACGAGCGACAGGAAGAGACTGCCGACGTACTGGGCAAGCTGACTGTCCTCGGCACAATCGTTTTACCCATGAACATCATAACAGGTCTCTGGGGCATGAACGTGTGGGTGCCAGGCCAAGAATACGAGGGAGACCTGAAGTGGTTTTGGGCCATTACTGCCGGCCTGCTCTTCTTTGGGTTTGCCTGCTTTTTCATCGCTAAGAAAGTTTACAAGATTGTATGAGTTGCATCTTGTACGGCCCTCCGGAGGGCGATCCTTTGTCTAAGCCTCTCCGTACAATATCACCCATTTTCTCTGTACACAAACTGGCGCAATACGGCGCTAAAACACAAGATATTGTTTTGGGTTCGCAAAAGCGATAGTGCAATAGCCAAAATCACAGGATACGAGCGCATGCGCATAGAAGTATTGGCTTAGGAATATGGGCACTGCATGGTCTACACGATTTGTATACTATACTGAAAATCACTGGCTCAGAATGGATAGCCATTATCCTACACTCATACAACTTACTAGTGCTTAAGCTCGCGTCACTTTCTGAGGACAATCATGATAACCCGATTCCGCGTACGATGTAGTTGCCATGTAAGTTTTCTATGCCAAATTTTGCTAAGTGACCCCTATCCTCACACTTCCGACGAGGTATTTCCGTTTTGACTATTCCGCCCCTTATTCCTGAAACGCCAATAACATACAGCATGGGAACGAAGTCGCGCTCCCTCTTCCATGCGAGACAAAATCAGGTATAATTCCTCTAGTACCTCTGTGTAATTTCAGTACTAGAAATGTTATGGTACCTTAAGAAGCATCTGAAGACAGCCTGAGAGGCCATCACCTTTGTTGGGCCTGGAAGCCCGCCCGCAGCGCTAGAATTTGCTGCTTCTCCGCTTCTGGCAGCTGGTCGATAACTTCCTGCGGCAGCTGCATGACCGCCGCCATCAGAGACTCGGGATCCTGGCCTGGTGGTGCAGCAGCTGCTGGTGGAGGTGGCGCATACGGATTCGAGACCGGCGGCGTGTTGGTAGCCACCATCTGGGGAGGGAAGCCTGCTTGCGGAGGATATCCAACGGGCGGCGCTGGGGGCGGTGCGGCCATGCTGCCCGGCTGCAGGACGCTGTTGATTGCCTCGGGCGACACTAGGCCCATGAGGAGGAGCGCTTGGAAGACGGCATAGCTCAGCTGTGGAGCCTGTGACAGGAGCTCTGTTGCACGCGCGGGGTCGTTCGTCGCAAGCGTCTTCATCTGCTGGAGGATGTCAAGGAGTTGAGTGGGAGGGAGGGTATTCAGGGTGCGCGAGATGGCATCCGTAGCTGTGACACCGGGGGGTAACTGCACGCCAGGCGGGAGAGGTGGTAGGGAGGTGGACTGAGCAGTAGCCGCGCCGTTCAGATTTGCGTAAGGATCGGCAGGTTGATTGTTATTCCGATTGCTGTTCCCTCCGTCGTTGTTGTCGTCGCTCGTGCCCTCGTTCGAAAAGTCGACACGCAGTTTGCGGCCCATGATTTCATAATCGTTCAGGTTGCGGACTGCTGATGACGCCGAATCTGTTCCAAAGCCAAGTTAGGTAACCGTTTCTTTAAAACCTGCTTCGGAGCTAGTAACCTACCGGCATCTGGGTACTCTGCGAAGCCGAACCCCTTTGGTCGCCCGGTTTCGCGATCGTAGACGAGGCGGAAGTTGAGCACCTTTCCAGCGCCGCTGAAGATGTCGCTGATTTGTTCCTCTGAGAGTCCTGGAGTTCTGTGAGTTATTGCATAGTTGTGAGTCCTAGGCATGACATACCATACGGGATATTTCCCACAAAAACCACCCGGGAGGGGGGTTTGGTCGACATATTGGAAGACTAATGAAACACAACCAATGCAAATGGGCAATTGAGATGCGGAGATTCTTTCCCCACACAGCAATGACTGAATGCTCTTTGGTCACAAAGTAGCAGAGCTGGGTGGGCGAGGAGAGCAGTAGATAGGACACAGTCACTCAAGACAATGGGAAGTGAAGGACTGAACAATGACTGCCATTAGCAGGCTAGGTAGCAACAAAGCCTTGGAAATTTCCTTCCGCAACCACACTTCAATGACGTGCCCACTGCCGAAAACCGCTGTTGTTCCTGTATCTGGAAGAGGTGTAAGCTTGCAAGGGGTAATGACCCAGTATTGGCTCAAGTCGTCTACTAATTGTTGCTCAATTGTATTGCGCAAGGAGTGAGTGATAAGTTCTAGTGAGGTGTTGATGCGGCAGGTAAAGTTAGGTAGCTTAAGCTCTGCGGACGGATGGTTATTCCGGCCCCACAACTCATACAGGGATCTAGGGCGTTGCTGAGTGGGTGCAGGTGCAGGTGCACGGATCACCTCGTAGTGATGATTTGATCGCGAACGGCTCTCATCAAGCTCTGCTAAAGCTCCATTCGACATTCGCCAAGATTCAAATTGTGGTTTCCGGCCACAACACAACTGCCATCATGTCGAATCGGAACCCGATGCAGGATTATGTTCAGCGGCTTCAGCAGCTCGCCAGACAGCCGCAAGGTAGAGGTGGCTTCCCCGGCGGCGGCATGCCGCCCGTCCCGCGAGGAGCTGGCGCACTCGTTGCGGGAGCTGTCTTACTCGGAACTGGCGCCTACGTCTTGCAGAACGCTCTTTTCAACGTCGACGGTGGTCACAGGGCAATCAAATACAGAAGAATAAGTGGTGTGAGCAAGGAGATCTACACAGAAGGTTCGTGCCGCAAGCCGAAATACTCGTAAAAGGTTCAATAGCTGACCTCATTTAGGAACCCATTTCCTCATCCCCTGGTTGGAGACTCCCATTGTCTATGATGTCCGAGCGAAGCCGCGTAACGTGTCGTCTCTTACGGGTACAAAGGATCTGCAGATGGTCAACATCACATGCCGTGTGCTTTCTAGGCCAGAGGTCCAGGCCCTGCCTCAAATCTACCGAACTCTGGGACAGGATTACGATGAAAGAGTCCTGCCTTCTATTGTGAACGAGGTGCTGAAGAGCGTGGTGGCGCAGTTCAATGCCAGCCAGTTGATCACCCAGAGAGAGATGGTGGCCAGATTAGTGAGAGAGAATCTCTCTCGGAGAGCTGCCCGGTTCAACATCCTGCTGGATGATGTATCACTCACGGTATGTATTCTCCAAGCCCGTCTGTAACAATGAATGTCTGATTTAACATGTTTACAGCATCTGGCTTTCTCACCCGAGTTTACGGCCGCCGTCGAAGCCAAGCAGGTCGCCCAGCAGGAGGCTCAGAGAGCGGCTTTCGTTGTCGACAAGGCTCGCCAGGAGAAGCAGGCTATGGTCGTCAAGGCACAGGGTGAGGCTCGTTCAGCAGAGCTGATCGGTGAGGCTATCAAGAAGAGCAAGTCTTATGTTGAGTTGAAGAAGCTGGAGAATGCCAGAGCCATTGCGCAATCAATCCAGGAGGCAGGAGGCAAGAACAGGTTACTTCTGGACGCTGAAGGCTTGGGCCTCAATGTTTTCGAGAAGACCGAGGGAGAAAACAAGAAGTGAGCATCTGATCAAAAATGGGACTGAATCTCCACTGTATGTTAGGGAAAGGGAAAATTCTACTGTAAAAATAATGTGACTACATCCACGCTGTTACGCGTGAGCTGAGTATCTTGACCTTTGAATGCCTTGCGCTTGATGAACTTTCAAGAGCTACAAGAGATTTGATGGAATATCTTATATAATGGTGTTGTTTAGGAGCAAGTCATCTATTTATGCAATCATGATAACATGTTTCTAAATATCCAGATTTGTTACTGTTGAATGGTCTTTCCTTTTTGAAAGGATTCATTTTGAGGCTCTCTGTCCAACAACGGTACCGTTTGTTCACCTAGCTCCTAGTTCCGGGCGACCAGCTCTAGGTGCCCACATATCCCGCCCATCATCCCCTGTGCCCCACCATCCGTCATGAAAGCACCCCGCCACAAGTGATTCCCACTGCCTACCAACACAACGGGAAGATCACGACCTTTGGGCCTGACAAATACCTTTCCGCCTTCTCTCCGTGGACCGTCCTTGCCTTTCTTGTCCTCACATCAAGTTGAACTGTTCAGCAGCACGTACTTCAAACCACTGCCAAGATGCTCATCAAGTTCGTAGCTTCCTTCCCCGGCGCAAATCCAAAACAAGCTGACTCTCTTCCCCCAGGGTGCGCACGTTGACCGGCAAGGAGATCGAGCTCGACATCGAGCCCGACTACAAGGTATGCCTGCCCTAGCTGATGGATGTTATTGGAAGGTTTCCGCTAGCTCTCTCACGACACTAACAAATGCTTTTCCGACAGGTCGCTCAAATCAAGGAGAAAGTCGAGGAGAAAGAAGGCATCCCGCCCGTCCAGCAACGCCTGATTTTCGGCGGAAAGCAGATGTAGGCACCCCTTCTACCCTGAATAGAATGCAATTCCTCCTACAACCCACAATAAGGCACTTGGACTAATTGGCGTACCTCTTACTTTTAGGGTCGACGACAAGACGGCTTCGGACTATGCGCTCGAGGGAGGCGCTACCCTCCATCTTGTTCTCGCTCTTAGGGGAGGCAGATACTTCAGTGTCTACTGATCAGCTGATATCGTGGGCCTCGTTACCTCTGGAACGGACGACGACAACATACCGAGCATGATTAGGGGGACTAGAATGGAGGAGGAGGCTGAGGCGGAGGAGAGACTGGCAGAGAATGGTCTTGTCTTCTCGAACCGTTCGCCGACCGTGTGTGTGTGAGAGAGAGGCATCTTCTTTGGCGTTTACCGGACAGCACAGGGAAGAATTCTACGGATTAGATATCGCAGCTTGAGCATGTTCATACGCTCGGAGTTTGCATGCAAATACGACTCGCTTCTCGCTACTCTACGTTCGTCTGCTGCCCGAGAAAAAGGCAGCATGAATATTACGATGTGTTGATATGCGCCGTGAGACGGAGATGGACGATTTCATGAGGTTTGATGTTTCAATGATCTATGTCTTACAGAGCTTGACACATGACTATCCGCGGTGTCATATCGTACAGTTCCTAAGCAATCAGCGCAATCCTTATGCGGGTATCCATTGTCCTTCCAATACTCCTGTGCCTGATACCTTCTAAACCAGCCGTGCCAACTGTCATTCATGCATTAGTCTAACCTCTACAGTGCTCGTTAAGCCCAAGCACCCGTCTCGACACCTAGGATGCTTAGCGACCTGTCTTCTTCGTCTTCATGAAAATATCCGCGGGCTTCTTCTTGCGCGGCATCATCATTGGGCCTCTCTCTGGGCTCCGAGCTGCGCCTAATACAGGACTGGAGGGCTGGACCGGCTTCCTCAAGGGCGAAGAGCCAGGGGACGCGTATGGGGGTGTGTCCTCGCGGAGCCCATGCGGGGGAGATGGACTTGGGGTTCTTCGAGGCGGCCGAATGTTGGTGGGCTTCGCCTTCGGTCGTGGGTTAGCAGGAAGGAGTTGCGGCGGGGTGTAGGTCTTGTTGATGACCGGGACCCGGGGGAGGATCTTTGGTTCTTCCTTATCCGGGGAGACAACTCTGATATTCTTCTCCTCCCTTGGCCGAGGGGCGTTCGACAGTATACCTCGGCGGATCTTCCTTGTGGGCAATACTGTGGACTGTGGCACCGAAGCTCTGGTCCGAGCCACGGCCTCGTTGTGTGCACCCAGCGTGGAGTTCTCGGTAGGACTTGTAGCAATTTTTGCTTTCTTGGCTTGCCGCAGCCTCTCTTCTCTGCTTAGTAGATCATCTTCCCCGAATGGTCGTTTCGAGATGTTCCTGTTCCTACCCGGAGCAACGATTTTGAGCTTGGGCTGGGCACTAATGCGGTGGTCATTGACCATAGCTTCAGGGGCGGCCTTGATCTGACCAGGCCGAACAAGAAGGCTGCCGGAGGCTGTGGACAGTTGACGTCTGTTGGCGGCTTCGCGAGCCTCCCGTCTTGCTTTCTGAATGATACCGGTCGTACGACTACCTCCACCGAAAGCTAGACGGCTCGAGCCACTGGGGCCGCCGTGTCTCTTGGGGCCGAAGCCGCCACCACTCCGCGTCACCTTCTTAATGTTCGGGAGGGACTTAGCAGCAACAATCCTGGTGGTGCTCTGCTCCTTCTGGTTCTTCAGACCAGCAAATGCCATCTTGAGCTGTGCCTCCGCCGCGGCATCCTTCTGCTTCTGCTCAAGATTGTATCTGTCATAGATGTCGGCCCAGGACTCGTCCTTAAATAGATCCGGCTCATATCTATGCTCTGCGCTCTCAGACGGGAACTTCTTTCTGATCAAGGCCCGCCAGAGGCCCTCGGTCTCGCTGAGGAAATGGGGCGAGTTGGCTTCGATCAGTCGAAGCTGGTTGGCATTGTGGACTTTCTCGAGGATGTCTTTGACGAGTTCGTAGGATAATTCGCCGAGGTCGGTGATTTGTGCAATGTTTTGAACGCAGACTTCTTTGCACATCTGAAATAAGGACCGGGGCCCTTTGACGGGTATGTTGATGTCGTCCATGGTGACCTGGACAATATTGTGAACGGCTGAGTTGGATAGAGAGAGTAATTCAGTGATTCTTTAACAGGGCTGTCGAGGTTGATGAGGGAGGAGAAGTTCTTTGACTTGAGGGTCTGTAGTATAGAAGAAAGGGGGTCCGAATCGTGTGCTCCGAGACGTGTAAGTCGAGGTGTAGTGGACTGGGATGTAGGCTTTGTTCAGGCACTCCAAAGACGAGGTTCAGTGCAGTGTCCCATCCGGATAGCTCGAATGCTACAAAAGATTATTGTATTTGCGAAGATAGACCGGGATGAAGGATCATCATCGCAAGATGAACGGTCTCTGTAGTGAATGGGAAGATCGACGCCGTCGAGATGGCGGTGTCTGCCCCAGAAGCATAGTCGTGGCCATCGGATTACTTGGGATGAAATGTGTAAGTGTTAAGTTCACAATGTTGAAGCAGCCGCACTGCGACCGCCCGTAGCGCACTGTAGCGCCATCTTAAGTGGCTGGCTGGCTGATGCAACCCCGCTTGCCCTGTCGCCAGCCGGCCGGGCTGCGTCAGCCTTATTACTGTGCTGTAGTTATAGCATGCCGGCCACTGAAACTTTCAGCCTCACCTCCCGTGAAATTTGGTACTCATCCAAGCGAACCAGTCCACCTCAAAACTCAATTTTCGTCACCTTCAGCCTGTTGTCAAACGGCTCAACGAGCATCGCAAAGCGCAAGCGGAAGCCACTGTTCTTTCCCTCCATGGTCAAATACTGAAGCTGAACTTCGAGAACGCCTTCCTGTCCATTGCGACAGCTCTCCTCACATCACGATGGCGTCCTGGCAGCTCCTCGACGTCGACGACGAAAATCAGCTTCACAAATCGCGCCTCTTCAGCATCGAAGAGAAGCCCTTCAAACGTATCACTAAACGCCTCGGCGCTATCAATGGCCTCGCAAACTCCAAAGTGAGACAGGTGTTGACACCGCCTCCCGAGAGCAACGGCGACCAGGCAGCGTCCTCCTCCGCTACCAGAGAGGCGCCGGCGCTCGACCTCGCCCAGCTCAAGGAAGACATTACCTTCGATTTCGCCGCGTTCGACGGCACCATTGCGCGGCTGCAGTTCCTGCTCTCGGCGAACGAGAAGCAGCGCGAGAAGTACGCGGCGGAGCGGGTGCAGATCCTCGACACGTGCCAGAGCGTGCGCGACAACACGACGCAGCTGCGCGGGCAGCTCGACCAGGCGCGGGCGACGCTCGCGCAGCGCAAGAAGTTCGACAAGCTGGCCGAGAAGATCTCCAACAACAAGCTGCTGCGCGTGCGCTCCGAGCAGGAGGCCAACCTGCTCAAGCTCGAGGAGGAGTGCCGCCAGCTGGAGGCCGAGAGCGAGACGTACGCGGGCACGTGGCTCGAGCGCAAGGAGCAGTTCTCGCGCATCATGGACGAGAGCATGCGGCTGCGAAGCATCATCCGCGACGAGAAGGAGGAGGTGGAGAGACGCGAGGGCATGGACGATGAGGGCGGCGATGGCGGCGCCGGAGATGCGGAAGGAGAGGCAAGTCAGACACCGAGACCTGGTATCGCTAGTGGAAATGCTACGCCTCGGCCAGATAGTGGTGCGGCTTCCGCCGTGCCGCGCGGACTGGATAGCGGCGATGGTTCGGGTACTCCAGCAGCAGCTTCGACTGGTGGAAGGACGCCGATGCGGGATAGTCCTGCACCTAGCGGCCATGAAGGGCTTAAGCCACTGCCGGATGCTTCTGGCAGCTTTTCACAGAATGGTAGCCGTGGCCCGAGCCGCGAAGGTTCTCCGGCTCGAGACACAGAGGAAGGAGAGGATGTTGTTATGGATGAATCAGCGCGGGCTGGTGAGACTCCGATCGAAGGTACGCAAGGGGAAGATACTCCTCGCATCACAGTCGAAGGTCAGGAGGTGGACGACGATAAGATGGATACAACTTGATTGACAACTATGCGAACACAAGCATTGAGGCGGCTGCGGTCTAGGTCAAGTCACAGAGCGATCTTCGAGCGCTCAGAGGGACAACGTAATGGATATTAGGGGCTCTCTAGCTTTTAAAACCATCCCAGTCATCAGCAGAGCGAAAAAAGCCAAAGGCCCCCTTTTGAAAGATGTACAATAATTACATGTAAAACGTGATACCCATAAAGTAGCAAGCAATGACTAGATATGCTGCGGCAGTTTGTGAATGCCTCCTATATCGATGCCATAGTCAACCACGCTACCAACCCTCGCGACGTCAAAAAGGGAAGCAAAGAGAGAGAAGAACGCTTCTATGCCTCATCCTTGACTGCGTCCTGCCCCTGCTGCAGGGCCTCCTTCGCCTTGGTTAGCTCCGCCTCCGGCGCACCCTCGTCGCTCTCGCTGATGGCGATCTGCTCCTCGAGCTTCTGCACCGCGTCCGTGATGCGCTTTCTCAGCGGCCCAAAGACGGCCTTTGTCTCGTCCATGGCTTGTTGCTATGTGTCCTGTCAGCTGATATTCTGTACTGCTCCATACATGTCGACATGCTCAGGGGGTGTGAAGGTGAGCCTGGCCTCATGAAAGTCGACGCAATCACATGTCGTGGGAGGCGTAAACGGACAGCCGCACATCACGTACCTCTTGCCTCAGCACGAATTCGGCATTGTCATCCAGCTCGTTGCTGCCCTCCTTAATGTCCGCCTCGAGCTTCTCGATCCGCGCCTTCTGGCTCGCCAGCTCCTTGTGGTAGTACGTCTCCTCCTTGACCAGTCTCTGCACCGACTGCGTCGCAATGCTGAGCTGCGACGGCGCTGGCATTGTGGTGGTCTCTGACTCTTCTGCGGGAAGGCAATGAATGCTTTTAGGTTCTCAAGATGTAGAATGAGAAACAGGATGAGTAAATTTGAGAATCGATTCGGCCAAGATAGGGGGACCCTGCTTGCTCAAGGTTCTTTTATTGAAAGAGTGTTGCCTGTTGCTCGTTGATGTAATCTGGCGGGGTTGGCGGGGCAAAATTCGCGGTTTGGAGTTTGAAATCGCGTTTCTCAAACTACAAGGTAGTTTAGGCCAGGCGGCGACATCTTTACATCGAAGTTCAAGACACGAGTTTTCAATGTGAATGCGGATCAATTAGGTAGACAAATGCTCGAATAACCTATCTACAGAGACTGAGGTATCCTACAACTCTACACCAACAAGACCTTCAAGGCCCAAGCCTCCAGCTGTACGGACTGCCGCACAGGTCTTTCGTCCAACACTACAAAGTTGAGCCAACCAACCAGCCAGCCCCCTATTTTCATACGATGTTCAAACCCTGACCTCCTTGAGCCATGTGGTATCTTCCACCTCTCGCGCCTAACGCCTTTTGGTCGTGGGAAACAAGTAAAACGCACATGAATCCAACAAACCCCTAGTTTATACAAGCCAAGATTCCATCAACAATAACCGAACAACTTTATGCTGAGACTGCGACTGCCGACGAGCTGGTGGCAATAGCCGGTTGAGGCTCCATGGGAGCAGCCTCCTCTTCCTGATCAATTTCTCCGCCAGCTTCACGCTCGGCCCAAGCGCCCCAGAGGCCACGCTTGCCTCGCACCCGGATAGGACCTCCAAGGGAGCCCTCTGGCTGCTCGACCTTGATGGCATCCTTTGTCGCAAGAACCAAGCATTCGAAGAACATCTTTGTGGCATCTGCCTTGGTAGTCTTCTTCTCCGGTAGGAGTTCTTGGAAGACGACGGACGTCTTCTTGCGCTTTTCGGCGTTTGTTGCAGCCTCAGATCCAAAGAGGTCACGCAGAATATGCACGGCATGCTTTGTGCCGACTGACACGGGGCCGCTATCAGCTGGGTGCACAATAGGTGCAGTTGTGTCATCAAAGCCAGGCATGAAGCTAGCTCCGTCGCGGGACAGCGGGCGGCCGTCATCGTCGTCGTGGAGGACCATACCATCATCACCAGGGATTTCCAGGATGGTTCCATCGGCAGCCACAGTCTGGTTCACACCGAATGGGTCCTCGTCAAGACGGGGCGACTTTGAGGCGTTTAGTTCCTGATCGGTGTCCATATCTGCAATACCGCTATCTCTCTTGCGCTTCAGCTCATTTGGTTGTCGGAGAGCTTCGAGTGAGAGCAGGCCCTTCAACTCAGGAGCCCAGCTTGTGCTTCGACCTTCAAGCATGATGTTAGCAACAAAGCCACCGGTCTTCTGCATTTCCATCAAGGCCAGAAGGTATGGATCTCTTGGCAAGAACACCTGGGGCTTCAGGATATTGTCGTGCTTCGACTGCTGCTCCTTGATCACCGCACTTGTTAACATGGTCTGGTCGTCCGGTGCGATAATCTTCCTCTTTCTAGCTCTCTGGGGAGCGTTGCGAACAACGGTGGTCTCTGTATCATCTCCAGGCTCGTACATGTCTGTGTTGTTAACATGTCGCGAGTACTCAAGCTCCATCTCTTTGGCAAAGTTCTCGTCAATATCAGACAGAGGCGACTCAGAAATACGTGCGCGCTTGAGGTCAGATACGCCGGACACCGGAACAGCGGATTGATCGGCCATGTCAAATTGGAAGTCATCGTCGCCCATGTTGATGTCACCATCGTCATCAGCGATGCGCACACCACCATTTCCAAAGTCGAGAGTGGGTGACTGATCGCGGCCGAGAGTTTCCTTGTTGGGACGCTGAATATCGAAATCGCTGAAGATGTCGTCTTCGACAGGTCTGGGTGCAGGCGCGTCTCGTCCCATTTCCACACTTTGGTCAATTCTGCTTGGTCGCTCATCGATATCCATACCAAAGTCCAGGTCCAAGTCTAGATCGTCCAGATCCGGTGCAATAGCCAAGTCATCGTCCTTCTGAGTTGCGTCATGCAAGAACTGACTGTTGTTGAAATCCTCTTGCAAGTTAATGTCTCGGTTGCTGACCCGACCTTTGCGGCCAACCGGAGTTGCGGTGATATCATGATCGGCAGAAAGCAAGAAGTTGGCATCCGGTCCCGGTAGCAAATCGAGGTTATCATACGGTGTGATCCTATCAGGAAGCAAGAGGGCCTCGCGATTAGGGATATGTAGGTTGGCGGGAATATCATTGTTTCCCGATGACCGGAAGGCCTGTATCAAGGTTAGCAATGATGGCGACATGGGTAGGGGAGAGTGACATGACATACCATCTTGATCTTCATCAATGCTTCATTGCAGTCGTCCAGAAGGTAACGCGCCTTGCGGCTATAAATTCTGACGACACCCAAGAGCAGCTGGCCACTGAGGCGAAGAGCCAGTGGTACCTCGGGAGTAATAATGGTCTGAACACTGTCGTGAACGTCGGCCTGCAAGACCTGCTGCTTGGAGATCTTGCGCTCTATGTTGGCCGACAGCCAGACCCGGGACAGAGCCCCGTTCCTCTGGAAGAGGGTAGTCGAATAGAACATGGTGATGGTGTTTGCAGCGGTAGCTACGGCGGCGACGAGGTCGCGGTAATGATTCTGGCGACTCTAACAGTTGATGATGATGCCTGAAGGGAAGCAAAACGTGCAGACTCGAGCGCTCTCGTGATGTTCGAAGCAAGAACGCGACAGAAGTGGGCGAGGGAGAGTGGGAGAGTGGCGGAGGTAAACAAGGAGGCGCGCGTTGTTTTCCACGGATGCGGGTCGCGTTGATATTGGAGACCTGGAACGCTGCACGGAAAAGGACGTCGAAAGACGCGGCGCAAGCGGTCGGCGTGTCTAGAGATATCGCCTCACTTGATGATGAAGGCTCTCGAATCGACAGCGACAGCAAAGGAGAGGCGTCTGCGTTGCGTTGCGTTGCGTTGCGTTGCGGTGGGATGAAAGCAACGAAGCGGACGGGCGGGAAGGAGAGATTGGGAACCAGACAAGAATTGGAGGGGGAAATCGTGTGGATGGGCCCTGGCGCCGCAAGTGTCGCTGATAACCTGCTGAGTGCTGGGTGATGGGGCCTGCTGGCGGGAAATTTGGAGGCTGGGTGGCCCGCCTGCCGCCAATTTCTGGGCTCCCCAGCCACTCGTAAAGTTTTCGTCCGCTCCCAGTCACGTGCACGGACTGGACTGGACTAACAATACTGTAGCTTAGAACGGCCAGCTAACGTTAGCGTTAAGGGACAATCCCCGTTTTCTCCATTCCAATGCCGGATGCAGCTTGACTCGTCCCACATCCAGGATCCAAGCGACTGAAGCTGTTGACGTTGACTGACCAAGGTACCGGTACCTATAAACCGGGTGGCTTGCGTGCAACCGGTTCGTGATGCAGCCACAGCCGAAACGGTCGGCCTGGGATCTTGATGGGGCACTTCCTGTAAAGAATACTCCGAACAGTAAAATAGTACTGAGTGACTGGCATGACCGTTGCTTACCGTTTCAAGAAAAAGATGTTGTGTTCCTACTGTTTTCTCGTTTGTAAGTCGACGAAAGGAGAACCGAGTCATTTATTCCCCAAGGCCGAAAGCCTTCATTCTATGGGCGTTGAAGTTCTCAAATAAAGTTATTGTATAGTGTCTTGCTTAATGACTATCCACTGATCTTGTGTACATATATATCTTTTACACATTCTATTGTAGTAGCTTAGCAAACTCTAGGCGATGAAGAAAGCATTGTCTATACTCTAAGCACCTGCTATATAGGTACCTAGGTAGCTTGAGCTTTGCGTGACTGGGGAAGCTTGAGATCGTGTAATATAAGGAACGCCTTGCCTGGAAGATTGGCTACCCTTCACCAGGTATGCCCTTTCAGGGACTCCTAGGGTAAGATCATGGGGACTAGAACTGTTCTGGCATTTGGGCATGTGCTCGATTTTGCTGCGTAGATTACGGTCGACAAGTTCCTTTGAAAAGATGTATTCATCTAGCTCCTCAGCTGCAAGCTGTCAGGGGGAAGACGTCTTCAAGAGCCTGCCCATGGGTAACGTTAATGCGGTGCGTAATTGGCACACGGGGTGCTGGCCGGCCGGTAGCCAATCGCCCTGCTCTAAATTCGACCTTGTAGGGGGGGGTAATGCCTGTAGCAGCACGGCTCGCGTCGTGGCATCAGCCTCAATTGCTTGGTTCTTAGGTACCTAGGAGCTAGGTAGTCCCATTGTCAGCGGGACAGGCCTGACACGCCAAAAAAGAAAAGCGATTCTTACACGTCGTCGACATCCAAAACCCAGAACCCAGAACCCAGAATCCAGAATCCAGACCAGACTACAGACCCGCAGCCGTCGTCAGCAGCAGCATCACGGCAACACTGCAGCTACCAGCACAGCCATCTTCGCGGAAGCTCTCAGTTCCCACCACGGAACCATTACGATGCACATGAACTCTATCCTTTGCAATTGATGTGCAGCTCTGCTTTTTGTTCTCCCTCATCCACGGCTCCCGTGTGGCTTCTCTGACGGCCACTCCCCCGTCTGGCGACCATCTTCCTACCCAGGTAGTCCCCTCACCTCTCACTGCACTTGACTTGATCGAGCCCTTGAGTCTCCCGATGGTCTCGTGTGCGATTGCGCCCCCCCTACGCCTACGGAACATTCTATGTTGAGATGGACCGCTCGACCAGCGGCCCTCCCGTTCTCCCCTTACACAATGCGCCACCTACCGTGAACACTCCTCTGTCGACTTGGGGTGATGAAGAGCGATCAGGCTCTCGCTCCCCAGGACATCTCCGGACAACTTCAGCGCAGTCACGGGTACCACTCTCCTGAACCCTCACTCATCTAATTAACTGGCTAACTCCCGTCTCAAGAGCGTGGCGGAGGAGTATTCTTTCCTCAGTCAAGCCGAAACGGCCTCCCGACTAAGAACTTCATTAACGCATGGCCTCACACCCTCCGAAGCTCTCTCGAGACTGCGCGACCACGGTCCGAACGAGATCCCCCATGACCCGCCCGAGCCTCTATGGCTGCGCTTTATTGGACAGTTCAAGGAACCGCTCATACTGCTACTGCTCGTATCTGCCGGCGCATCGATTCTCCTGGGAAATGTAGATGATGCCGTGAGCATCACTGTGGCCGTCACAATCGTGGTGACCGTGGGATTCGTGCAAGAATACAGATCAGAGAAGTCCATTGAGGCATTGAACCATCTCGTGCCGAATCATGCGCACCTGATTCGCAGTCAGCTAGCGAAACCCGCTGGTGGTGCCCGCTCACCAAATTGGCCGCCTTCCAAGGATGAATTGAGTAATGGAGACTCTTCGGGTGCTGCGACACCCGCAGAGGAGATCTTAGAGGCTACCTCCTCTAAAGTGATGGCTGCCCAGCTAGTGCCCGGCGATCTCATTCTTTTCACTACTGGCGACCGCATACCCGCAGATGTTCGCGTTACCAAGGCCGCAGACCTTACCATTGATGCGTCGAATCTTACAGGAGAGACTGAGCCTGTGAGGGTCACAGCTGAACCTCGGTCGCGGACGCTGCTTTCCGCTGGGCTGCTGGGAGGCACCTCACTACAGCTCCCAAGCCCGTCTTTCGCAACTCAGACCGAATCCCCACATTCGCCCAGGACTGACCCGGATGTACACAACATCGCTTTCATGGGAACTCTGGTCAAGTCAGGTCATGGGCAAGGTATTGTCTTCGCGACAGGAGGCAACACCCAGTTTGGCACTATAGCAACCAGTGTTTCTGGAACTGAGAGCCCTCGGTCGCCGCTCCAGCTTTCTATGGACGAGCTTGGTGCACAGCTGAGCAAGTTCTCATTCGTCGTCATTGGTCTTATATCTGTTGTAGGGTGGCTTCAAGGGAAGAAGCTACTGGAAATCTTCACTATTTCGATATCTCTGGCAGTTGCTGCCATTCCAGAAGGTCTACCAATCATCGTTACTGTAACCCTGGCTTTGGGTGTCCACCGTATGGCCAAGCACAACGCAATTGTCCGAAAGATGCCAAAGGTCGAGACCTTGGGCTCTGTCAATGTTGTATGCTCAGACAAGACAGGCACTCTTACCACAAATCATATGACTACGGCCAAGATGTGGTACTTCGGTGCTGACAAGGCCGTCGATGTGGATTCAGACGATGAGGCTACCGAATCTCAGCCAGATGCAGCCACGTTGAGAATACTACGGATCGGCAATATCGCCAATAATGCGCGTCTTGCCCGACGGTATACAGAGAATGGAGCTGCCGCCAAAGCCGTGCTCTCGTCGACTCAAGGAAGAGATGAGGCTTCAACCTATACGCGATGGGTAGGCCAACCTACAGATGTCGCTATGCTTGACCTCCTTGACAGATTCAAGGAACATGATGTTCGAGATTCGATAGGCCCCCGTGTCACTGAGACTCCTTTCAGTTCTGAACGAAAATGGATGGGGGTCACCATCGGTGCAGACGGCGGGAAATCTGACAAGGAGTTTGCTTATATCAAAGGCGCGCTTGATCGAATCCTAGAGGCATGTGATACATACATAACAAAGGACGGTCGAGAATTCGTTATGGATTCAATCCGCAGACAAGAAGCGATCGACGCAGCCGAGACAATGGCGATCCGTGGTCTCCGTGTCTTGGCCTTTGCCAGTGGTCCAGTTACTAAGTCTAGCCGTGCCAAGTCTGGTGGGACGTCCGCGGGCCGAAGCGGCACTCCGGCCGGAGAAAAAAGTGAGAGTCCTCATCCGCAGACTCATGATGAATTACACAAGGGTTTGACCTTTGCTGGCCTTGTTGGCATGAGTGATCCTCCGCGACCCGGCGTCGGACGCTCAATTAGGAGACTGATGCGCGGCGGGGTCAAGGTAATCATGATCACAGGCGATGCTGAAACGACAGCAGTCGCAATTGGACGACAACTCGGTATGGAGATTGCCGTACCTCGAGAGCACAGTACTAGTCAGGTGTCTGTGAAACCCGTACTTACAGGAAGGGATGTGGATGAGTTGTCCGAGGACGACTTAGCCCTGGCGATGCAAAATACCACCATCTTTGCACGAACGAATCCTGACCACAAGATGAAGATCATCCGAGCGCTTCAGTCGCGCGGTGATATTGTTGCCATGACCGGAGACGGCGTGAATGACGCTCCAGCATTGAAGAAGGCGGATATCGGTATTGCGATGGGTCGACACGGAACAGATGTTGCAAAGGAAGCTGCCGATATGATATTAACGGATGATGACTTCTCTACGATCCTCCACGCCATTGAGGAGGGTAAGGGAATCTTCAATAACATCCAGAATTTCCTAACTTTCCAATTGAGCACCAGCGCTGCTGGCCTATCGTTGGTGTTGCTCTGCACGTGCTTGGGTTTCAAATCACCTCTCAATGCCATGCAGATTCTTTGGATCAGTGAGTTTTAATCCATTTCGAGCTAAGATTCGCCTACTGATCATGTCTAGATATTATTATGGATGGACCTCCCGCTCAATCCCTTGGTGTTGAAGCTGTTGATCCTGATGTGATGAACCGGCCTCCACGGAAACGGAACGACCCCGTTCTCACGCGCAAATTGATTCAACGGGTGGCAACATCCGCGTTCATCATCATGTTTGGTACTATGATGGTGTACAGGCATGAGATGCTTGAGGATGGACAGGTTACCCGCCGCGACACAACCATGACTTTCACCTGTTTTGTGTTATTCGACATGTTTAACGCCCTGACCTGTCGATCCGAGTCTAAGTCAGTGCTTCGAGGCGAAGTCGGCTTGTTCTCCAACGCTTTGTTCAACTGGGCAGTTTCACTCAGCTTGGCAGGCCAATTACTCGTTATATACTTCCCATGGCTTCAGGAGGTCTTTCAAACAGAGGCTCTGGGATTCTTTGACCTGGTGGGCCTTCTTCTGCTCTGCAGCACGGTGTTTTGGGCGGATGAATTGCGGAAATGGCTGAAGTATGGGAAGAAGAGGCTTGGTGGCTATAGTCAAGCTGTGTAAAAGAAGACGTGTATAAGCAAGCATAGCCTCATCTGCACATAGAACACTACTGTACAATCGACTAATATCACACAAACTGCATAATGTGCTTGTGTAGTGGATGATTAGACAGAAGCGTCGTCCAGTGGCATAAATTCCGAAATTCAAGATTCAAGCTCGCCCCTACCTAAAGCATGAGGCTCAACGGGGACCCCTGAAATTCGCTTGGATGCAGCCACTGGACACAGCCCACAGAATTACGTAGCGGGCCACTCACCCGCCTACTCACGCTAATTCGAGGGGCCAGCACAGCACAGCATTGCACAGAACAAGCAGCTCACCGTTCACATCCCACAAACGACACATTATACCTACACAGTCGAGCAGCTATGCGCCGCTACTCGACTCGGCCGCTCCGATGTCTTCCCTCCCCAATGGCGTCTCTACAGTCACAAGGGACCGGAGGTCGACCGTCAGCGGCGCCAGGCCTCACGACAACGACATTGCTGCCGCCACGGTACTCAGCATAACCGACCACGATTCCATCCGCAGTGCGTCCTCGCCCGCCCAGGTCCGCGCAGCACTCGCAGCCCTACACGCCCGCGAGCACGGCCTCACCGCCCGCCTGGGCGCCATGCTCGCCTCGCAGGCGGACCTCGACCGCGACCTGGGGCGGCTCGACAACCTGCGTGCCGGGCTCGGGGCGCAGGTCATCGCGGCGCGCGGCATCGGCAACGCCATGCTGGCGGGTGCGGCGGACACGGCGGGGCGGCTCTCGGGCCGGGTGCGGCAGCTCGACCTCGAGAAGCAGCGGGTCGAGGACACGCTGCGCGTCGTCGAGCAGGTCGCCGAGCTCAAGGCGTGCGTCGCCGGCGTGGTCGGCAGCATGGGCGCCCCGCAGGACTGGGAGGCCGCGGCGGGCTACATTGCGCGCGCGAGCAGGGTCCCCGAGGAGATTGTGCGCGGCGGCTTCGCGGCCGCGGTGGTGCCGACCGTCGAGGTGCCGGATCCGCCGTGGGTGACGCTCGAGAGCGCGAAGGAGTCGCTGTGCGGGCTGTTCCTGCGGGAGTTTGAGAAGGCCGCCAAGGAGGGGGACGGGACCAAGGTCACGCGGTTCTTCAAGCTGTTTCCTCTGATTGGAAGGGGAGACGTTGGGCTCGACGTCTACGGCCGATATGTTTGTCAAGGTGTGGCGGGCACGGCGAGATCTACGTTGAAGGAGGGCACTGGCGGCCATGGGCGGAAAGATGGCTTCTTCTACGCAAACGCTTTGACGAAACTGTTTGAACATATCGCACAAATCGTGGAAGGCCATGGAGGCCTTGTAGAAAGGCATTATGGCACCGGCAAGTTGGTCAAAGTCATCGAGAGACTTCAGATGGAGGCCGATGTCCAAGGAGGCATCATACTTGATTCTTGGAGTGACGAGCGAGGAATTGATAGAAAACTGACCGATGTGAAGAGCTACCCCTTCTCATTCTTGGTTCAGAGCTTGCTACCTCAGCAACGAGGCATAACAGGAACACCAAGAGTCAACTCTCCAGCCCTCGGTAGTGGATCGAACAACCAGCGGGACAGTGAGGACGAGGGCGTAAACATGAAGGAAGTGGACGGTTTGCTTAGCGAGATTGCCGTGATGCTGGGACGGTGGTCCTTGTACTCACGATTTCTCGCTGGGAAGTGCAAGGTATGCCCAAGAATTTTTTTGAGAGAGCTTCGTTAGCTGACTCAAAACCAGGAGCCAGATGCGCCCGAAGACGCCCCTCTCGTCACTCCAGAAGTACTTACAAAAGCCAACCTAAGTCGAAAGGTTTCTGGCAAGCTTACAGAACCATACAATACCATGACGACCTTTTTCTGCCGACGTTCAGTGGAGAAGGCTTTCCAACTAGATGAACCTCCCACGGGACTGTCGCTTAACATGCACAGTCCTATCGACAGCAATCCGCCATTCATAATATCAGCAGTTGACGATGTCATGTACATTGTCAATACAGTCATTCAAAAGTCAATGTCAACGTCTCAGAGAGATGTGATCGCCCAAGTTATACCTAATGTGGGGCGAGTGCTCAGCTCGGATTTCGTCCGCATGATCCAGAGGAAGATGCGCGACGAATCATACCCTAAGCCCGCGATACAAAGCGGCTTCCCGCCCGAAGACAAAATTGTGTCTTTCATCGTGCTGATCAATAGTCTCGATGTCTCTAACGAGTATCTAGAGCGGATCGTGGACACACGACTAGGCACCTCAAAGGACCAGAGGAACGGAGCGGGGCCCCACACACCGCTGAAAGACTTCTTTCCCCTCGAGCGTGATGCTATCTTTGTAGCAAACGCTCTGGCAACATTGAACTCGGCATTCTCCACAAAAACTACAGAGCTCCTGAATGAAGGCATACAGGTCCTGTTTAACCAGGTGGTAAAGCCTCGCCTACGACCTGTGCTTACTGACACCTTCCGAGATGTCGACTACACATTCACAGAGGATGAGCTGGCTGAGCTTGCCGAGGCGAATGACGAAGACGAGGAGGAGCTTCTAGAGGCAGTGTCCCGTCGGTTTGAGCACGGATGGGATGCTCTCATGAAGCCGATATCACGAATTATGACCCCCAGCACATTCACCACATTGTTGGACTTGACTGCGCGGTATCTATCCCGCCTCCTAGAAAAGCGAGTTTGGAGTTATGCGGGACGTACCAATGCATTCGGCGCTATCCGCATGGAGCGCGACTTCTCGGGCATTATCAGCACGGTGTCCAAGGGGAATTATAGTGTGCGGGAGCTGTTTGCCAAGGTCACACAGATCCTCATGGTGGCCAACATGGAGGATGATGAGTGGGAGGAGCTGTCCGCTGAAGATCCGGAGACGGGCATACAATGGGTGCTGAGCGAGGACGAACGGAGGAAGGCCAGGAACTTGGTACGGGTTTAGGAAAAGACAAGGAGACATAAAAAGAATTAGCATATGTGAGGGCTTAATGGCATAGCTCTACCTGAACGTAGCGCATTATTGATATAGATCGGCGGCATAGGCTGAGAAATCCGTTTTCGCCGTAACCCCCGGATGAGTGAATTGCATGATTTCAAGTACTATCACCATATGTAATGGCCAGGCTCTTCAATTGCAAATCAGATATCACCTCGTTAGTGGCTAAAGAAACCTCGGTTTTGTGGTGTGCTTGATGTTGTTTGCGGCTCTGTCTAACTGTCGCAGCCAAGACAAGGTTCTAAGTAGGTATCTAGGTAGTACCTAAGTAGACTCAACCTTGGACTTTAAGAGTCAACCCCACCTCAATTGGCTTCCCAGCCTCGTTCACTTATCATCACAATCAATCAGCTGAAACTCTGCGAAGACAGCAAGTAAATACATCTGCATATATTATAGCCATGAACGTAACTGTCGATTGGGATGATGACAAGCACCTTCTGCGCTGCTGGGCTCACCAGGACTGCAAAGGCTGCCTTCACGAAGACAACTGCGCCTGGTGCCCATTCGTAAGCATCCTTTCGCCGAGCTCTTGACACAGCAGCTGGTTGACGCTTGTCATAGTCATGGTCTTGCGTGCCAAATAATTACACAATACCTGCCCTAGCACCGGCTTACGATGAGAATATCTGCCCGCACTGGGCGGGGCGGTGGGAGATTCGCACTCGGCCTCTAGGCTGTCAAGTGTCTACCATCACCAGCCTGACCGCCATCATATCAATCGTCTCCACGATGCTTGGCTTGCTATTGATATTCCTCATCATCTTCGCCATCATCAGGCTGCGTAGACATCACAAGCAACACCCAGAGTGGTATAAGCTGTGGAGGCATGACTGGAGATCATGGCCCTCGAAGCTAAGGTTTCGCCGACGAGAGAAGCCGGCGACAGCGGCCGAGCAACAGCCTCTACTAGAACCGTGAAAGCTCGTTTGGTTGGAAATCACATGCATCGAGTCAAACAAGACCACGCTCTCTCAGCCCGAGCTTACAGGAGGAATGATGGCGACCTCATCGCCCTCCTGGATCACTGTCTCTTCAGCCGCGTTGTCGACAGCATCACTCTCAGATGGCATATCGACATAATTCATATTGATCGTCACCAGGCAAGAGTCCAGAACTTTGCGCGTGATGCCATTATAGCGCTCTTCTAGGAAAGGGAAGAGCTTCTGCAGCGAGAGAGGCGCGGGGAATGCCTCGAACTCTTTACCGGTCAAGGAGCTGGCACTAGCGAAGTAGAGGAGGTTGAAATGCCCCTTGGGAGGCTTCGGGATGATAGTCATCGCATCACCTAGACGTCATAACTGTCAGTGAACTGTGTCAAACGCAATAAACTTGATCAATAACAGCGAAGAGTGGATGTGTTGTCAGTGATCTTGATAGTTAAGAAACATCATTGAAAGTCAGGTAATACATGCTTTTTGAGTCATCATTCAACAGCGTAGAAACATACGAAGAACAAAAGCAGGAAGTAAGACTTACCGTGAGGCCAGGTGCTTGCACAGAGAAAAATATCTCGCGCAGCTTGGTGAAGGGAAGAGACAATTTTCGGCTCACCAAAAGAAAAAAAAATTGGGTAGACTTCTAGCTCCGGTTCTGTGCTCGGATAGCTGCATCGCCGCCTAAAGGAATACCTAGGTAACGGCGGCTCCCGCCTTCAGGGTCACTTGTGCGCTGTAGCCCTCACTGGACCGATTTAATCTGGGGCCGTTTTAGGGCCACTCTAAACGCGTGCTTGGGGAGCACAGACGCGCATCATCCTAAGCTCCCAGGGGCTTGACGTTTTGACAGCACCTCCCCCAAGAAGCTTCCACCTTACCTCTTTTCTCTCTCGCATAATCCAGTGTCAACTTTGTGGAGGCTTTTGAGGCTGGGGCTTCTTAATTTGCCGTTGCAATGGCTCTGAATAGGAAATACGCCGCCCTGCCTGACTTGGTGAGCTCTGCAAGCTTAACTGACCCGATCTGCCTCTGATTATACCTCCAGGATTCGGCACCAGACATCTACGAAACCCCAGAGCTTACCGATGACAACTCTACCGTCCCCGTGGGTATATTAAGCTCCGATCTGTAGAGCCTATGCTGACATGACGTTCAGACAACAACCGTGAAGTCACATTCAGATGACGAATTCGACGAGGATGACGATGTGGACAGCGCTGGCATCTCTCGCACACGATTACGAATAGACCAGGCTCGGTCGCGCTTTCTGCCCGCACAAGTCGATGCAAGGGACGTCGACTTCTCAGACAGACTGAATGGCAAACGAAAATCGTACAAGACCTCGAACCGACGACAGCGAATCTTGGACGATGGCACTGAGGAGCTTGGAGATTTTAGTGACGAAGATGACGGGGAGAACTTGGCACGAAAGATTGCCCGGTTGAAGCGAGAGATCGAAGAGGCCAAGGAGGAATACGGCAAGCAAAAGGAGGCAAAGACGAATGGCCCTTCGGAAGACGCCGCTCAGGAGCTAGAACTGGCCTCTCTCAGCCAGATCCTGGACGAAATCTCGAAGCATCCAGAGGAACTGGCCCAGGGTCTGGGTTTCCGACCAGCAAGGATAGTACCAGAACCAGGGACCGGGACAAAGGAGCCAGGCACTGATCTTGGAGATGCAAACGCAACCTACACCGTCACGTACACACCGACATACCAAGAAAGTCATGCCCTAGCAAAAGCCGCAGACTTCGACCGTCGGCTCCTTTCATTAGAGAAAGCCATCGGCATTGGATCGTCGGCCTTTTCTGAAGTGGACTCGTCGGGACTACCTAGAGCGATCGTGCCCACGCTCGAAACGCTACAGAAGCAAATCTCAACACTATCAGAGGCCTCAACTTCGAACTTAGACAGCATCAGCCGCCGAGTGCGCACTCTTATTCAAGAGGCAGAGCAGCTGGAGAAATCACGCCGACAAGCAAAGGCTGCTCAAGATGCGTTGTCGTCAACAGGTGCCACTCCAGCAGAGGGAACGTCTTCGGGCGACTCGGAGCAGATTGCGAAGATCAATGCACTCTATGGCACATTACCAACCATTGAGAACCTGACGCCTCTTCTGCCGCCGCTGCTAGATAGGTTGAGGTCCCTACGAGCTATGCATGCCGATGCAGCAACGGCTGGCGAAACGCTGGAGCGTATAGAGAAGCGGCAGGCAGACATGGCTTTAGATATCAAACAGTGGAGGGAAGGACTTGATAAGATTGAGGCGGCAGTCAAGGACGGCGAGTCGTCCGTGAGTGGTAACATGAAGGTTGTGGAGGGTTGGGTGAAAGATCTCGAGGCGAAGATGAATAAGTTGTCCTGAGAATGTATTATGAAGCTCCTAGTTGGAATGATACCCAAGATTTGCCAGAAATATCGTTGCAAAATGTTGATGTATACTTGTGTTGGGCAAACTGTTTCCAAATGACAAAGTTAAGAACATTAATGTCATAAGCTACTACCCAGGGAGGTACAGCACCTGGACACCGTTCGTTTAATATTTACACGCGGGTACCTTGCATAGAGAAGGTGAGCGGTGAGAAGCTATTGTGGGGTTCGGTGAGCTCGGTGAAAATTTTCCCCTCCAAAAAGTTTCCCACTCCAAAAATTTACTGTCACTCTCCTACACTGCGAGACCACCCCACCATGCGCAGTCAAGATGCCGAGCATAACAGCCAGCCAAGAGGAGCTTGACCGACGGAAGGTACGATATGATCACCTCTAATAAATATAAGAAACTTCTTCTAACACATTTCTCCAGATTGTCGGGATTAATTCCGAAACCGTCACCGATGTCACCTCGACCGACTACCCGGGCCACTGGCCAGGCGAGGACCATTCTTGGGACATAGATGCGTTCCGGCGGAGTTTCACGGTCGACTTCCACGAGAACAGCGAGCACGATGCCTCTTTCAGCCTGATTGGCGTCGACGCCTCGATCGCCAACGCCTTCCGCCGCATTATGATCTCTGAGGTGCCGACTCTAGCCATCGAGACCGTTTACTTTGAGAACAACACAAGCGTGATCCAGGATGAGGTCCTGGCGCATCGCCTGGGACTAATCCCGTTCAAAGGCGGAAAGCCCGGTCTGTTCGACTTTATGAAGTGGTACAAGAAACCCACATCCGAGACCGACTTCGACGGCGCCTACGACTTTAACACTGTCAAGCTCGAGCTGAAGGTCCGGTGCACGCGGAGACAGGACGCCGCGCCCGGTGAGACGGATCCAAAGAAGATATTTGAGCACTCCGCCGTCTATGCGAGCGACATCAAGTTCTGCCCCCAGGGCAGGCAGTCGGAATTTTTCTCAGGGGAGGATGCCATAGCGCCGGTCAACCCGGACATCCTTATCGCTAAGCTGCGCCCGGGACAAGAGATCGACTGCGAGATGCACATGCATAAGGGTATCGGAGCCGACCACGCCAAATTCTCGCCTGTGTGCACGGCTTCGTACCGCCTGCTACCTACGATTAAAATCACCCGCCCCATCCTCGGCCAAGATGCCGAGAAGTTTCAGCAGTGCTTTCCTCCAGGAGTCATCGGACTTGAGAAGGTCACCAAAAAGGAGGCGAAGCGAGGCAGCGAGTATGAGGGCCATGAGGGCGAACTTAAGGCCGTCGTGGAAGACCCAATGAAGGACACAGTCAGCAGAGAATGTCTGCGACATGACGAATTCAAGGGCAAGGTCCAGCTAGGCAGGAGGAGGGACCATTTCATCTTCCAGATCGAGAGCACCGGACAGTGGGACTCGGATGAGCTGTTCCTTGAGTCGATCAAGCACTTGAAGAATAAGTGCAAAAAGTTGGAGAAGGATGTTGTCAATATGGTCAGGTAGCATACCCTACCTTTTCCCATCCAAAATCCTAGCATTTAGATATGGCGTACGGAGTCAAAGAAGGACCGGCAGGAAAACTGGACTTGTCAAATTTAATGCTATTCATATCGTCATGTCTATTTTTGGAAGCTATGATACACCCAAGAGAGTCATCAAATGCTCGCTTTGACTTGCATGCCAGCAGAATGGTCCGTCTCCCTTATTATCGAAATTGCAGTATGAATGTGAAAGATACTGTCGCAAAAGCCGGATCCGTGACAGCAACCTCCTGGTTATCTATCAGGCCAAGCTCCTTCAATGTCTTGTCTAGATTTGGTCTAGTCTGTTCTTCTAGGCCCGGCGGGGACCGCATATATAACGTCTTGCCTTCGGCAGTGATAGAAGGCTTCTTCAACTGTGCTTCTGGTCGGCCTGCGAGAGAATCCAAGAGCTCCTGTAACGTCCGGTCTGGGTTGACCTCCAGCGGGCGCGCCACCTGCCCACAGACCGGGCAGTCATCTTTCTTCTCGTAATTAAACGTATTAGTGTAGATGCTCTCGTTTCCTGAGTATGTCATATAGTTGTCGGTGAAGCCCAGAGCCGGCGCGCAACCACTTGCGATCTTCAGGGCCTCGTTGCAGCAACTTGCGGCGATGATGGCATTGGTCGAGGCGATAGCGGGAATAATATTCTTGATAACACCCTGTGTTAATGAATAGGTGACTCCTGGGATTTTGAACTGCATAGCACGAATGAGCGCCTTTTGGTAAAGCCATTGAATATGCTCCGGGTCATCCTTGTCCAGTTTAGGAAAGGGTTTCTCCTGGTCCCAAGCAATGATGTGTGCCCACTCAATGCAGTGCTCCGGTTGTCGAGGGATTGTGGCCAGTGTGCAGAGCGGTACCGCTGCTCGGGGAGCATAGAGATCCAGTTGACATTCAATACATGAGGTCATCGTGGGAATAATGACCCTGGATTGCCCCTTGAAGCCTGTGACCAGTTAGTCAGTCACTCTAGGTCTTGAAGGTGATGCTCCTTGCCTTCTGTGCCCCCGTCAATCATCGGCTTCAAGCTGTCTGGGTTCTCCATGTCCACCATGTTCACCAAGGTAGCATTAATCCACCGTCGAGCTTCGATGCTGTCCAAGCCACACACCACCATCTGGAATTGCATGTAGAAATCCTCGTCATAATCCTGGATCCGGCAGTTGTGGGGTGTAATCTTGACTCCTTTGACACGCTTCTCGACGAACTTTGCTGCTACCTCCGCCTTGGACTTCCCAACGTCCGCCTTCCTGAACAAGAACTGCCGATTGAGGTTCGAGATATCAATCGTGTCCATATCAATGACATGGATATCCTTAAAGCCTGACAGCGCAAGGTTCTTGAGAATCTCACACCCTAAACCACCGGCTCCAATCACTAGGATTTTGATGCTGTCCATCCTGGATATCACAGATTCCGGGTCGTATCCCGACTCCTCGCTCGTGTCTGTAAATGGGCCTGGGGTCGTGCGTATCTTGTCGAGGTAAAGCCTACGGCGTGCTTTGTCAGTATAGACCTTTTATCGACACTCCTACTAAGTATCTTACCATCTTGAGGACACCTCAGCACCTGGCTGAATGTCTGCGGCAGCCATCTTGGAGAAACCCCCAAAATGCGGATCGTTGCGGTGATGATTAGGAATGGTAGAAGAGCTGACCTAAGGTGATTTGGAGGGGTAGTTCGGTCATTCTTATCGAGCATCCGATAAGGTTTAGGGGATTTTCAGGCAGCAGTTGGCGGCATGGAGCCGTGCTGCCCACTGTAATGCCCACTACTGCAGCTAGAACTGTGCCTAGAACTAGTGTCTCGGTTCCTGACAGCATCGATTTCATGGACTGAGCCTCACCTTTGATAACCGTGATGACCGGAGTGAAAAGGGCATTTCCGAGTGGCACGGAGCATGCTGAGATGCCTTGTCTTTGAAGGTCGCGCTGCAATATGGACGAGCTCCTTACTCCTATCAGCCGGAGCTACAGGAAGGAAGCGCCCTTGCTACAAGAGGTGCAATCCACGGAAATCAAGCCAATCACAACCAGAACGGCATTCAAGGCAACATCTGTCAACGAAGCTATAGAGGCTCTAAGGAATGAGCCGGATTACAATACTTTGATCTCGGTCTTGAGATTCCTTGTCAAGGGTGACCAGGCCGGTGAAGTCTTCAACATTGCAACTCCTAGTCCGCAGAGCGCCAAAGTCGTCCAAATCCTCGTTGCGGATATTGCCCCCAACTATTGGGCCCTTCTGAAAGAAATAGAGCCAACTACGGAGCAGCACAGCAAGACGTCAAGACTTACAGACATCGATCTATTCTTGGACTGTCTCAGAAGTGTGACCGGGCTAAATGCTTGCTTGACTCGCCTGCGGGCTTTGATACAGGAGAAGAAGGCAGAGAATGGTGATGTCAAACGCTCTGACACAGATTTGAATTTGGGCATCATCCTAGAGCTTCTGTCCGCATTGCTTGACGGCGACTTTCGCGTGCGAGCCTTGTGGCTATCGACTTCTAGGAAGACAACAGATCCAGTAATAAGAAAACCCGTGAGCCAGGAGTTTCTAAGTTTACTCGGTAGTGGGCGTATCATCTCCCTAGCTGCTGAAGCTCAACATCTGGCTATACATGATGCCAAAGGGGATGGGTTATGGATCGCTGATGGCTTGCGCTATTCGACATGGCTCACCAGAAACATCCTTGAGTGGTCTTCGTCAAAGCCCTCGGTTGAGGATACAAAGTTATGTTCAGATCTGGCGGGAAAGACTCTGCGTCTGGGATACCACCGTAAGCTTGATCAATCATATTAACGTGAACTAAGGCTAATAGATGTAGAAAATGTCGTCCAGATTCTCTTGGATGCCCTTCTGGAAAATACAAATGGTGCCGCTGAGCGAGTTAGAGGAATTCTCAACGGCCTTCCGCATCTCGAGCAAAGGAAGATTCTCTACGCCGTACTCAGGATACTTACAGACCTACACCTAAACCACATCGACGCATCGAAGTTATCTTCTGGGCAAGATATTATCTCAGCCACTGCAGGTGTCATTAATAGCTTTGTTGGGCCAGATGCGGCAGGAAGAACCAGTCTGATCACATGGCTGACCAGTTCGACCGGGGCTGGTATGGGCGACAATGTTGGTATTCGTCGAGCAGTTATCGCTACTATAGCGCAAAATCGCGATGATATTATACTCGTTTTTGAGAAGAGTCTCAGCCAATTTGGAGATCAGCTTTACATCAAACATTCACCGATGTTGCAACAAGAAGGTAGGTTACTTATCATCTCTGCATAATGACAATCGCTGATTTTCCTTTCCACAGCACACGCTCAGGTGCTTCTCTTAGCCGCCGGTTATGTTCAAAGACTATCACCTATCAAGCTATCGATTCAACTGAGATCAAGCACTTTCATGACCGGCATTTCAAACCGGCTGGCAGCCTCTCAGAACAGGGCTCGACTCCTAGGGATGATTGTTGGCGAAGCACTTTCACAACTTGTGCATAATGTTGAGACTAAGCTCAACTTCAAAATGGAAGAGACGTCGTCAGAGGAGGCGACTTGGTACAAAGAGTTGGTCAACATCTCTGACTCGATAGGACCCGTTGATATGCTACGACCCAAAAGTACGACCAAGGCTTCGAAGATGATTACGCCAAAGCAACAGCCAAAGCATAAGGAGAAAAAGGCAGTCCCAACAATCAGTAAAGCAAAGGCAATCATAGAGGAGGTAGATTCAGAAAGCGAGGACGAAGGCCTCAAAGCTTATGCTAAGCCTGACTCGGATGAAGAAGACTCAGACGATGATCCAACTTTGGTTAGAAGGGACAAGCCAAAGGCACCTGTGTACATCCGGGATCTCATCACCTATTTTAGAGATACGGAGAATTATGACCGTCAGAAACTTGCGTTGACCACCGCCCCAGTCTTGATACGACGGAAAGCCGGTTACGGGACGGAGGTAAAGGAGCACGCAGAAGAGCTTGCATCTCTCCTTGTCGGCCTTCAAGATAAATATGAGCTAGAGGACTTTCACAACCTCCAAATTCAGGGAATGGTCGCTCTTGTTGTTGCTCAGCCGCAAATAATGGGTCAATGGTTCGGTAAGACGTTCTTCGATGGCGATTATTCTGTCTCACAAAGAGCGTCGATCTTGACGGTTATGGGCTTGAGTGCCCGTGAGCTGGCTGGGTTCGAGACTTCTGAGTACGCTACCACAACAGAATTTGCGTCAAAGAAGCTCCCCGAGAGAATCGAAAAGCTTTACCTCAACGATGGAGGATCAAGAAGCCAACTGCAAGCCTCATCAGCGTTGAAAGCACTCCCACCGAATGCCCTTGACACCATATCGAAATCCCTCACATCCACGTTTCTTGCACCTTTAGCGGCTGAAGCCGCAGATGCTGCAACGGGACCGGATGCCCTCAAACTATCAACATTTACGTCCCGCATGAAGGATAAATCGCAAATCAACGCCAAAGCCAAACCTAAGCCTCGAGTACGTGCCATCCCAAACACTACCGCGCAAATTATATCGACATCATTCTTTTTCCCCCTCACAGCTCGCTTCCAGAATGCGTTGCATTCGACTGCCGGGCGCCTGCACGGGATAGTGTTTCAGCCTCTGTTGTTATCTCTCTACCTCAAGACCCTGGCTCTGCTCTTACACGCGGCTGGTCCAAGTACGCTTTCCCTCCCTGATATGACTTCGGAGCTTTGGGGTCTGCTGCTGGGCAGCAGTATCCGTGCTCACGCAGTGGGGGATCTTGGGGTTACACGTGCAGTTCTATTTACGCTCTTGACGCTTCTTGACGTAAATGAGAACCGAATGCGAGATCTGTGTCAGTTTCAGGGGAAAGAAGTGGTTGAGACTCAGGAGTGGGTGGTTCAGGTGTTTGAGGGAACTAGGGGTGAGGACGGAGGCGAGGAGAATGAGGTCAAAATGCTCGCTGCTGGTATATTAATACGTCTTAGAGATGGCATGGAGAAGTATAGAATGTTGCTCATGGGCGAGATGATATAGCAATGTAAGCAAGTACTTGATGACTGGAAGAAAGAATTTGTACAGCGACCCTTGGCTATGTGATGTCTGTTTTATTTCCTTAGTAACTCCACGTAGACAAGCATTGTAGGTGCAATAAATCCTTATTCCATCCTCCAGAATCTGAATGACGAAGCAACCTCTATGATTGTCGATTTAGCTGGGGAATGAGTAGGGAAATATCGCGGCTGGCAAAAGATAACAAAAACTTTCCACCAGCGAGCTACTGGCAGTACTAGAACCGAACAAATCGAGTTTACAGTGTGTGTTGGGTCGTCCCAAACTAATGACTGGTAGAGCCATTAACTCAAGAGTGCTCTGCTCTCGATTTACCGCCCGACGAACTCATCAGAAATCAGATCTCGTCCTTATTCACTGCTATATGGGTATCTTGAGTCCGCCACCTAAGGCAGCAACAACCCCCACCCATCATCTGCCGACACGACCTAGACCATCAAGGAATAAGCTGCAGAATCTTCCTTTCACGAAGACATCAACCATCGCAGCGCCTCCCGGGAATCTTCAACGTGCTTGCGTGCGAAATTAGTTTCTGGAAAGAAGACCCATCCAGCATGAGGAATCCCTGGGTATATATCGAGTCGCGTCGGGATGCCCTCATCTTTCCAAACCTGCTCCAATATGAGTGTACAGTCTCGGAGCAGGTCGCCGCCGCAAGCAACGAAGTATGTCTTCGGAATTCCGGTGTGATCAAATAGGACAGGCGAAGCTAGAGGGCTACTGAGATCAGGTTTGTATTGTCCTTTTCGACACCTGTCAGCTGTTGTTAGCCTTTCGAAGGGAAGAACACTTACGATGGACAAACTCCATGGACGACTCATTCCACAATAGAGCCTGGGCGTTTTGCTCCCTTGAGAGAAATCTATCTTTGTACTTCTCTGGCACATTATCCTTAGATAAGGCCGAGGGGACAGCAATATACAGTCCTGTCAGTGGAGGAATATCATTCTCGTCTCGGGACAGATGGGCGACAGCTAGTGCAATGTCGGCACCAGAGCTTTCACCACCAACTAAGAAACCCTTCTTAGGATTGATACCAAGCTCCTGATGATGCTGTGCAACCTGGGACAAATATTAACAACAGAGCTGCATGAATGAGGTGGTATCTATACAAACCCATTTCAAGCTATCGAAAGAATCATAGATAGGGATCGGAAAGGGATTTTCAGGAGCAAGACGATACTGAACATCAATAGCTATTCCTCCAAGTGTTGTGATCAAGTCGCAGAGCCAGGCTTCAAACTCTTTGTCGCCGACACAAAAACCGCCGCCGTGGTATATCATGAAGCCGGGACAGCCGTCATCAGGGACAGTTTTGGGCTTGTAAACTCGCGCTTGAATGACAGTTCCGTCTCTTACAGTGACCTCAATATCCTCAGTAAGACAAGATGGGGGGGTTCGTGGCATATTTGCTCGCGCCTGCGCAAGCATCTCACGTTGCTCGGTTAAATCCGTGTCCAGGTCCCAGCCGTTGAGTGCGCCAAAGACTCTCAGGGGCTCACTTGCCTAGATTAATCATTTAGAATAAGATAAATCAGATAATTTTATGAAGGAACTGACCTCAACGAACTCAGGGTCCGGTTTGGCCAGTGCCAAAGTCTCCTCGATCGACAACATTGTCTGGTAGGCACGGCTAATACCAAATATCAGGGTTTGATTTCTACCTGATATAGATATATCAAGATCTAGAACAATATCTTAAACAGCGAATTTGCCTCTCAGGTCATACACAGCTATCAAATGTTCTAAGTCAGGGTTTCCAAGCTGGCTTAATCAGACAAGAATGCAACATTGGTTGTTGCATGAAGGTATATCGTTTACTGCGCTGAACCTGTCAGGGTCTTCAGGAAAAGCGCACAACCATATAGTAACAAGAAAATCAAGAGGCCATTGTTCTCAGTCTAGCCACTGTGATAATAATGCAAAGAAGAGCAGGCTTTGCTTTAGAACGCAATGTCAATGTCCAAAAGCAGTCTAATATGTGAAGGATCGCACATATTCAGGGGATGGGGTCTATGTCAGAACGTGACTTGGCACGTGCGTCGTCGGAAAGTCTCGGCCAAAAGCTCACTAACAGTGACTGACAAATCATCGTCAGGCAATTCCCAGCACTCGGCATCTTTGATGATCTGGAGCTCCCAAACTTTTCTGTCCCGACCTTCCCGTCAGCAAAACTTGGCCTGCAAAATAATTCACAATGGCGTCGCAAGCTGTATCCACGAGTACGGTCCCTTCCTCGAGCACTCTCAAGATCGAGAACTGTGGAACTGACGCATGCGCAGCTCCAGCCACAAAGGCTCAAGTTGCGCCGAGTACCGATGCTGCGTCGAAGCCAAAGGTGAGTCGCCTGACTTTGCGCCAACCGCCATTTCTCCCGCAACACTCATCGAAAACAAAATCTAATACACTCCCGTTTTCTTAGCCCTGCTGTGTATGCAAAGACGAGAAATCTCGACGCGACGAGTGCATGCTGTTCTCGAACGCCGCGGACCCAGCCAAAGACTGCAAGTCGACTATCGAGCAGTACAGAACCTGCATGGCGGGTTTCGGCTTCACTGTCTGAGAAGGCTGTTAGTCAACCAGAAAGGATGAGCGCTGTACGATATTAAGAAAACGGAATACATGAGCATTTGCACTCGGTCCCCTCCTATGTTTACAAGCACTTCGCAAAGTGCATGCTCTGGATGGATGGAACTCGGCGTTGGAGGAATTTCACAAAACACTTGCATAAAGATGGTTTATGATGTCAATGAAGGATTGCAAATGTCCTAGTATTAGATTGGTTCTAATGAACAATCATTGGCTGCACCAAAGCTCTTTTAAGCATGATTTCAGTATCGATCTCACCCGGGGGTATCTCCCATATAGCAAGCCACATAACGCCAGCTTTCCGACTTCGAATCGCTATTATGCCAGTCGTCTACAAGACTGATCCGTCTAGACACCCTTCATGAGTTGTTTGTAAGCTGTCAGGCAGAGTGATCAAGTCAAGAATCGTGCTCCACGCGTTCATCATGAGGCACCTGCGGTGGTGCTAGGGTGGCTTTGCGCAACTCTTCTAGCCGGCCGTCATAGACCGACTCAATCAAATTCGTCAGATTTGCGAATTCGCGCTGCGACTCCTCAAGCTTGGCAGCGATTGCCTTCTCGAGCTCATATCGCTTCTCCATTGCGCGAGTGAGACTTGTAACTCGCTGACTTTGGGCCATCTCGCTATTCGAATGCAATCAGTCTTTCCAGTTCAATCATAGATGATATCATAGGAGGTCAATGTATTACTCACATTTCTTTGGAGCGAACCGCACCTTGTTCCTCGATGCGAGCGTGAAGCTCACGGGCTGCCGCCTTCAAGCTGGCTTCTTGTGACTCTCTCTTGGCATTCCGCTTCTGCTTGATCTACTCCAATTGATACTGTCAGAAACACTTCATAGCATCATTTAAGAGGGGTTGTCTGCAAACATTTTCCACCTGGCCCTTTATGTGGATATAGTCCGCTGTAGAAACGGTATCCTCCATCTCGATACCTGAATCGTTTTGGGTCCCGCCGATGGTCTGATTATTCTTTGGGGGCATTTTAGTGACAGTACTGGGCGAAGACGATGTTTTTTCTGGTTACTCTTTGATCAGGAAAGTGAAGGCTGGGATTGCCGCGATTCGACCAGACCTTTGAAGTAATTCACGGCAGTCAATTGTTGAGGCATGGGAGTGTGAGTGATGCCTGTGAACCTCTGTGGTAGTCTCTTGCGGCAGGCAAGAGCAAGAACGGAAGCATCAACGGCAGGCACGCCTGCTTAGCTTCAACGATAAGATCCACCCATATCTTATCGGCCCCTTCCCCAAATTTTGCAAACCGCCTAGGCCATCCTTGAAGGTGGCAGCGCCCCACCAAAGACTTGCATCCAGTGTACTAACAGATTTTGATGATTAAACTATACAAAGTTGTTAGACCACGCTGCAACTTTTTCATTTTTCCCTTGCATCTTTTCCTGGCCAGCAACCTCCGCCCAAAAGTTCCTCCAAACACAGGTGGGCTCACATCCACCTCGAGATGATACAATGGGTCTCGCAGGAGCGAAGAAGTAAAAGCTTGCTGGCTCCCTTCATGATACATTTCCACTGACAATACTTACAGCAAGCGGAAGTTAGCCAAAGATCCCAACAATACAAAGTGGTCTCGAAACACCGACGGCTTTGGCCACAAGATTCTGCTCTCACAGGGTTGGCAACCGGGAGACTACCTTGGAGCTAAAGATGCACCTCATGCAGAGTTTCATACCGCAGCGAACTCGTCACACGTACGGGCCGTACTGAAGGAAGACAACCTCGGTCTTGGTGCAAAGCGCAATCAGGGAGATGAATGTACTGGACTGGACGCTTTTCAACAGCTGCTGGGTCGGCTCAATGGCAAGAGCGAGGAAGTTCTCGAGACAGAGAGGAAGGCAAAGGCGGACCATCAAATGAACGTCTATATCCACAGGAAATTTGGCACCATGCGATTTGTCAAGGGCGGCTTTCTTGTCGGTGATCAAGTATTAGAGCAACTGGCAGTGAAAACCACACAGATCAAGATCGAAGCTTCCGCGGAGGTGTCCAGTTCATCTTCGGCTGACGAAGCTGAGAAGAAACCTTTGAAGGAGAAGAAGTCAAAAAAACGTAAGGCGGAGGGCGATTCGGAGTCAAAGAGCAAAAAACGGAAGAAGCAGAAAGCTCAAGACGATGATCAGAGTCAAAGCGAGGCTGTCTCCCGACGGAAGGATAAGAAGAAGCAAAGGAAAGAGGAAGCGGCTGTGACAGAAGGTGAGGTCGCTTCAGAGACAGTGGAAAAGCCACGAAAGAAAGACAAGAGCAAGAAGTTAAATAGCTCTATGGAACCAACACCAGCAGACACACCCGAATCTACTCCCACAGGTAGTGGGTATTCAACGCCGGTTTCAGGAGTTTCTGGGCGGCATCTTGCAAGAAGGCGTTTCATAGCCCAAAAACGGGCAGCAGTCATGGATCAGCAGGCGTTAAATCAGGTATGTTCTTTGGCTCTTTAAGATGTTGACTTGTTACTGACATTGCTGTATTGTAGATTTTTATGATAAAGACATGATCAAAATAGATCTCAATGATACATATTACAAAGATAATGACCGTGTCAGGGTTTGGGCATTTGTTTGTCCATCAAAATGAGATAAAGCCAATTCTTGAGATATGGGGATTTTGACAAACAAGACTCGAGCTATCGTCCTCAGATTATGTGGTTTGGGCAGTGGTAGTGAGCACGGATGTGTCTTTTCAAGGTAAATAAGCAATTGATTACAGAGTAAGGCCCAGGGCAAGCCTCTCAGAATAAAGATGAAAACGAGATGGCCACTCACTTTTCTGTCAAGAAACAAATTGACAGGCCTGCACAGAAACTCATCATTTTTAGATGAAGGAAATCATAATTTGTACGGATTTTCCACCTGGAGAAAACAAAACAAAACAACACGTCTTATAATGAGGTCAACCAGCACGTCACGTCTGCTGCTTCCCCAAGCCTATCCTCCCAGGTTTTCTTTCACCATATCACCTCTGCCTTTCCAAGGTCACATACTCTTGGCCTTGGCTCACCCACCACGTCTACCTCTCCCAGCCTACCCGCCTCTCTGAGTTCTCTTTCACCCACCTACCCTTCATTGTCACAACTGACTGGCCGAGATGCACAATGGACGAGAGGCGCTTGACGTACGCTGAGGTGGCTGACGGCCGCCACTTGTCCATCCGAATGGAGCAGAGTTCTCAGCAGCTCAACAACTCTGGGTCTGATCAAACCATCACTGCACCAGTTGGGCCATTTTCAGAGCTCGAAGAGCTTGTAGGCGACTATCTTATACCTCCTTTCCATGTTGATCCGCTGCTGTCACCCCCATCCTCACCCGAATCCACTGTCGTGGGCGCCTCACGACCTTGGACGTCATCGGCAGAACCATTGTCCTGTAAAGATGCAAGGACTGCTGGTACTGCCCTAAGAATGGAGAAGAAGCTCTGGAACCCTAGTGATTCATTCTCCGAGAATGAATACGATGAATGCTGCCTTCACAACCCAGGCTACTCCATCAGCAACGCCTCTCAGGATGCTCTTGACTCACACTCAGACTCCGTTGAGCCCAAACCTGGCAAAGCGCATTCGGAACTCTTGTCAGCTGGCAACATGACTACACCTATGAGCTCAGCTGAGGGATCTTCCAGCCCAAATTTTGAGGGCTACAAGAATTCTAATCAGCTCACCAACACCTCAGGTACGGCTGACAACGCTCCTACCGTCAAGATGACAGCACCTACGGATGTCGAGGTCCAAGTCTCCAACCCGATGGACGATGACGCTGAGCCTGCCGGCGCCGGTCCAAAGTCTACCGAAGCGAAGTCAACCAGACCTGAGAGCATCGGCTCCGATTCCCAGGCGTCCAGCTTGACGAAGCGAGCTGATCTGATGCCGCGATTCGCCAAGGGCAAAGGCAAGGAGCCGTCCACCGAGAAGAATTCATCCACGACCGAGGATCTCTCCAAGGCGACCGAGCATCTTTCAATCACTTCAGTTGAGACCTCTTCCGCGGGTGACGAGAAGAAGCGCAAGGAGTCTGACCTCAAGGAGGCAATGCTTCGCGCTCTTGATCAAGGCGACACTCCGTATGTATTCTGCTACGACTCACCTCACGTTCTCCTCTCGAGAGAACTTACTAACATCGGCATCGGAAGTTTGTGGGAGAACAACGTCGGTTGGGATGTCTTGATTCAGTGCCGTGGTCACACTTGGCGCGTCCATCGCGATATTCTCTGCGAGCAGTCGCCGGAGTGGATGGCCAAATACATTCCGCCCAAGCTTCCGGTCAGCGTCCACCCTTGATCTCTTCTGCGGCTGTTGTAACTAATTCTTTTCAGAACAAGGCGCCTGTCACCTGGAAACTGGACTCTCATGATCCAAGAATGCTCGGCAATGCCTTGCAATTCATGTATCTTCGCCGTAGGTAACCTCCTCTATCTAACCTTTCCATGTCTGAAGCTAACATATAGAATAGGATTCGAGCACGGAGAGATGGACCCCGAGTATCCTTACGAGACAGGTTGTATCGTTACCAACGTCGCCATGTACATCGCCGCAACAAGTGTCCGCTGTCGTAACATGATGGATATGGCCATTAACAATCTGGAGGGTGCCGGCGAGATCATCGAGACAGCTGCCCCTGACTTGGCCCACATGAACGTCGAGAGCTTTCAGGAGCCTCTCCGCCGCGCGCTGCTCATCATGTATGAACAGCCTGACCAGTGGATTATGCGCGGCTTGCGTCTTGCCATGGCTAGACTCGTCGCAACCTTCTACGGATTCATTGTACTGAACCCCGCCTGGGCCCGCTATGAGACTGAGTGGATGGCAGTGCACCACTTCATCATGGAAGACAACATGTTCTTCGGACAGAGTGGCTGTCTGCGCCTTGTTCCCGCAATTCAACGCCGTGTCTTGAATGCTCTCGTCATTCAAGCATACAACGGCACTCGTACTGCTCCGCAGCTTCATACTGCGAACGGTGGCTCCGCAAGCTCAGCTACCAGAGCCAGAGCCAGAGTCACCTCTCTGCCTATCACTTCTTCACAGCAAGGTCTTCCTGTGATCTACAACTTGAACACGGCCTCGGGCCCCGTTGCTACAGACAAGGGGGTATCTTCCGGTCAGCCCAATTTCAAGTAACGCATAGTAGCCTAGGAGGACTAGGATGGATGGATGGGTCATTTACAGATTTCCCTGGTTCTGATTTGGAGCCAGGACGGATGGATGGACATTTTCAGATTTCCCTAGTTGTCGTGGAACACTGATGTTTGCAGATGACATTGGCGTTCAGGAGGACGTTTTCTTGCTTCGGACTGAGATACCCGGATACCTAAGGAGACCCTGAGACGGAACTTGTGCGTAGTGCTCGATCGTGCACGCGGATGCCATGCTTCTACGTATGATAGCCTCTTTCGTAGATTGAGATACGACTGGTTCTGAATGAATGCACTTGCCCTTTTACAAGGATGTGAGCTACGTGTTGGCAGTGTCATTCATTGACCCAGACTTCAAATTTACTCCTGCACCAGGGTAAAAACGTTAATTGTTCAAGGGTGAAGATACTTAATGTCGAGGGTTATAATATTCATCAAGTTCTCGAATATTCTGTTTATTATTATTGGTCTATCAATTTCTATAAAGGTAGTAAACCCTTGTCGAACCAATACTTATTACCCGGCGGAGTGGTAGTCTTGATTGATAAGTGTAGCGTTACCGTGACAAAGCAGCTGGTTTTGGTATAGCATATCAAATTTCCTAAAAGAGCAACTGCTGTACAAACACAGCACAGAAACAAGCTCCATTATTTTTGGACAACTTGGTGCTCTGAGAAATATCAGGAGCTTCTATTACTAAAGTTTGTATTTTGGATTGCTTTGTTTTCTCAACTTCTCGCATTAGTTAATGATCGGTTGGCTCCACCGTAATAAAAGTAGAGAATGAATCATCGTGGCTCATTGCTTCATTGACGCTAAAAGACAGGATTGGGCGAGTCCAAGAAAAGGCAGCTCTATCTCGAAGACAATGAGTACACATTTTGTCCATTACTCCCTCCAAAATGGCTGACAGCTCGAAACACGCAATTGTCTTCGGGGCGTCTGGAATAATTGGCTGGGCCGTAGTCGACGAGCTCTTGCGTTGCGGCGGCGGTTCTGGCCCGTTCTCAAAGGTCACTGCTGTCACCAACCGTCCGCTCAGGGCTCCCGAATCCTTCTGGCCCGAGAATTTGAACCAGCCAGACCTGCAGCTTGTCTCAGGTGTCAATCTTCGGCATGGCGGCAGAACTACATTGGCAGATTATTTGAAATTGGTGGTGAAAGACGTCGAAACTGTCACTCACATCTATTACCTTGGTATATTACCAGTGCAACGTCCCCGTACAGGACTTACCATCAATAGTCTTTACGGCGATCGATGATGATATTGAGGAGGTCGCGACGAATCGTCGCATGTTCCAGAATGTCGTCGAAGCCCAATCCATGCTCAGCCCAAATCTGCAATTCATAGCATTCGCTGGGGGGACACGAGTAAGTGCAACATCTTCCTTTCAAGTAATGCATGCTAAAAAAAAAAAACCAGGGGTACGGCATTTACGTCCCTGGAGGCACCTTCAGCCCGCCATTGACAGAGGACATGGTCAAAAACCTGCCGCCTGACTATGCCAAGACAGTCGTGTATCCGGCATATCGCGAGCTTCTGAGCACGGCGAGCGAGGGTAAAAATTGGACATGGTGTGAGGTCTGTCCTGATGCCATAGTAAGTTCCATCATCTCGAAGTGACAAAGCATTGCTAATCCTTCTCGAGATTGGTTTCACTCCGAACGGTTCGCAGTTCAGTCTTGCTCTACACTGGGCTCAGTATCTTTCTTTGTATGCCTATAACCACGGCATCGGGCCATGCACAACGGACGCTCAGCCAAGCGCCGTCGAAGTACCGTTTCCCGGTAACGCGGCTGGTGCCAGCTCGTTATTCTCCCCTGCTTCGAGCAGCATTATCGCTCGTTTCATGATATACGCGTCGCTGCATCCCGAAACGTGCGGTGATGGCAGGCTATTCAATATTGCCGACAACGAGACCCCGTCTACATATGGCGATATCTGGGCGCATTTAGCGAAATGGTTTGGCCTGGTGGGCGTTGGACCAGCCGAGACCTCGCAAGCTTCGGATAATGCATCGTTGGGAGTTGGCATGCTTCTTACAACTTCAGCCCCGACGCCTGGAGAGTATGTCGCCAAGTACAGGGACATCTTCGGGCAACATGGTCGTGTCAAAGCCGCCAATGGAGGTGTTGGAGTCGGCAGCCGCCAGTTGGATAGCGTAGGATACTGGCTTACTTTCGATCGACAGATGAGCCTGACAAGGTTGAGGGAGACCGGGTTTGAAGGGGCTAAAGATCCTGTTCAGGGCTGGCTGGATGCCTTCGAGATGTTCAGAAAGGCTGGCCTGATCCTCTGATCATCTGCAAGCACATACTTCCTCGTATCGTGTTCTGGTGTGCTCATAAACTCATGTGTGGCTCAGGATGGTTCGAGTCTTGTATATCAAAGTATACCATAAATTCTAATATGTGCTACGTTGAGTAAACAAACGCGTTTTATTCCACGGATGATCATATCGCAGTCAATTTCATAGTTACATAGAATAAAGCTAGGCTACAGGACTCTGATATCCATAAGCAATTACGTGATAGTGATTTAGGGTTATGGAAATCTCATCAAGGCAGCAAGTCAGGCGTGATACAAAGAAAGGGGGAGGTATCCTCGCTAGAGACTGCCTGATATCTGGTATTGGTGGGAAAGGTCTTATAATGAATCTAAAACGTCCTAAATTCAAACATGTCCTGAGGGCGGTGCCCAAGTTGGTGTCGGGTATTCGGGTCAAATCAGCGGCAAGGCACCCAAACGCAGACGATATTTTTTTCCTTTTTTGGATTGTTTACCTAGTTCCCTGGGAGTATTGTGTCCCTGAAGGGGTCGAGTTCGATTCTTGTAAGAATTAACGCTTTTCTTTTTCGGCCATTTTTCTCTTGGTTCCTCGCGGGGGTCCATATCAGATTTCTGTCGTCACAGTCTCATCTGATCTTGATGATCACCTTTCCAATATGCTTCTGGTCCCACAGGTATTGGAAAGCTTCCTTTGCCTCCTCAAAAGCAAAGATCCTATCATCAATGACCGGCTGGATCTTATTCACCTCGATTGCCCTGTTCATTGCTTCGAACTCGACTCGACTGCCCACCGTAATGCGCCTTGTCCCATGAACCACGCCATGTGGATTCCAAGCAGCGACTTCCTTGCTGCCCGCCTCCACACTGCGTCTGCCAACGATGGTTACCTCGCCTCCCACCGCAGCAGCCTTAGAGCTCTGATGAATGGTGGCCGGTCCGCCTATCTCAATTACATAGTTGGCTCCTTGCTGACCCACAGACAGTTTCTTTGCTGTCTCGCCCCAGTTTGCGTCTTCCTTGTAGTTGATAACATGACGAGCGCCGAGCTGCGTTAGACGCTCGGCCTTGTCCTTCGAGCTTGTCGTTGAAATGACCTCTGCGCCTGCAGCCACCGCAAATTGCAGAGCGAACATGCTAACACCGCCAGTGCCCTGGGTCACGACGGTGTCACCGGCTCGCAGTGATCGTGGACCATAAAGGCAGTTCCAGGCTGTGAGGCCGGCGCAGGGAAGCGTTGCAGCTTCTTCGTAGGACAGGTTAGAGGGCATGTGGACGAGGCCTTCTTCGTTGAATACAGCATATTCGCGTAGCACCCCGTCTGCTTTTGCGCCAAGGGACGAGTCTATGATTTGCCAGTTGAGAGTGCCGGCAGTGAACCATTGATAGAAAGTCGGGATGACACCGTCGCCTAGTTTGAATCGCCTGACCTTGCTACCGACGCTGATGACCTCTCCTGCTCCATCGGAGACAGGTACGACGGGATCAGACTGGCCCCAATAGTAGGTTCCCTGATAGTATGATTAGCAGCTATTACGAATAGGGGTCGAATAATCCCAGTGTTCTCAGGGGTAAATGGCTTCTACTAGAAACATACCGTCGCCATCATTAAGTCTCTGTAGTTCAGAGACACGGCATGCATCTTGACCAGGACTTCATTTTCTCCCACTTCTGGGATCGAAGCCTCCTCGAGCTTGAGAGAGTCGAAGCTCCCTTTGTCACGGATAACCCACTGCCTCATAGTGCGTGTTGCAACAAACGGCCAATCACACTCCCAGAAAGCCAATCGAATCACCGGAGACCAAGACAACTTATGTATCTTGGATCATGATCTGATTAATAATGCCGAACCTCGCCGCAGCGATGTTCGAAGCAGATTTGATGGTTTAGTCGCACCTGTACCGACGGGCTTCGGGTCGGTGGTGGTCAACCCCGGTTTACGGGAATAACTAATGAGCCCGCGTTGTTCAGAAGAACATGGAGCATCGCAAAATTCGGCCGAATTTCGCACTTCATGGTTTGCGAAAAGGAATCCTTCAACAAGTCATCTACACGGAGAAGAGATACGTTGGGTGACCAGGCCTCATAGCATTAGAGATGGAAGTCATCCGCGAGGAGAAGCAGAGGCAACTAGCCAATCATATCTCTATATGCTTCAATACGACGGCAGTGACTGCGTTATCTTACACCTAGCTGCTGTCAAATGTCAAGCGACCTACCGGATACTTTGAGACCTCTAATCTTCTACGCAGAGACTATCATAGTCACCTACCCGTTCTATCAACGCGAAGACGAGTATGCTAAGAGGACATGAATCCCACATTCTCAGATGGTTACGAAGTTCACATCAAAACGAAGTTGACCACCCCCCACGTAGTACAGAGGCTTGCAATCAACCGAGAATCCTTCGGTATACTGACACAATGGACTTCCCCACCGTGTCAGATGCTCAATTCATTCCCTGGGGAAGTCGATGCAGGGCAGTTCACCTGACTCAGCTTATCGTAGCAATCCCAAGGGAGCATGCCTTCAAGGCCCCGGAGGGCGAGAGAGGCTAACTGGCCAAAGTCACCTCTCGTGTAAGTTGTCCTCCCCTCCTGAGATTGAAGCTTGTAATTAGCGCCTCGCCCACCTTCACGATGATGGTAGGAATTGCGATAAGCATGCTTTGTGGTAGTGCTCACTCTGTTGTGGAGCCGGATGGACGCTCCGAAGCCCTGCATGACAAAAGAATCAACCAGCATCCATTAATAGTCTCTCGTAGTTGTATTCTGGCTGAGAGGGCTGCTCAGTGAAGCGCCCACTGCGCCAATGTCTCTTTCGGATGTCGGCACTGCGAGAGGCAGGTCTGTGAACTCCCGTGATGTTCTAGTAGTGTCGTCCGCAGAGACATTCCGGCGGGTGTTGCCAGGGCAGACAAGACGGGCTTGATGCGACCCAAAACTGGGGACGAACAGAGTTTCAGATGGCCCAGGAAGGGAGATCCTGGCTTGACTCGGCTTTTCTGGACAGATGCCCGTCGTAGAGGGTTCGGAGACTATTGGCAGTCTGGATCGTCGTGAAAGGGCTCCTGGCTCCTCTTTGGTAGTGATGCTGTGGAACTGGAGGTTTAATGGACCATGTGCCGATTTTAGTGCTGGCAAGGCGGGGAATCGACAGATGCCGCCAACTAACATAGCAAGTCAAGCCGTCTCAAGACGGCTTTGTCTGAGACGGCCCCATCCCCAGCTAAACTCTAATAATGGAGAATACAAGGGATCAGTGCATGGTGCCGTGGGTCATCTATTTCTCGGACCAGAAATGTAGATTCTCGAACGATGCTGGGAGTGCATGTGTTGCAGTCCAAATGCAATATCTTGGTCGTTTGTGTATACTGGAGTTTCAAGGTCATCTCTACCAAGCAACATCCCACCAGCATGATTGACCTTCCAGCAGTGAATGTACGATTCTAAGTCGTCTGTTACGATGACACGAAGTGTGTGACAAGAGCAATGCAGCTACTGGCGCAAGCTTCATGACTGTTTTGACAGGGAAATCCACTCAGATCTCGCAGTTGTGACATGCCCAAGCAGCCCCTCATGCTCAGCTTGTCCGACGTGTTCGTGCGGAGTTGAGAGTTTCGATCTATGCCATGCCATGCCAGCAAGGCGAGGGCGCTCGCATACGAGATGCGGTAGATAAGCCCCGTCCTACGATGGAGCCCAGAAACCATCGATCCTCAGGAGATATGAAGAAACCCCCCCAAAGCTGATGGAGGCGCCCACTCTCGAGAAGGAAAAAGAAAGCAAACAGAGCTACTGTACCGCACGCTGCAAGCGTAGCCGAGGATTCAGGGAAATGCCATGGAAGACGGCACCTGGAGTAGACCCCGGATGCTGTGATAGGCGGGGGATACTTCGCGAATCTGTACCTTGTTGGCAACGGAGGGAGATCATTGGGTAGATCCTCCCTAATTATATTGCCCAGACCCGTCGATTGGGCGGCTCGTGATGGAGGGCAGGAGAGCCATAGAGTAGGTGGGTTGCGTAAGTGTGTGCAGAAAAGAGGGCTCGGCTGGTATTGCTTCTGCCCACCCCTACCTAGACCAGGAGAATTCAGACCGGCAGGGAAGATGCAAGACAAGACAAGACACGGCGAGACGGGTGAGATGGGGGGTTGCTTCCCAGAATGCATGCACCAGAGGTGTGTTTATCTATCGTGCAGGACATTGGTTGGTTCAGCCTTAGGTAGCTGACATATTGTCGCCTCGCTACAGGAGCAGCTACACCTACCTCAGCGGAGATTGGTGAGAAGCCAGACAGCCCAATAGTATGGAGGCCTAGTTATGCTGCATATTGGCAAACGGCTCTTGGGCTTGCATGCTTGGTCGTTTGAACCAAGCTGCATGCCACTACTGTACTGGACATCCACCTTTATTACTGTGGGGGGCAGGCTGGTAGGGCATCGAGGCCAGGAGGAGGCAATTCCAGAAGTGCGTGATAGACAGGTTAAAGAGGTCGCCCGTTGGTCGGCTTGGCTTGGCTTCTTTGCCGGTGGACCCTGAACCGCCTCTATCCCCAGACTTTGTTGCTGGAATAGAAGGTATCGACATGGAGAACGCTGCGATCAGGCCCCACGGTGTCTCTTTAGCCTCAATATTAGTCCTGTGGAACGTACGAGCATGATTCCCTGACATTGTCGTCCTTGAATGTACGAATATGGGCAGGCTGAAGTGGCTCGCTGCGTAGTCGATACCAAAAAGATGATCAGCTTGTGGTGGTAACCTGGGCAAGCGAAAGACTTGTTGACTGCAACAACCTTCAAATTGTAGAGTAGGGAGGAACGGCCGCATTTAATCTCCAACCAAAGTCGGGATGTTGCTGGAGCATGATTGCACGGATTGCGTGGCCGCTAAACATGCCAAAAGAACGGTCGACTGCAGCCACATGATGCGAGTCTGAGCAGTCGAACTTGGCTTATCACAACCCCAGTCGTATCTGATTAGATATGATGATGATTAGGGGTCCAACTCGTCGATGGATCACAATATTGATGAATGCCTTAAACAGAGATGGCAATTACGATGCCGTGAATTCTCCTAACCTTGCTGCAGGAAGGCTTGAAGTGAGGGTACCTAAGCAGACAACCTTACCCAAGGGGAAGTAACCATCTTGGCTCAAGATGGCAATCACTCTTACCCCGCAAATAGGACGATTGGGTGGTATTCCATGTGACGTAGGCGCGAGCAGGGACGGTCCTCGTTAGTGCAGGGCAGGCGCCGCCGGAGGTCGTGGGAAGGAGCAGAGAGACCCTTGCACCTTCCATGCAGTCACGCCCTGGTCCATGTCAAGTGTCCGCTGCATCCCATAGGACGGACTGTCTTAGCGGCTTTTGCTGCATCGCTGCTTGGGGTGCCACTTGCCGTAACTCTGCTGTCGCCTCCCCTCCAGCTGGGCGAATAGCGGTGCTGATAGCGCTCTCTCGATCATCTCAGACCCCCCATTACTGAAGTTCCATTCCACCCAATGCACACCAAAGAGGCATCCATTCCATCCATCCTCATCACCTCAACTTCTGCTTAGTGGTAGAATACCGGTACAGCAAGCAAGCATCAAGCAGCCTGAACTAGACTAAACTAGCGTGCCTGCTCTACCTCGTTAGCTTAGTTGTCTTGGGGGAAAGTGCATCTCTGTCTTTCTCATCCATCTCTCCTTCCCTCTCATCATCTTCGATTCGGTCCATCTTCCCCCTCCGTTCATCTCATCCACTAAACAAACGCTCCTTGACTCTCTTCACTCCCCTTCCCGGTCCCTCCTTCTCACCTCATCGACGATTTACTCACAACAAGACCCGATACACACTTCACTCCTTCAAAGTAGAAAACACACCGCCATCCCGCCGCCGCACTTGTGTGATACTAGACACAGTCTCAAGTTCCTTTAGCTCTCCTCTGTGCGCTGCGGCCACCACCGAGCGCTATCTACGCCAGCAGCAGTCCGGTCCAGTCCAGCCCGGCCCCGGTCTGTTTTAGACTTCCCCGCAATCCAAGCAGCTGAACTCTACCACGGGCGCCGCCAACCCTACCTCCTGTGTATTGTACCTCTCTTCTTCACCAATTAATCTTATCTATCTGGACGCAATAAGGGACCGACTCAAGAGTTCAGCGCTTTCTCGATCTAGCCTCGGATTGCCGTCTCCAATTCCTATTCGGTCCTGTTCTCGACGTCATCTCCACGACGCAGGGGAAGGCATCTCAAATAGCCAAAAGCAGTGCATCACAGTCATCCACCGCTTCGACTTCGCTTACCTGCGTCCCAAAAGGGGGGTCCGTCGATCAGTCGTCATCTCTGCACTGCCCATTCGGCCTTGTCGCATCTTCCCGCCCGGACAAAGAAAGGTCCACGACACCCCTTGATCGACGTTAAGGCAAAGCATCCTGGCACACACCGCCCGCTAACGAATCATCTGCTCGTCCCACCCTTCGGGCCATATATTACAAGAACCTCACCATCGCGCCCACTTCGCGTTTCACGCTCAAGCGTTTGCCGCACCCGGGGTCGTACACTTCTCGAACCATTTACTCGAAAAAACGTCCCATCCGGATTCGGCACTTTGCAACTATTCTCTTCCATCCTTTGTATAAGAAATCACTCCCATTCCCTCACTTCGACTCGGACCGCCACAATGTCAAACGACAACTCCAACAAACAACCACCAGCCGAAATGCAGCGCCCACGCCGTGGCTCCGTCACCTCCGCCGCCCTGACCAACCTCTTCCAGAGGAGCAATTCCACATCGACGGGAACAGCGGTCTTCCCTAGCGCTATCACCACTGCTGCTATGACCGACCAGCGCAGGCGACTCTCGATCTCGACCTTGGGGTTGTCGGGCTCGTCGCCGACCACCCAGACTCCATTTGGCCTTCGTCGAGCAAGCTTGTCGACCAACAACTCGGACTCTGTCGACGAGAACGCAATAGATGAGGAAGAGGGCCCATCCAATGCCCGCACTGCACCGACCACACCCTTCGCCCGTCGCATGAGCTTTGGAGCCCAAGCCATGCGTGGAGCACGCCAAGGTGGAAACAGTCCGGGCTCAAGCAATGGTAGGCCAAACGCCCAATCTGCTGCAACCCCTTCTCTTCAGCGACGAGGCACCTACGCTGCGCCGCCAACTCCCCCAAACAGTGCCTCGTCGTCTTGGAAACCCCCAAACTCTCTTCAGGCAAGCAATACAAGTCATTCCAGAGCCACTTCTGACATGTACTCTGCTTCTCGTCCAGATTCAGGCTTCAACTGGTCTGAGCAGCTTAGATCCCGCGCGGAGAGCACGGTTGCCTCCGGTCCGCGACCATCCTTTTCTTTCGGGTCTGGTGCGATGGGTACTTCACCACCTCGCACCGGGGCAGGCCCACCAGCTGGCGCTCATCATGACCGTGCTAAATCGGTATCGGACATGCCAGCACCACCAGCACAAGCCCCCAAGCCACGATCTCAACGTGAGGCACGGCCTAAGCCTGATCACTTCCAGGAGAGGATACTCAAGGGTGACTTCTACATGGACTGAAGGCTTGTCGTCATCAACTTCGAAGCCTGATGTACAAATACAAGTCATACTGCCTCCGCGACATATGTCAGATACCCACCAGTACTCACCTCGGATCAGCTTGCCAAGCATGTATTGCTAGGCATATTCGACCGCCATCGCACAGCACCGCCTGTGAGTGATAGCTTCACCACCTTCGCTTGACTACCTGCTCGCTTTTACCGGCGTTGAAGGGGATAACTCTTTACTGGAGAGGAAATGGAAATCATACTTCTGGTCAACGGCGTCTCAGCTTCCGGTTTCTTGATATTTGACCTAGGTGGCACGGCCAACATCTGTCTATCGATTTCTTCACTATCAGTTTGTAGCACTATGGAATTGCCGGAAGTGGTGTGAAGATTTGTTGACAACAACTTCGAAAATTGCTCAATGGATATCGGAAAACCCGGAAACGAAGAAAAGCAGCGGCGTTCTACTGGTCCCGACTTAACCAGAGTGAAGGGCGGTTACTGCGTATGAGGAGATGAGAGAATGTACGAATAGCCACGGGAGCTTCAGGGGACGGTCTGTAGAAGACAATTCCTGGCGGATCGGCAATGTATGGACTTGGAAGTTGCTTCACGGACAGGGCCCCGACAGTGAACTAGGATGGAGGTGGCATCTAAACGGACATGAACAGAATGATTGAAACGAGCAAATAGCCTGTATCTCCCCGATTCAAAATCCCAGGAATGGGCAGGAATATAGAAACTGGATTGGAATGTCCACAGCCTTTTTCCTTTCAAGCCTATATATCATACATGTGCATGGATTAACGTCAACTGCTATTTGCTTGTGTAATTCGCAGAACCGCTAATGTCACGTAGCTAATAATATTGATACAACAAACCCGCCATCTTGCGTGTGCGCCATGCTTCTTTTCAAGCAAACCAAAAGCTACCTCGCCGAGTGACGTCTACAAAGTTCCGCGCAATAGCAAGACTTGTGAGCAGACGCTGAGAACATCACTGATGACATTGCCGTAAAACAAACGCTAGCGGCCCCTCGGCCGTGGAGTACATCTCACATTAGTCATCTGGCTCTCTCCTAATCATAGCACATTGCGACCTCATCCTCATTTTCGTGACCTGACTCAGAGCTGGAAGTTGAAGTTCGCACCGGGTATATCACTCACAAGGCCCCCGAAAATGGGATCGCCCATGACATAGCGCATGCCGTAGTCAAAGCCTCCGATATCGTCGCCGTCCGTCAGCCCCGCCAGCGTCAGGTCCATAGCCTGCGTGAGGCCATTGATGCTAGCATAGTCAAAGTCCGAGTTGAAGCTGTTGTTGAGCCATGGCATGGGTGGGCCAACGGGGCCGTTGAACTGTTGCTGGGCATCCGTCCCAGGCACGGGCGTCGTGCCCGTGTTGGCGATCGTGCTCGGCGTCTCCCCGGAGCTGCCGGAGGCGGCCGAGTCGTACATGAAAGGCTGCATTTGAGTCAAGCTGTAGTGCAGTGGCGGGTTGGACGCGCGCCCGGACCGGTTGGCGCTGGCGCTGGCAGCGTTCGACGCCGCGGCCTGGTCGTGCGTCGCGATCTCGGAGAGTAGCTGCAGTGGAGTGTTGGCCGTGGCGGCATACTCCGGCGGCGCGGGCGTGATGGGCCCGGCCTCCCTGGACTGCGAGCCGGGTGTGGCACCGCCATCGCGGAGCTTGTTTGCATCGCCGCTGCCGAAGCCCTGCTTCTGGAACCAGGAGCGAATCATGACTAGCACGACGAGGAACTTCGCCGCCGGTCGGGACTTGTCGTCGGCAGCTGTGTCGCGGAACTTCTCGAGCAGGCCCTCCAGATGCTGCTCGACTTTCATGTTGTCCTTGTTGATGACCTTGCCCAGCTCAGAGTTTGGACTGGTGGCCGCGAAGTACATCTTGATCAACACGACAGTAGCGTAAGCCACCCGCACCAAGTTGAAGACGGGTAGACAGCGGATGGATGCGACATCAAGAGACAGGAAGGTCTCAAATATGCCGTCAATTGCGGTCAAACAACAAGAGAGGGCATTGATGTGAGCAGGAGTAAGGGGCCCGTCACTGATGAAGCCTTCGCGAAGAGCTTCAGTGATCAATGTCTGAGGCTTGTTATTGCCAGCCTCTACGTGCAGAGCAATCTCATGCATATACAGGTTGAGCACATGGAAACCTAGTTCGAGGGATGCTGTGCAACATTCATTAGCAAATGATCAACGTTGGGTATAAAATGGCGGCTTACGCTGATGTAAGTCCTTCGGAACAGAGTTACGATATTTCTCCAAGTCCCGCTCGAAACCCCTCAACGCGTATTGCGTTCTGGCATCCGCAATATTGATGAACACGTTGGGATCATCCATGGCGAACTGAATGCCAACTTCCTCGGAGAGCCTATGCGTCCAGACAAGATGGCATAGATACTTGTCCGTCGGAGCAGCCTCGGGTGATGACTCTAGAACATCCATGCATTCTGTCATGAAAGCTGTCCAAGTCACTAGATTCGGCCGGTGCAGTGCCATTGATGTATTTGCGGTCAGGAAGTAGCTTGTCAACCAGCACCTCCTCGCCTCTATGCTTGTCGGATCTGGCGGCGGGTGTTTCCTGAAGGGGTGATCTTGCCATGCGTAGGGAATATTTCTCCTGTGCTTGCCTGGCTTCTTGCGCCCCAGTCCTATATCAATAGCCATGACAGCTGCTATATGCACCAGCTGATAGAACTTGAGCTCCTCAAAGTGCTCTGGTGGCCAATACCATATGACGGCGACGTGCAAAGCTTGCACTAGCTCAAGGCTCTTCTCACCTGTCATGATAATTTTCTCGGCAAATATTTGCATCAGTTCCTTCACCAGTACGCGCTGCGTATTAGGAGTCTCGGACGATGCAGCGGACATGATCGCCAGGAACAAGAGTGGTTTGGACTTTCTGATCTCACTGACCAATGTGCCCTCCGGGAAGACAACACCCGGAAGGTGAGGCACCATTTGCTCGTTGTACCGCGCAAACAGCTCAGCGGCCTTCTCCATGGTGATGACCCCGCGGTCTACGACGTCAGAATACTCGCGATTCCTCGTATCCTGGCCAAGAGAAGATGTCGCCATCGACGGGCTGGCCCTGACGTCCTCAGAAGCACTGTCCCGCGTCTCGGTGTGTTTTCTCTTCTGGCCGGCAAGGACCATTGGGGGTGCATATGCCGCCTGTCTGCCGTCGCCGATCCCTCCGAACGGCGATTGGGTCTGAGCCGGCTTCGCCGGAGCCGAGTGGTCCCTCGAACCGACGTTCGCACCGGCCCAGTCCATCGAAGGCCGTCCATACAAGCCGTGAGCGACGATCTCGTCTCTCTGCTGGCCGGGCCCGCCAACACCACCACCAACTGCCACCCCACCACCGCGCGTAGCGCTCAGCGTCGCCGTCAGCGCATCGATCTTCTTCTCGAGCTCGGCGACCCTGCTGTCCGTCTTCTTCTGGCGCTTGCGGGTCGGCTGGGTAATCAGGCACTCCCGCCCGGCCTTTGCGCAGCGCTTGCACGGCCCGTCCGGATTCGTCGGGTCGGGCTCGCATCGCACCTTCAGACCGCGGCAGGCCTCGCACGCACGCGGCTTCTTCGGGTCGGTGCCGGGGGGCGCATTAGGGTCGATTGGCGTGTCATCGCCATCGCCATGGGGCCCGGAGACGGCGGAGGGAGGAGTGCCATGGCTGTGATTGTTGCTATGGGTGGTCGACGTGACGCCTGCTACGGTGCCAGGCGTCGCCGTGGTGGGCGTTTCCGGCGTAAACGCCGCAGAGGTCGTCGAATAGGGTGTTGGGTGTGACGCTGGATGATGCTGCTGCTGCTGTAAGTGACCGGTCGCAGCGACAGGAGATCCGGTCGAAGCTTGCGCGGTGGCAAGGAAAGCCGAGGTGCCGTGATGGTGGTTCCCTGCTACGGTGGGAGACGTGGTCGGCGACGATGATGCGATGTCGTCGGAGGCTCGCAGGCGAGGATCGAGAGCGGAGGCATCCATGGAGCCGACGGCAGGGCCAAGTGCATCAGCACCTTAACTAAGGTTATCTGGGTTCCTAGCTTGCTCGGCGGCGATGAGGTTCGCGGAGGAGACAGAAACCGACCGCCGTGGGTACTGACAGAGGCGGAGAAACTGGGGCCTCTTTTAAGTGACTGCTCCAACTTCCGGAATGCCGGCACACCAGCTGACGTGGTTGCATAGGTGCTACTTGGATAACACTAGCCGGCGACAGCCATAGATGATACTGTTAGTATATTAGCACGTGGTCCTCCCTGCCAGGACGCGGCCAACCTAAACACCGAAGACCGGTCTTTAAGGGGCTTACAAGTTACGACTCCAAGCGCATCATCGGCCATGTAGAGAGCATGCAAAATACCATGATTCGAAGTCTTTTGATGAGATTTTATCCTTTAATCCCAAATCTTATAGGTCGCTCTACAGATTCAAGTATGGCTATTAGCACCATGGCAATTATGTACTCTCTAACCTGGCTAGCTATATGTTATGCATTCGTTGTATGAAGATCTTCTGAGTTTCGCTGCTGGAACACAGCACGTTGGAAGTCGTGCGTAAAGGCATCTTGCTGCACAGAATTCGACAGAAGATTACCAGAACTCAGCCATATTTGATCGCTGGCAGGAATCTGCCTATCGACCTGGATGCTTCTCATTGGAGCCAAAATGAGAATTTTCAAAACAGGGCCTTCTCTTACTTCGTTGACCAGGTGTTGCAGAAAGCTTACAGCCCCTTGGATTTCTTGATCCCAGTTCCCTATCGACGTCTCAAACTCTGAAATATTATCGAGAACACAATATATCATGACGCCTTGGGCTACTTGCGCTATCAATTGGCCTAGCAGTACGCAAGAGGCAAGTACATCGTGCCGGGCAACATCGTATAGTAATTGATTGCTTGTAATCAGCAAGCCAGCAACTCCTTGACATTGGCGGTCCAAGTATATGAGTAGTTGTGCGATTAAGCTCTGAAGAAGTCCTCGAGGACCGCTAGAGGGATCTCCTTGGCGAGAATGCAGGCCGCAAAAGTGGTAAAGCACGAGAACCTCCCCTTTCTGGTGCTTGCGGACAGAGCAGCCAGTACAGAGAGGGCTGAGATCTTCCCTTCCGCCATCTTGCATAGCTGTCCATGAACGAGTATTAGATCGGATCTTCGTTCTGGCTCGCAAACCCAATAGTGGAATCGAGGGGTCACAAAAAGCCATTTGCTGCGCGCAATACCGGCTATATTGTTACCTGCCCTTAGAACACCCTCTATGTCGGTAATCAGAAATGAGAGATAAAAAAACTCAAGGCAGATGAAGATGTTAGAATATGACGCCAGTTTCTGCTGTGAGACTATGCATGAATTCTGGATCGCTGTGGTAGACCCTGACTCTATGTTAGCAATGTCTGTCTCAAATTGACTTTGAATTCCTCTCCTAGTGCTGTTCTCAGAAATAGCGTTCTGTAACAACACTTGCACTGTCCTTATCTCTGCCTTCAAGTTCGAAGCAGCAGACTCAAGCTTTTGATCCATGAGGCCTGCCAATTCTTGGAGGCCCTCCGTATGCTTGTCGCATACGCTTTCTATCGACTGTTGAAGTCCAACCTGCCCGGCTTGAATAGACTGCATATCTTCGCTCACATATTTAACAACTCCATGGGTTGCTTCTATCCACAGCCTGATGATCGTCGTCTGTGCTAGAGTCTCTGTCGTTGTTTGATCGATAAGAATGTCAATCCGAGACAAACCCTTCTGAGATGCTCTCTGGTCAAGGTTACATATGTGTGCATCATTCTCTTGTTTTTCTTTTTCTTTTTTCCTTCGTAAAATACTAGATCAATATGCTATTCTAGACCAAGCTAACACTCGTTGTACAATATGGATTAGGGTACAAGCACATTACTTACCTTCATGTAATCCAGATTTGACTTTACACTACAAACGACTCGGTTTGCTTGAACTAGAAAACGTCTTTCGAGACAACATCGATCGGCTGAGAAAAATGGAAATCCAACAGGAGAGTTTCAGCAAAGAACCGCCATTATTCATTATGGAGCACGAGATCCTACGCTTTGCCACCGACCATTACAACAAGCACCCCAAAGGAAAGGGCGCCTGGAATGGGAGGCAGGTCCGGAACGCATTTGCTGTGGCTGCCTCTCTTGCAAGATACGAGGCCGAAAACCCAAATCTGATAGGCAAGGGGTTTCAGCCACAGCTGAGGTATTCTCACTTCCAGGCAGTCGAGAGACTAACGACTGAGCATGATCGTTTTCGTGCTCACATACTGGGTGGGGACGATTCGCGCAAGGCGCGTCTGAACGAAGAGCGCGACGATGACTATGACGACAATGAAACAAACGAGCAGGCGGCAGACTTTGCTAGTCAACTCAGACGTGCGCGGCTCTTGTATAGCGACCAGCCAATACGAACGAATGGCCAGGACGTAAGTCTTGGTGTCAGTCTGTCCAACCATCATCAGACACCACTCTCGCAACAGAATGGTGCAGGACCGATTTACACCGAATCATCCTTCAATCAAAGCCAGCATCAGCTATCAATGTCCGAGAACAAGACCGTATCAGATAGCACCCCGTCAAGGGCAACTCAGGCACAACACAACACAGTCGAGGTCCTACAGGAGAACAGCCCTCCCCTGCCGTTCGGAAGAGGGTGACGTCAATCTGTGTTAAGATCAGATTCCCCAGGCATGCATTGTTTCCTACCTCACAGACCAGAACGGAGATATATGACTTATGATATGTATGTTAGTTTTTCGGTTTGTTTTGATTGGGGGATACGGCCTGTACGGTTGGCAGACTAGGCTATTTTGCTTGCACGCACTCTCTTGAGGCTCTTCAGATTACATTAGCTTAGCACCTTTCCAAGCTTCTGACCTACCTACGGTACCGGTCACTCACGACACTTCTTTTTGCCCAAATTGACCTTGCAGGCGCCATTGTATGTGCGTGTGGTGGGGTCATTGATTCTTACATTACACTTGGTCAGCACACTGGCACTGCTGCCCTGTTTGAAAGTTCGTTATCAACATTAGCCACTCGGGTGGGTAATTCTTGGAGGTGATGCTCTTGACCTTTACTTCGCGTCATTTTTTGTAACACACCTTAGAAATCTGCATTACGACAGCTTGGGCGGCAAATATCATTCAAGTTCAAAGGCTTTTTCTTCATTGTGCATTACAATCCATTCCTCATTCAAGCTAGTTCTCACTACCGTACACATACAGCTCGTTCAAATCCGTCCATCATCCCTCCCTCCTCCCTCCCTTTCATCTTCATCAAGTCTGACTGACAATTTGTGGCTTCGTACCAGATACACACAAAGCATACAATAAGTAGTAGCTATGAGAAACGAGATGCAAAACAAAAATAAAGAGCCACCGAGTTTGTTGGAAAACCCCATCGAACGCCATGCTGCCGAGCCGAGCATCACGCAGCTCCAAAGATTCATGTGAGGGGTTTGTTCCGAGCCTGAATAGAAGGTTGAGGCTTCAAGGAACATGACGCATTAAGAAGCAGGACTCCGCCGACCAAGAGACCAGAAATTTCATATATATTGTACATCTTTTTGGATGGAAAGAGGCCCCCACTCATCTCCAGGTAAGGTATCATGGGGATACAAATGTCAGAACTCCTCTAGACGCAAATGATGGCTAGGCCTCCCCGTCCGCGTGTATGTATATATGTGAGGGGTTGCGGAAACGGAGAGGCCTAGCATGCCGTGAACAACTATGCGGCAAGTTGTTATCCCCCAACGATTGAGATTAACCAATAAGTCGGTTGGGACGATAGGCGCCAGTCCGTTGTCGTCGAGTTTGTTATATGGTATTTTGAAAATCCTCTGCGGTGAAATGCGCATCATGGCTAGATTAGTCGGCAATATAAAGAGTGCTGAAAAATGATTTGAGCTCTGCGATAAAGCAAATGGTATCTGTAAAAGCGATGTATAAAAATGACAGTCGATATATCGTGTCGAAAAAGAACGCGCTGCTCAAGCACAATCTTGAGGGCTCATGCAATGAGAGGTTACTAATGTAACAAAGAGAACGGACGCTTAGAATTGCGCCTCGTCTCTTAGGCGGCTCCTCGAGCCTTGGGGTGTGAGGCCCATACCAAAGATGGCACTCTCACGGCGGTTGTTCCTCATGCCGTACGATTGATCGTAGCCGGTCGGCATCACACTGCCCCTTTCGTAGATGGGCTGGTCATAGCCAGGGTTCGCAACTCGCTGCGTTGGTGTCTGAAGCTGGGTTGGGTCATAGCCCTGCGGCACGACAAATCCACTCTCATACGCTGGTCGGAGAGAGACATGTGAGCCGGCAACATTCTGCTGCGCAAGGTATTGAGGCTCATAGCTCAACTGGCGCTGAGGTGGCGGGGTAGGTGTTGCTCTCAACTGCTGTGTATAGCCTTGAAGTGGGTTCATGGCCGCTGGTGGAGGTGTAGGGGTTGTTCGCTGACCATCCTGAATAGCCTCCATCAATCGCTGTCGATGAGGTGACTCTCGAGTTCCTGAAGTAACAGGCCGTGGTTGAGGCGGCATATCAATTGATGGTCGGCTCTCGTCCAAAGAAACGGGCGATGGCAACTCATACTCTTCGGCCTCAATGCCGAAGATGCCCTCGTAATTCTGAAGGAACATCGCAAAGACTGGCGCAGGAATGTTGAGGGTAGGAGAGAAGACGATGCCAACATTGCGGACGGTCATCTTATTGACGTTCGCATTGTTGATAATCTTGATCAAGAAAGCGATTAGATACTTCAACAGAGTACCATTGGCCTGAGGGAGCCTCTGGACAAGCTCGCCGAGGGCAGCAACCTTCTCAGCTTGACTCGGCAGCTCAGTGACAGACAGGAAGTGAAGATGCAGGTCTCTGGTGAGTATTGTCGTCGGCAGCTCGCGAAGGTATAGCTTTAGCAGCGAGGCAACAGCGTGGATATCGTGGTACTGCTCATCCGTGAGCAGGTTGATATCGCTCTCATTGTTGAAACGCTCACGCAGCTGCTTGATCACCACGTTCGAGCCGCTGAGACGGAAAATGCCCTCCTCGTTGATTGCATTCTTGGCATCGAGATACTGAATGCATCGATAGACGACAGCGGGGAGTGGCACCCGAACGTCTACTGGAGAGTTGAACCTCACAGCTTCTGCGAGGGGAGCACCAAACACCTGGCGAACAGGACCTGAGTACACAACATTGCCAGAGCTTGCCGCACCATTGCCATCACCAAACAATGAGTCTGTCCCATCACTTGAAGTCCTGGTCTTCGGGCCAAATCCGAAGAAGCTGCGCTTCCTGGCCTTCTTTTCGTCCGGACCGGGAGGCGGGGCCAATCCACCCATGCCCCCCATACCCATCTTGGAACCCCAAGAAGACGAGTCAGAAATGACCTGCGGGTCTCGCGGTGCTGAGATCGTATACCCGGACTGGGAGCTCATTGTCGGGGGAATATCATCAAATCCACCGGAAGTCTTTGGTCGCGAAGGCGCCCCATGAGGCGCGTCTCCCTGCTTAGTAGCCTCGTAACTAACGCCAATAAGAGCATCATCGCTGTCCCGTGGTTGATGCTGTTGACTCTTTGCTTGACCGTACATCTTCTTCTTTGCGTTGGCTCCGCTGGCTCGTTCATTACCTGAGCCAGGGCGGTTGCTCTCCTTGGGATCTTCATCATCAGGATCTCGATAGTCAATCCATCGCAGAAGAGTGTCGACCCATTGATCACGCTCCCTGTCACTCTCAGCACAAAGGACATGCTTAGTGACAGCGCTGGGGTCCTTCTTCTTCGGCTCCAGGATCAAGAAGGCGTGGCGATATTGATTGTCGATCTCCTCATTTCCACCCTGAGGACGAGCTGGCGACGAGTTGCTGTCCGTGTGGTGTGACTGCTTGCCAATCTGGGCATTCTGCAGCTTGATAGTACCAAGATGTGCTCCTCCAGGCGTTTCGTAATACTTCAGCTGCGGACCATCAAGCACAAAGAATCTGGCCTTCCAGCCGCCGAAGTTCTTGCCGCGTTTGGTGAGATATCCGTGCTTAAACGGTCGCCCACCAGGTCCAGCCTTTGGTGCAACCTCGTTGATAGAGTTACCAGACGAACCTGTCTCATCCGCATTTGGAGGCAAAGTATTCGTAGATAGATACCTGCACAATTCCAAAGCTGTCGGTAAATCCAGTGCAGTGTTCAGCAGCTCGTCCAAATACTGGTCGAGAGCTACTCTACGAGCATCCAATTTGGCTGGAGCATGACCGCTGAAGAGAGATCTATCAGGCGTTCTGGCGGTAAAAGCGGGGCACTGTTTCAACCGCTGGTCCAGCTTAGCAAGTGAAGCCGAATCTTTTTCAACTCGCCAAAGTTCTCCACCATCCGCCCTGGAGAGGATTGCAAGAGTGAAAACGGGGTCCTCTTCTAGTTGAGTCAGTGACACGAGACTAGCTCTAGATGGCTTCATCCGAGATGATGCAACCCTGATGTCAATAGAAGGCAAGGCATTTGGAGGAAGTAACAGATTAGGGTACTCCTCCGTAACAAGACCCTTGAAAACGTGAGTGCGACCGCTAATTGGGCTGTCACGACTGCTGTTCGTCGGGCTTGAGGCCGTCGCATTTTCCGTTGCCTTTTTGATGATATTCAGGGGTTTGGGCGACTTGAGATCCAATGTCTCGGGAGGCGTATGAAGAGGCGTGTTTGGTGGTAGAGGAATAGGCTGCCGAGGCGGCCTCGGAGAGAGCGGGCCAGATGGCATTCCCCCCATGCGAGGAGATAACGGCGGCGAACTCACGGGCGATCTGAGGTTCATCGGTCGTGGACTTGCTGGTAAGCCTGGGCTGAGCATTGGTGCCTGTAGTTCCGTCACCCGTAGTTCACTCTGATCTCCGCTCAGCATGCCGGCCAAGGATGCCGTCAAGTTCTCTCGGAATGGCATAGGCGGGGGTACTGTTCTGGGGCTTGCTGCGGTTTCAGTGGGTATAATCTCGGGAGAGGCTTGCTTAGGCGTGCCTTTTGCGCTGCTGTTACTCTGCTTGCTCTTCTTGGACAGACTTCGTATTTCTGCCTCCTTTCTGGCGAGAATTTCTCGTTCACGGTCATCCTCTTCTCTTGTTTTCCTGCGTCCACGCTTCTCAAACGGAATTTCATCGACCTCAAGAATATCATCATAATCGGAATCCGTATCAAAGTCCTCGTCTGGTGGTATAGTGGGACTGAGTTTGGCCTCACGAAGTTGTAGTGGTGCCGGTGGCGGCTTACGCGGTGGGGGAGCGGAAGGTGGGAGGAATTGTATTACTTCTTCAGGCTGTGCGGTAGGTGGTGCTGGAGGAGGCATCCGAGGAGGCTCGCTCGGTAGGCTCCTAGATGGGGGGAGCCCTAGATTGAGCGGAATATCCCTTGCTGCGTCTGCCTCTTTCCTGGCTGCGTCTGCTGCTCTATCCTGAGCTTCGTGGTCGTACTGATCCAAGGCATGTTCTGAGGCCTTGGGCATCGCGTGTGATGGATCCAGCAGTTCACCAACGGCGGATGGTGGCCCGTTCATGATCGGAATCAAGTCCGCAGGAGGCGTGATCGGGTATGGTGCCAATGACACATCAATAGGTGACTGTTTTTGGCTGTCCGAGTCCAAACCAGGAGATAGTGGGATTTCCAGCGTCTGCTCCTTCGGCCTGTCAACATCAATTCGAGGTACGCTCTTCGCGGGCGCCCCTTGGACGCTCTTTTCAGTTGAGCTGGTCGGTAAGGGAGGGACTTGCTGAGGCCCCATGACCTCTTTCAACTTCTTTCTGTATTTCTCCTTATCTTTAAGTGACCTTTCCAGATCCTTGTTCAGGCCAAGGATCATAGCCCGTTGTTTATCAACGAGCCGCCATAGTTGTGCGTTTTGCTGTGATTGTGAATGCTTCTCCTTCAGCAAATATTGTATTACTGCCTCTGGGCTTCCGGCAGCCTTGATCAACTTTTCGACGTCTGCCGGACTCGAGGCTTCTTGTGAGCTCTTCATCGAGCCTGCAGACATTGCCGAGTCCCTCGATGAAGTTCTACCAGCGCCGTTGACGGCCTCCATTCGGGACGAGCCTGCCATGGCCGTGGGCGAGGTGGCTATGGTGGAGCCTCCGAGAGGCTTCTTGGTCACAACGGGGTCGGACACACTTCTTGTGTCATTCGGAAAGCGTGAGGACAGCGGTGGCCTATGTAATGAAGAATTGTTAGTAGGGGACAATGACATTTTCCCTCAGGTATAAGGGTCGACCGCGAAGCCGAGATGAATGAAGCGGGACGATGACGAACCCAGGGATCTTCTCGTCAGGCGTTGCAGCACCTGATGAATCGCTGTCGTAGTAGGACTTGTCGGCAGCGAGATAGGTGCTCTGGTTATCACGCGGCGAACGGGGCTCTTCGGGGCCCGTCGTCACGATCTGCGGCACGCTGGCGTATGTAGGCTCATGAACCTCAAAGTCGAAGTTGAACTTGGTAGGGCTCGCACTCGAGGGCGGCGAGATCGCGGTGGTATTATGTAGAGGGCTCGGAGGGGGTGCTGCTCTCCGGTAGTGTCTAGACGGGGAGGGCAACGTATTAGTCTCGAGTTGTCACGACGTACGTGCTGCAAGGTTCCACAGCAGCACAGCAGCGTCTGACAGCAAACGACTTCCGGGGTAGCCAGCCGCGATGGTCTGCCAGCACGCGGTCTCAACCCCTTCGATCGCAACCACGTCGATGATGTTCTAGTACAAGGAATATGTACACAATGTTTGAGAGGATGGGGAGGAGAGAGAAGCCAAGAGTGGAGCGAGAAAAAGCAAAGCAGCGAGCACAAGTCAAGAACAAGAACAAGAACAAGAACAAGGGTGGGCCTTCTTACCTGGCACCAGAGGATGGTGACGGACTGTTGGGAGTCGTGGTAGCGGAGGAGGAGGAGGAGGAGGAAGACGAGGTGAAGCCCGCGCCGGCCGAGAGAATCTGATGCGAGCGTCCTATTGTAGGGCTATCCTGGACGTTGCTCTGACTCTGGCTGTGGCTCTGGCTCTCGCTCTGGCTGTAGAAGGAGGAGGAGGAGGAGGAGGAGGCCTTCGGGAAGGGTTGGTTGTAGGAGGGAGAGCGTGACGGAGGAGGGTCGCCGGTCTGGAGCGCAAGCTGCGACATGGTCCGCTATGCGAAGAGAGCGTGGGCGAGATACAGACACGCTTGGCGGCCAATTGGTGAAGAGTCGAGAGTGCCCAAGCCAGGACCAGGAGAGGGTGGAGGGTGAGAGAGAGTGGAGGAGGAGGGCGAGGAGGGTCAGAGCTTAACGCGCCCTCAGCAGCGGTACTGCGGGTACGGTGCAGTGGTGCAGTGGTGCTAGTGCAGGACGTATAACGTATAACGTGCCTACACCCGGCCGCTTGCTGCAGTTTCGGAGTGCCTGGATGACCCTGATTGACGTCGCATATATTATTACTGGCCCGGCAAGGCCCACGGCTCTGCTTTGCCCTGCAGTCGGCTTGCGGCCCAAAAGAGGCAGATAGACCTGCTATTCACGGAGCTGCGCTGTGCTGTGCTGCGCTGTGCTGCGCTGTCACAGCCAACGATCACCACTCGGTCAATCAATGACAGGCCGTATACAGGCAGCGAGCGACGGCAAACAGCAGGAGAAGGAAGAATTTGGTAGAAAGTCAAGCACCGACAAGAAGGGAGAGCGAAAGGCAAGTTTGAGTGGTGGTGGTCAGCTTTTCCAGACACGCCCTTTTCTCGGTAATAATGTTCACGTTAGACACGCCGCCCCCGTATAAGTGCCCATACACACACACACACACAGGAATACCGTAGCAGTGTAGTAGTGTGTGTACGCAGTAGTGCTCACTAATCCAGGGCAGCCCCAGCGATAGCGTCGAATATGCTCTCTTAGTCCCATCTCTCAATCCTCCTGCTTTCTCTGTACGGGAACCTATGTCTTGGCAAGGAGAATAAGATTTCGACGGGTTGCATGTTGCGGAGGCGCTGCTAATTCAAGTTCGTTCACCAGCGCTGTCCGCGTCCTCTCCCAGCCGATTGTGCTCACCTCCATCTTAACTATAGTGATCTCACTGTTGTGAGATGTCATATATTACTCAGAGTACCTAGATAGACATAAATTATTTTAGACATCTAAACGAACGACACTGTTATACCAGTTCGGCGAGTCTGTTTATTGTGTCGTGCCAAGAACATGCAATGTTGCTCCTCATGCACTCTGGTATACTGCATTCTCCTAACCAACGTTACTACGACGTCCAGGTAAGGGGGAGAGATAGGTCCGACAGAGCATCCATTTCGTGAGATGAGATGAGGCCCTGCATCTACCGCTGCAACAGCACTCTTGTAACTCGACCGATGCCGCATCTGGCGTAGATTATGCAGGACTCACTAAGTTACCAAGAGCCAGCGCTGGCTACGCGGCACCAGTAACAGCCGCTATCTGGTCTCGACAGCAATCCAATCCATCCATCAGCAGAGTTCTGAAACACAAAGTACCACGGCCGCTATAATTAGCCAGAGTGGTACCTGTTCCTGGCATCATGAAACCCGATCCCATCTCGACAACCTAGCCACTGCTTTCTTGACACCGAAAACGGGCCACTGACACGGATGAATTCGAGCGCTGGTGCTGTGCTGAAGCCTGAACAAGCATGACAGAAACAACAGCCAGCAGAGAAAGATCGGTTGGCATCAGCCTATCTCACATCATCCACTCTCGCCGATCAAGGCGGCAGTAGAATAAGGACCACGCTTCAGTCAGACAGAAGGTACATGGCAAGGCATCGAAATAGCTACAAGACAATCCTTACAGCAGCCCAAAAGCCAGTTGACGACTCAGTCGGGGCACATGCTGAGTGGCTTGAGCCAACCCGCCACAGCACACAATAACTACGTACTGTACAATCCAAGAAGTTGGCTCGCTTGGCCACAAAAGAGGCACTCCTCGTGATGGAATTTGTTAATGGGTTACTACCACACGCCTCCCGAGATCCTGGTCCATATCCGCCGGCCGCCTGTCCTTAATTAATTTCAAGGGCCACGGTCTCCGGCCGGGGCATTCCAATCAGAGGTCTAGGCTCTCGTGGGGGACATGCCGCGAGACACTCTACCAGCGGGCGGCCACTTCTGGCAACGTGTGAAACGGAATGGCTCTCTCTTTTTTTTTGTTGGTATTTCACCTCTTCACACTCTACACGTCCCCATCCGCCGGGGCAGGCCAATGGGCTGGGGATCATGATGATTTGCGCCGCAAGATTGGGACCTGCGCACTTCCAACAAAGCCTTGGTCGATTGTGGCCTGAGGGACCCGGAGGGGCGCTGCAAATCTTGTCGAGATTGGCGATGGCCCGAAATCTCTGCGTGATTCCACATTTTATCACTCACTCACAAAAGATAGGGTCAAATTCATGCCATGGCCAAATGGCCCGGGCCCTGGAAGTGAAGTGGGCCGTGGCGAACTGCTATTCTACTCTGGAGAGACTCCAAGGAAAGGACCCTGACGATCCGTCTTTCACTGGAATGAGCTCTCACATGTCTCTCCCTATGGCCAGTCCACCTCCAAAGGCTCTATCCAAGTGGGCCAAGTCCAACTTAGCAGGGCGACTAACTGGAAGAACGGGGGTTTTCTTTTTTAATTACAACGGCTTGATGTTTATCGACTTGGTATGAGTGGACAAAAGGTTAGCTTCCTGTAGCTGTAGCTGTCATCCCAAATCCTCCCTAGTTTGTGTGGGCAGGCTCCTCTACTCTGCCTTAGGTGGTCATGTAGCCGGCCGGCCGAGGCTCCGGGGGCCTGTGCCTGAATTTTGCTATCATGTATCATGCAGGAGGTTGACGAGTGAGACGGGAGACGGCCTTCTGCAGGTACAGATCGCATCCCCAGAGCCCTACTGATATGGATGGTATCGATAGGTGCAAGAGGGTACCTGCTGTATGACTATGAATACTTTGCAAGGGAGAGACACAATCAAAGCCTGTCATTTTACTGACCCTCATCCAACGCTTCGACCAAGACATCGTCATCTTGAAAAGCCTCCGCATAACAGTACAGTACAGAGCACAGGGCTCGATGTCAGCCCCTCCTGTTTCCACCTCTCCTCTTTCTCCCAAGATCAGACATACACAAATGCATGGTCCCGGATCGGGCAGTTGCACGTTTGCGCTTGTAAGCCCAGGCTGTGGTTTTGTGACACAAACCAGGAGGCCCTGCAGCAGCTCAAAAGCCACACCCAGACTTGTGGCTTCGACCTGCGGTCACTTCACCTTGGAAGATGTGACTGTCACTTGTTATTGCTCACACCCAATTGGTCTTGTCGCTCGTTGCGAGAGAGAGAGGAAGTGACCCCTACAGTACGATGGACATACTGATCGCTCTGGAAGCGAACATCTTCGTCAGGCCATCAATGCAGTCGCTTACGACGTTGCGCCTGCACGGTGTACGCTGTACCACTATCAAATACCGAGCTTGTTTCTGCGAAAGCAAAAGGTAAAGTAAGGGTTCGTTTCAGTGGGAGTGAAATAAATTAAATCACAAGAATTCCCCGAGGTCTCAGGATATGGCGGCCAATAGCTTTGCACCTCCACAATCTTGAGCCGTCCCGAGCGCTTGGAGAAACCAAGAAAGCCGTGCCGCCTGCACAGAGTCGTGTCTAATCCAACCTCCTCAAGACATGGTCTTGAATCACTGAATCGGCGACTGTCAATTGTCATGATTCTACCTAGCCATGCGTCCCATGCCAACTTTTCAGGGCTTTGTCTTGTAGGCAAACAATGGTAATTACACTCGGCGCACGTCTGTCCGGGATGGGACATCTCGTCCGGCAATTGCGGGGGGTGTTGCAACTCAAATCGCTCTTCAGCCCCTTTTCCTCGCCTTGCCTACTGCACCTGAACCTCGAGTCGCGTACTTTGCTCCGCACCATTGAAGATCATCATAACCATGACATTTTGCTAGACTTGACCGCCACGATTATCTATCACTCTTGCGCACAACAACGTTACTGCACATTTCTGAAGTTTTTCTCGACGGCCTCCCCGCCTGTTCAGCTGGTCGATGCGTAAAGGCTTGCCAGTTTGCCTCACAAACCCACCCCCCTTGAGCCGCACATACTGCCAACTTCCACCACAATTGGTCACCACCAAACTCCGCTAGCACCTCCGGCGGGAATGGCGGTGTGATGGAGTTGTGCCAGGCCCGCGTGCCTCATTGCTTCACGTTGAAGAAGAGCTACCCCTGCCGTAATAACAGACGTTCTATAATCGCGCCTCCCAAGTGACCTACCTATCTGGCCAGGCCTGCCTTGCGGCCCGAAGGCGTAGAAATAGGGGCCAATCGCAGCGCGGAGACGAGGTCTTCCATTGTCGAGAGGCTTGTCGCAAGTGCGGCGCCTTGGGAATCACCTGCAGGAAAATGGTGGAGAGACACCTATCAAGCTGGGCGACCTTAATTACGTACAGTAGCTTATACCGTTTCGTCATCCAATGCCCCGACGCCACGACTGTGGCCCTTCACCAAAGTGCCGTGAACAATACGCTAGGGAAAGGGCAGAGCAAGATGTGGTGATGCAGGCTGCAATCTGCAGTTGCTCCAATGAATGAGACTACCTTCTATCTGAGATATTCGCATATCTTGTAACAATAAGGATTGTAGAGCCAGCGCATCGAAGTCCTCGAAGACATAATAGTTACCTATCACATGTGATGAAGTCGGTGAGATATTTGGCGCCGCGTTCCACTTGGCACCAGCTGGACCCTGAACGCCACAGAGCAAGCTCTCGAGAACAATGACAATTGTCCGCTTCACAGGCCAGACCGACGCGCGAGAGCAACAATCTTTGCAAAACATTGCGTTGCGCATGTTCGCACTTCTGGGACAGTTTGTTTCTATTTCCAGCTCTGTAGTACACGTCAACCGCTGCTGTGCGAAACATCTTGTTGTTTGCTAAGTGAAGAAAAGAATGGAGCCCATCTCGAAGAGGACGTTCATGCAGCCAATCAAAGCCAAAGCGCCCACGCCTCTCTCACATTACTTCCTAAACCGGGTCCCCTGACGAGAAACCATTCGACAAAGACGTTTGAGAGCCAGCCAGCCCAGGTGTTACAGAATTACAGATCTGCATGACTATTTGAGATCGGCCAAGCAGAAGGCTTCTCGCGGGTTTGAGGTTCACCAAACGAGATGGCCTGGTATTGCACGGCTCTTGGCTCGTCGCGATCGCCAAGCTCTTGTTGCAGAGGTTTCGATTCAGGGCTCTTCTTCGCGGCGAAGTCGCTAGCGAAGCTTTTCTTATCAGATATGTCAAGTGGGCTCGAATTTACTTGGCAGCTGCGACTCGAGACAGCCGAGCGAGATCCGCCTTGATCCTTCCAGTGAAGGGTTCAAGGCCCTGATTCCTCACCTCGGATGTCCAATCTCTTCGGACCATAAAGAAGGGGGATTTCTTTCGGAACAAACAAGGAGTCGCAGGCCTAAACAGTCATGTTCTTCTCGGGCGTCTGCAAGGAAGATTGACTGTCCGTCCAGAAGGGCCTCCGGCCTGGCCTGAAAGCCAGGCACACGAGACGTCTTGTTTGGTGGCGAGGTCACGGAACCGAGAAGCTGGACAGACCCGAGCCGGGGCCAGCATCTGCATGCCTTCGGATGAGTTGGGGGTGTGCCCTCTGGCCTTAATGCACACTGCGGAAGCAGCGGGTAGCCAGCGGCAACTCTGGTATGGTTGGACAGGAAGAAGGGTGGTCCGAGGCATCAAGGGATCAGATCTTCAAGCTTATGAGTTTAAAACTCATCTACATCCATGTTGCCCCCCGGCCTTGAAGGGTTGGATGGCGAAATGCAAGTGCTAAACGGCGATCATCGCGGAGAAACGCCTGGGACCATGCCTCCGTGATAGGGGAGGCGACTGCTACGCCTCTCCCTCGTCAAAGGCAGGACGTCAGAGTCAGACGGCAGGGTATCTCTCTGTGATGCGGCTTACTGCCGTCTAGCACAGGCGCATGCACGCATCGTGTAGAGTTAAAGTTGTTGGGTCTCTGCGACAGGAGACCATGTTGGGACGGGGCGAAATCAGACCAGAACAGCATGTAGAATCCCCCGGGTCCAGCATCTTCAGCTTCGAGGGTCTCACATCACGTATCGCGTCCTTGCGCTTGCATGTCTCCCCCCGATCAGATGAAAAGCGCGCCACCCCAGATTTCGTATCCCATCCTGCAAGTCTCATCACAGCACACATCCCTCTTGACCATTGTCAACATCAGCCTCCTTCTGGCTGGCTGGCCGGCCGGGCTCGATCGGTGGCGCCGGCTAGACCGCTCTGTTGCCAGCTGACGGTGGTGGGCGAGCGTCACACGAGCCCCGCGAGTTTACTATCGTGAAACAGAGGACCAGCACTTTGTATTCTGCCAAATTCTTCGGCTGGTTTGAGACTTGTTTCAAGATGCCAGGAATGGCCACGGCCTTCATGAGGTCTGTGCCAGCCGGGCTAGCCTAATGTGGATGGGCTCTAAGTGCCACTGGCGGCCTGCACTTGGCGGTCAGCTGGCAGTAACCAGCAAATACGTATTGTTGGTGTTTACTGTAAATGTTCACTGTTGTATCACGAGAATTAATGATAGAACTACCTAGTACGTTGCAAGAGATTGAGTTGCTGATCCAATTGGGATTTTCGGAATTTTCCTCAATTTAGTGTGTCGCAGATGTTGATATTGCACAAGACGTCTCTAAGGGGAAAGAATACTCTTATTGATTGCAAGTTGACTATCACAACCCGCAGTTACGACAATTTAAGTCTCTGAAACTAGATTTAATAGTGGCAAAGCCGCAAAGGGAACACCATTCACTAAAGAACTCTAGCTCTACTCAAGCAGCTATAGCTCAATAATATTTCACTCTTCTTCTTCGTCAGTCCTATACAGCTAGTTTTGCTTTGGCTAGCTACATGTTTAGAGGTGGCTTTGTTGGAAACGGTTATTATAACTGCATCTCAACTAAAGTTTGTATCATTCAAGTAGCTATGAGGTAGACCAATGATTATAAGTCTAATACAGTCTGTTTCACTAGAGTCTAAGACCAAAAGTTGCCCATGGAAACAAAGCTCTTTAGTTGTTCGATCACCACCGTACCACTAGTAGTCGCCATCTGGCAAAGAAGAGACCACCTTGTCTGAGACTCCAGCTTCGACGATGCTTTTGAGTCTGTCCGGGTGACAGTCTCCGTCTGAAGTTGCGAAAATGATTAGAGGAGCAAATGAACCGCCACGGAACTTCCATGGGAACGGGAGTAAGTGCTCAATCTTGCACTCTTCATTTAGTAAAGAAGGTAGTACATTTTTTCTTGGCCATGCAATGATACATTGCATTGACACCATGTACGTCTGTCAAGTGCAGCTAGGTATGTCGGCAACAATACTGATAAAGTGAACTGGCGCGGCCATATTTCCAGAGGTGGTTCCGCAGTGCAATGCGGCAATACTGCAATATTCTGAGACGAAACTCAAGTGTACCAGAAATCCATTTCCGCCTTTAAAGGTAAGCTCTTGCTGCCCTGAGGTGAGCTGGCCCTGAGCTAAGACTAAGCAACTCACAGTTTGACTTGATCCGCATACAATTTCCTCTTAGCCACCAACTCTACATCAAGCCAGAGGACTACTAAGGATATCCTCATCCTCACTGGATCCTTTCTCGACTCTCTTTCATTTCATTTTCCTCTTTACGTTCCTCTTTGAACTATGCATCTTCCCCATTAACGCCACTGTCAAGAGGGGCTTGCTGTCAGGACTAGCTACGTGATAGCTAGGTAGCCACGATGTCTAGGAATGATACACAGTCTCAGATATGATAGATCTTATTCGCAAGACAGTCATATTTTTAGCATTGGGCATAGCCACCCACTTTTTGTATAGCGCATTATCTAAACTATACAGAAGGTGATATTTAGCCAAACACCTATACAATATAAATAACATCTAACGAGAGCCGTGACGAGATAGACCCTTAGGGCCTGTTGACGTGGCTATATAGGTGTGGATCTCACAGATCTCAGGCAGTAACCACACTTCCAACCCAGCATATCAGAGCTCTACTCAAGCTTTTCCTGGCCTGCCCTCTCCCTTTCCTCCTTCTCCGCGAGATAAGTCTGGACATGCGTGACATGCTTCCGGAAAGCTCTTGGCTTGATCTTGTCCTGGAACATCTCATCGATCTCGGCGGGGGTACGGCGAGCCATCTCGGGCAGGATGTACCAACCAACAACACATGACAGAATGCCAACAGTCCCGAAGCTGAGGTGGAGCAGAGTCAGTCGTACAACTCTCATTGTGCACATGTGCCAGACCTAAGGGGGGGGTATAGACTTACAAGAATCCAGCCCTGACGTTCCATGCCTTGAGCATGAAGGGAACAGTATAGTTGAACATGATGCCGAGCAGGAATGAACCCAGCAGGGCCACGGAGCCTGTTCGAGCACGGAGACGCTGGGTAGGGATCTCAGCGACGTATGTGTATGCAATGCCGGCGCCGCCAATGCAACCAAAGTTAGACACGCAGCCAAAAAACACCTGAAGAGTGAGAAATCTCGTTAGCAACATATCCAGATACTACCAGGTTTTAGACAAGTAACATACCAACAAGCTGCCCAGTTCTTTACTGGTGTAATTGAAACAACCGACAATACCAATGCATAGAACAGCCACGGCAGCTGACCCGAACATGCCAATGGTGAACCATCGTTTACCAAATCTGTCTGAGAGTAGTGCACAGGCCATGACGCCCACGAGCTGGCAGAGGGCGAGGATCATTGTGACGGTGAACGGGTCCGAATTTCCGGCCAATTGGAAGAAGTAAGTGCCGTAGTTGTTGGTCAAGCTCTGTCCGACCAGTTGCTGCATGGCCTTGGGCCAGAAGGCGATCAGCAGACGCCAGAGGTTGATACCTGTGAAAATCTCCTTGAGTTGGGATTTCTCCTCGACGTTGATGAGGCGGTGGCGCTCGACAGTGGCGACGATGATGGACAGCTGCTCCTTGACGTTGTAGCTCTTGACGCCCTTGTAAGCGAATGCCAAGACCTTCTCGGCTTTAGGGATCCTATTCTTTTGGACAAGCCACCCTAAGAAAGCACAGTCAGTTTCGTCACAACAAAAGGTGACCACGGCATGTAGGATAACTCACAGGGACTTTCTGGAACGAAGAGGTTGATGACGAGCATGACCGCCAACATGCCCCACTGGGTGTAAATGGGGGCCTTGAAGTTGTAAGGGTCGGTATGGCTCAGCTCTCGGAGAGCCAATGGGGAGAAGATATGGGACAACACGTTCCAGCTGGAGCAAGGTTAGTTTCTGTGCATTGACTGCAACAGAGTGGAAAGCTCACAATTGATAGGCAGTTGTGAGACCGCCCCGGATTTGGGTTGGCGACAACTCTGAGATGTAAACGGGGTACGTAGCCTGCATCATGCCCAACCCCATACCCGCGATCAACTTGGCGACGGTCCAGTGAACCCAGTTGCTCGAGACGGACTCGACGGTGATGGAGACAACCAGGGCTAGCCATGTAAGGTGCATGGCCCATTTTCGGCCCAGTTTGTCGATGCATGCCTGTAGACCTAAGACACCAACGAATTGACCTGTGGATAACATGCCTCCCCAGACGGCTACATGTTCAGCGGCGAGTTTCGTGCCGCCGTTAGACATCTGCCGGATGAAACCTTTGTTTGCGACGATAGATGCCGTGAGAGTGTATTCTGCAGATCATTGATGTTAGTATGGTGACTTATCTAATGCGCAGGTAGACATACGGTAGCCCTCGAGCGCAGACGCAAAGGCGGCAAGCATACACAGCGCAGCAACACGCCAGAAAATTCGGAAAGCCTTGTGGATGGGCAGGTCATCAAGCTCGGAACGCATCTGGACAGCTTCACCCGCAGCAAGCGCCTTGCCGATAGCATTGGAATCGACATTGTTGTCGGAATTGCCGTGCTCATCGATGTGATCGGTGACAGCCACCGACTTGTCTTCGGTCTGGGGATGGGCGCTCATGTTGGGCAAGATACGTATAGGTAATGAAATTGAACCCTGGAGGAAGTGGATTGACAGATGATATCCCAGAGAGCGAGGTTGACTTTATACAAATCCTTTGAATCAAGACACGCCCGCTTTCCCCATCCCCATGGTCGGCCCCATGGGTTCCCATATACGGGGCTAAGGTCTAAGCGTCTCCTAGTATATTCCCAACCATGTGGGGGGTGGGGTAGGAATTTCAAGTCCAGGATTGTACTTCTGCTTAATTTCCGTCTTCCAGACTCCCTAGAGACTGTGAGGACGCAAAGATTTCAAGTTAGTTGATGGTTCTCCGCATAGAGTCTGTGCTGGTGGCGTGTCTCGGCAGAGTAACCAGGGCTCCGAATAACCGTGCCAGAAAACAACAGTACGCTTGCAATGACTCGGCGGCCTATTAGTCTAGAAAATGCCGGATCATTGTCACCTATAGTGAGAAAAATTCAAGAATCCTTATTACACATGACTCTTCACGATTGGCTGGGTTTCGAGCTGGTCGTGGAGACACGCGACGATAGGCTACAACCCCTGTTTCGGGTTAGACTGAGACGTTGGTTCTCCAGACTCTAGGGGCGGACTACCCGCCGACAACATTAATTTACTTCATCAAGGTAGGTCCAAGTGAGAACCAGTACTGTCAACCAATTCCGACATCGTCAGGATTTTCTTTCAGACACTTGAGCTTAGTGGCTCCTCAATGCTACCTCTAGTGTGTTGACCAAACTGAGCGGTCTTTGAAATTCCTGGTTTCTTCAACATTCTTGTATTTCAAGCTCAATACCTGAGATCCTCAGCCCATCCGCAAAGACATTCAAGCTCAGCCGGAATATCCAAATCTCATTTCAACTCGATTGTAAATCTTGAACAGTCCCGATGAACCTCAAAGTCAACATGGCGCCGAGACGCATCATCCTCGACACCGACCTCTCCATGGGCGCCGGGGCAGACGTCGATGATGGCTTCGCCCTGGCCCTGGCCCACGCCGACCCCGATCTACAACTCGACCTCGTGACAACAGTAAACGGCAACACAGATGTTGAAAGCGCCACCATTCTTACCGGTGTCCTCATGGATCGCTTGGATATCAAAGCCGAAGATACACCCCTCGTTCGTGGCTCGGAAACACCCATGTTGTACACTGAAAAGCACCGCATACCAGCACCCCATGTAAGCGCTATGAAGAACACAGCGCGGAAACCAGTCCCGGGGAGGTATGCTGCCGTAGCTATGATAGAACACATCATGGCCAACCCAGGCGAGATTACAATTGTAGCAATCGGACCTTTGACTAATATCGCCATGGCAATCCTCCTCGACCCGCGCATCAAGACGGCCATCAAAGAGCTGGTCATTATGGGCGGAGTTTTCTTCGGCAGCATGTACAGCCACAACAAGCCAGGCGAATTCAACGTGTTCACGGATGCTGAGGCCGCCCGCGTGGTGCTGTATAGTGGCATCCCACAGCGATGGATCGGATTAGACGTCACACTCCAAGTGCGTTTGACGATGAATGACGCAGAGAACCTGAAAAAGTCGCCATCGGAATTCGCCAAGTTCGCAGGACAGGCGTCGGCGACTTATATTGATTACCAGGCCGTAAGGTTCCCCGGCAGGCCAAAGATGACCTCGGTGCCTATGCACGACCCTTTGGCCGTAGCATGTGTGTCCAAGCCGGAATTATGCGAGTATAAGGATATGGCCGTTGATATTGTGACGGGAGATGGCAAGGCGCGAGGAATGATGATCGGGGATCGGTTGGAGTTGCCCGATCCCCCGAAGCCGAATTGTCGGGTGGCCGTCGGTGTGAATGCTGAGGGGTTCAGGGAGCATTTCTTTTCGTTCATCCAGACATTATAAACACAGGCTTCTTGAGAAACCAAGCCGTCCTTGACATCTTGAATAGGATTTTAGGTCGAAACAGACTTCGGCACTCGTGATGACTGGTCCGGCTGGCTCGACGCCGTCAAAGTCTCGTCGTATTCACATCCCCACTCTGCCTCCAGATCTCGCAACCTCCACCAGGCGCCCCAGCCCGTATTCCGACTGATCGTCCTGAGTAGCCGCGAGATCTCCATGCGCTCCGAGACGTGCGTGAATAGGCGACCTGCAATGTACAGAGGCTGGATGGCCTCAATTCTACTGCCCTTGTGCGGATTCGTACATGAGATGCCGCAGATACGGCGCGCGTGCCAGATAGGAGACGATGCGGGAGCTGAGATGGCTTGTGCTGGGGTTAAAACGGGCGGGCGCATTTCCAGCATAAGGATACACGCTGTATGATAGAGCTGGTTGCCGGAGATGGCAGAGTTGTGAGAGAAGAGAATGAGGGGAAAGGGGGTGGGGTTCTGTTGCTGGTCACTCATGATATTAGGCATAGAAAGCATCGCCGGTGGCCTCTCTTCGGCCCAGCGCTGCAATTCTCTCCATAGTTGATACCATTGGTCCGAGAAAGGCCGACTGTCTTGCGCGTCGGGCTTCCCAAGCTCTATATGCTGTGTGCGTCTAAAGCGCAAGTCGCAGACCTTGGCGCAAAGATACGTGGCCCAGTTGGCATGCATATCTGGATGCCACTCGCGTCCGTAGTGGTGTAACAGTGCTCGAACGAATTCGGAGTCTTCATTTGATGTCATTGTCGAGGGCATAGATAATGTTGCCGGCACCCACTTGGATACATGAAGTACCGCGGTCTCCGTTCCGTCAGAGATGATGGCGCCGCATACTTCCATTCGTGCATAGCACCAGAACATGGCCTGCGCAATCCCACCTGAGAAGCCATTCACACCGAAGAAGTCCAGGAGCGCAGCACAGCCTTCAAGATGGCGCCTCCAGTTGGTCGAGTTCCATGACATGAGTTCGAACGCAGCGAGAATGCAAGCCGCCACAAGGACATTAGAGTCCTGAGCCTGAAGGGCCGTAGACAGCAGCCTGATACTCTTCTGATACAATTCAGGACTGTCGTAGCAACCCTCCACCTCTGCTGCACCTCGCCTCTCCATCTGCCGGGACGAAAACGTGAGCATGGCATACAAGACGGCGGGTGAGCTACGCGCGATGATCGGCACCTGAATCTGGAACTGAAGATTCGTGTCATGCTTGTCAAGGATGGGGGCGCATACCGTCACCCAGTTCTGCAAGTATCGGATGAGTCGCGTCCGCGGTATGTCAACCGCGGAGAAGTCGGGCCTGGGGCCGTCAAAGACCGTGTTCGGGGTCGGGTCCGGTGTCGTATAGTCAGCCGGGCCCGGCTCCGGTGGGGGCCATCGGCTCGGGCTGGGATTGAGGCTGCCAATGCCAGACAGCACAACGTGCCTGAGCTCATGGTGGAGTTCAAGGAATCGGGGGTCTATGGGGAAGTGGTCATCAACCTCGGTCATTGGCTCGTTCATCGTAATTACTATGGTCCAGGTAGACGCGCATCATATCACGCGTCGATAAGATGCAGGCGAGTACTACGCAGTACTATGCAGTATGCTCCCCGACAGTGGTCACCGCTGCACTCGGTTCATTGTTTGGTCGAAGGTACCTTACCGTGGGTATAGGTAGGTTATAGAGGATGGACGAGTCGAGCATCCTGTAGGCTATCATGCCTAATTTGGGAAGGCGTGGGAGTTTCGGCTAGCCTGATTCAGGGGGTTTAACCACGCGGTGATAATCCCCACGTTCCCCAAGGCGCATGACTCGGCCGCGCTAACCATCTCATACCGACGACCCTGTCGCGCTTAATCCCTTTCTGGGCATGTAGACTACATCCCCGGTTTGAAGGTAACCTACGCTCGCTTCCCACCTCTGGCACATCTCAATTCGTCAAGCTGGCCGTGTCTCGCGCTCCGGGCTTGTGGTGTCCCTACAATCAGCTGGATGCCTTCGATAAGGCACATCTCTGATAGTAAGAGGCGATCGCGGACAGGTTGTCTGCCTTGCCGTAAGCGCCACCGTAAATGTAAGTTCCGGGGCTTTGGCCGGCGGGGTCTTCGTCCATCTTGAACCATTGGGTATTAACCTATGAGACCCCAATTTATAGGCGACGAACAGAAGCCAGAATGCGGCAGTTGCATCTCTAGGAATGTCAGCTGTTTTTACCCAGGGCCTACCTTCATCTTTGAGAGCCAGAGCAGCGGTAGAAAGCCCAACTCTGGCCCCGAGATTGAAGCGACGCCTGTCACCTCAGTTAGTCCTGATGGCAATCTTCACTTTCAAAGCTCTCCAATCGCTCGTGTTGAACGATGCAGACCGTTAGTGGACTTCACTACTCAGCAGCCTTGTCTTAGGGGCCGGGAACACTCGCCTTCATCGTCTTTTTATGCTAGGCCGATTCAGCAGTTACCTCAAGCTCCTGCTTTCGAGGACCAAGTCGGTTACACGCCTCTTTCGACAGAGACACAAGCCGTTCGAGGGCCGGACACCCCAGCGAGCAGCGGTTCGGCACGCAACAATGGTGGAGCCGAGGCTGGCCTTCTCATGAGCTTCGTCAGTGACATCGTACCATGGATCGTCTCAACTTGCCCCGGGTCAAGATTCGCAAATTCTCTTGTCGGTCTGGCCGAGTGTCAGCCAGCAGTTCGCAGTGCTATGATAGCAGTTGTCGAGGCACGAAATAAGGCTACATATGCTATGAATGGCAGGGGATCTCTTGAAGACCGAGGAGGCCACCCCCTGGATACTGTTGAAGGGGAGCTTGCCCACGTGGACGACGCCCTAGCAACGAACGTGGCTAGGTCACTTCTATTCATCGCAAGGTTATTCGGGTCACGCCCGACGTCCTGGAGCAAAGTTGGGGGTAGTTACCTCCCTTCGAAGGGGGGTTTGGAGGAACCTCTCCGGTATCTTTTACAGATGCAGGGGAAGTTTGGTAAGTGCGCGGAAGTTGCTCCTTGGACCCTTTTTCTTCAACTGTGTGACCATCAAGTAACTTGGGCGATCGCTTGTAGAGCTCGCATCTTGCATACTGGCCAAAGAGCCACCGTCTACGACACTCGTATCCTACCTTGAACAAAGCGTCTCTGCTCCGAACTCAGCGATCAGAACAACATACCTCGCCTGCCTCTCCCAGCTTGCTCAATGTCTACATCTGACCTATCATGATCTGGCGCCATTGAAGACGGGTTCTGCGGAGCATTCCCGGGGGAAGTTGTCCGCTAGAACAGATGCAATCGACCAGGCCGCTGAAGCCTGGTCCCCATGGTACAGTCTCTGGGCACACTGTCTACACTGGTATCAGGCCCGGCCTCTAGAAATGGAGCCGATATTCGGGTTGTACAGTGGCCAGACATCTGTGGAGGACTCGGCCTCCTTTCCGATCGAGATATATTCCACTCCCATTGCTCTTCAGGCCAATATGGCCATCCATCTATCGTTCATGGTCCTGATAGCCCACAAGCCGCGACTGCTCAAGCTCTCACGGTCAGAGGCCCGCCTTGGCTCTGACAGCTGGCACGCGCAGAAGATCGCGGGAATGGCTGTGTGGAATCATTTCAAGGAGCAGTTCGATCCTCTCTTCGTGGCGGCAATACTATTGGCGGCCGAGAAGATGACACATGAGTCGCAACAGATGGCTCTTTTGGTAGCCTTCCGAGAGATCGAACGTGAGATGGGTATTGTTTTGGATGATGAGATTACGAGGCTGGAATATATTTGGCGGACTTCCCGCCATGACCCCGGATGAGTTTCGAGAGATCAAAACTTTCGGAGAGCTCATATATAATAGTTTAGAGACTTCTACAAGTCTTACTTATACCCATATACTAAGGTTACTTAGAGTAAGCTTAAGGTAGACCTACCCTTGACCTAAGTAATTGCTAGTTTATCCTAATCTAGGATCAGCTATAGTCAAGCCGGTGGTTGACTTGAAGGAGGCTTCGGTTGAAATCGACTAACTAGACATGGGTGTTAGAGGCCATAGGTTTTCACCGTACACTCGCCCGCCAGAGTCAAGTATGCTTGAAACGTTGATTTGCAGAGCCGGTAGGGGAGGGCATGTCAAATCGCTGGGGAACGTCAAGGCGAGTGTCGAGTGAGACTCTTGGTTCTCTGAACTTGTAATAGAGTGCATATTATAGCTAGTTGATTAAGCTACCTAGGTAGGAAAGGGACAGAATGAATGTGCGGGATGAGAGAACCATTTTCAAGGTTGACAGCGCCGGTGCTGTTATATCACCCCAACATCAAAAGTCTAGTAACTATACGTCGCTCGCGTCCTTCTTAATATTAGATATAGTCATGGCTATCGCTACCTTTATGACACTCAAGACTAGAGTCGTTGCCCTTATAGTACACTCTAAGCATGATGTCACGGCCAGAAGCGTGACCATGCAGTTAAGAGCCATACGGATTGCGACGGTAACTTAGACAACTGTTCTGAGGTTTCACGGTAATTCAAATGAGACTATATGTTCGGCTGAGTGCTTAGCGTTAAATTAAAACAGTTTGTGGTGGACTCAAAGCTTGCTTCCTGGGAACTATTGCTTCCTACAAGCACAGTACACTATCATATTCTCAGGTGCTCTGAACAGCATAAATTACTTTGATCTGGGACCAGAGCCCGCCTATGAGATGATTCGAGGGCCTAGGGCAATATAAAAGAGCTCGAAACTACGAAAAGTATCAACTCCAGCGTGAATCTATCTTGCACATATTGGTTAGCATAACCGTGAATAAGCCTGAGGCTTCTCGTGTAGATTTAATGAGAGAGAAACTTGAGGGCGAGAGGTCTCTAAATCACAGTATTTTCTGCCTTATATATATATTTTTGTTTCTCCAGAGCATAATTAGTTTTCAAGGGGCGCGTGAGGAAGGTCGTTCGTCGTCAGCACGGTAGATCGATTCTACTCTATTGGGGGTGGCACCGAGCTTGTTTTGAGGTAACAGGGGTCATAGGCAGGCGACCAGTACGCGCCACGCCGTACCTTACCTCACTGATCGTGGCGGGGCAAGCTTCCCAGCTTCCATTTCCTTCGGCCATCTTCAAGCACAACACCTCTCATTTTCTAACCCACACAACCCGAGTCCTGGCTGGTCATCACGTTCACGATGTCGAAGCCTGTGAAGATAGAATCACCCGCACAATTCAGCGAGCTGCTGAAGACTTCCAAGATCGTGGTCACTGACTGTGAGTTACCCTCGCCTCTCCCTCAACTCCGCTGCCCCGCGATGTTGTGGTCGGCCTACACCGCGATTCTTCTGGCCACTGCCAACTGCACAGAGAATAGGAGGGCTATATTGAATGGATGCATCTTCTTCCTTTTATTCAGCACCTATATCTTCTCCGAAATCATGACCGCTTTAGCTACTCGAGGATCATAATCACGAACGGTGTTGCAAAGGCGTATTACTAATTCTGCTTCATCTATAGTCTACGCAGATTGGTGCCAACCGTGCAAACAAATCGCCCCCATCTACGAGCAGCTTGCTGCCCAGCTCACTCGTCCGAAGACCGTCACCTTCACCAAGGTTGACACCGAAGCGCAGAAGGAGATCGCCGGCGCATATAATGTCACAGCCCTGCCAACATTCATCGTCTTCCGCGACGGCAAGGCGGTAGAGAAGGTGCAGGGTGCAGATCCACGCAAACTGCAAGCAGTGGTCAAGAAGCTGGCGGCCGAGGTTGAGAATGTTGGCAGTGGCGGAGAGGCTAGCGGCAGCGGCAGCGGCAGCGGCGGTCTGGCCTGGAGAGGAGCGGACGTTCCTCGCGGCTACAGCGATGTGACGGACCAGATCGAGATGCGAAGCTGCGAGCTACTCAACATGGACTCCGACTTTGGCGATGTTCGAGTGCTGTTCGATGCCTCGAAGCCGGGCGCTCTGAGCGGAGGCAAGAAAACTGCGAAGGACTGGGTGGAGAGCGATACAGACGAGCAGCTGATGCTCTATATTCCCTTCCAGTCTATGGTCAAGCTACATACTCTCCAAATCACCTCGATCCCGCCAACGGACGACGAGGATGCGCCGATGAGACCGGCTGTCATTAAGCTGTTCACTAAGCTTTCACACAACCTGGGATTCGACGAGGCGGAGGACCTTGCAGCTACACAGGAGATTGAGCTCTCTGAAAGCGACTGGAACGCCGAAGGCACGGCTAACATCCCATTGCGGTTCGTCAAGTTCCAGAACATCAACAGCCTGGTGGTATTCGTTGTTGCTGGCGACGGCTCCAGCGAGAAGACGCGGATAGATCGACTACGTCTGATTGGAGAGTCAGGCGAGAAGCGTGAGATGGGCAAGCTGGAGAAGATTGGAGACGAGCCTGGCGAGTAGGCCAGCCGGCCGTCGAATAATGAACTCCCAAAAGCCTAAGGGCAGAGGCAAGCTACGTGGGGGCTGGGGTAGACAAACAGACCAAAATATTAGGGAGGGCTGAACATTAGGTCTACGAGGCGAACAACGGCAGGGGGGGGGTTGGACAAGGCGTGTGGACAAACTCAGCTCTTCAAACTACGCCAGTCGGACGACCCAAAACGAGGACGCTGCCGGATAGATAGACATTTACGGTTGCTTCTTCGCTTTCACCTATTACGGTAGGTATGTGCAGCCTGGGCATTGGAGTTGGAGGTTGGTCAGATAGATGGGCAACGAGAAAGTTCCGCATAGCGGGTGCAAATGGAGCATAAATTAAGAGACCTCCCTCAGCCCAAAGGTGGCTTTTCCCTACCTGATTCTCGGAAACACTGGCAAATTAATGATCGTCAGAGATGCGGCATAAGATGATGCGTCGTAAAAAAATCCTGGTGGTTGAGTACCAGCCATACTCCAGGAAACGCAGACATGAGGCGCATGAAGGCAACCAGAGAATGGACTGCCTTAAGACCCGGCCACATGCGTTTCAGCGCTCTATTCTTGCACCCTGTGACTGCGGCATGGGGGGCTGGTGAGGGTGTCCAGAGCCTCGAGCCCTATTTAGTCGCATCCAGTCGTGCTGCCTCGGTAAATTGTCTGTGTGTCACTGTGTGATGGTTTGATATGTCCAACCTCCTGCCTCCATCCAGTGCGCGCGAGGAGACGAGTCTCCCCAAGATAACTGAGATGGACTGACAGGCGAAGGAGGTCGGCCTGCAATTTATGATTCATCTGTGGCACAACTGACGCTACGAGTGATATCCATGGGGAAGAGGATTCGAGCAACACGGGTAATGTTTTTCATGTCATGCCAGCCGCACGAAGAAGAAAAGGGAAAAAGAGAAGAAGCGAAGCTTCAATTCTGCCGCCGAATTTTTTTATGGTAGAGGCGCGCCAGTGGTCGCGGTGTGGTCCGAGCGCCACCAATGCTCCCCACTTGTTCCCTTCTGTTCTTAGTCACCCGGAATAAAGAGAACGCCTGGCTCCGTTGGCCGATCTGAGCAGTATCCCCGATGAGGAACGTCCAGAACCAGGCCACAAGTTGGGTTTGGGAAAATCAATGCACGGAATCAATTAAAGCCCCTGCACACACGCCGCCCAGCTATCCTGGTCCATTGTTCATCAAACCGTTTCTCAACTCATGCCATGCAGTCATTTACAATTATCATCCTCTTTCCCCGCTGCAATGCTGGATGGGCAGCCTCTTTGCATCTGCCTGGCCTGGTGGCTTGGGGAGTTTAAGAGAGATTGGTTGAAACAAGGAAAACCGTTGTTACCGCTCGCTTATATTTAAAGAGGCGACCCGAGACGAGATGACATGAGATGAGATTGAGATGCAATGCAATGCAAGTCACTCAATGACATGGCATGACATGACCAGACGAGACAAGGTGTTAAAGATACCGCAAAGTGGCTATGGAAAGTGAATCGACCATACTGCCTGAGAGAATTCTGGGAAAACAAATTTGCAACAACTCGACTCGGAGTGGAGTTGCATTGCCATTGCTCAAGTTTCTCAAAGCCGAGAAACAAATTCAGAAGACAACATCACACGGAGACCTTCCGGATTGCGACTGCACCGATTCGCCGCCGCTCATATGACTACGCAAGCTTGAACGGAAGAATGCCACGTTCTTGTCGAGACTCAATTTAAAAGAGTCCGACCAGGGCTGCCGTTGCGCAATCTTGCTCATTCTTATGAGTGGCAGGCACTGCACGATGAACGGCCTGTGCTTTCGAGTTCCCCAATCGGAACAGGTCATCTGTCATCTAGCAACTGCCATCTGCCATGACTGCTCGGGACACTCGTCGTTTGGGTCTCGCAAAGTCGCATTCGACAACTCCTGAACTGGATGCCGGGGCGGCTCGCAGTGCAAGTCCATCTCCCTCGACGCATGCTCATTGGGCTGCTGTTGCTGCTTTGCTTGCTTCGGCCATGCTTCTGTCATGCCTACCAATGCCTGTTGCACCGTGCTGTATTATGACAGCTACCTATATACCTCCCTATCTATGTTACTCGTTCGTCCTATTTCATATAAGCCAAACAGGAAAATTGTGATGATACCTTATGTACGCCGAGTACGTATGTATGTACGTACGGCACGGTCATCTTACCGAAACAACGACAGAACCGACCCCTCTCTCCCCACCCTCCTCCACTCCACCATCTTCAACCACCATCAAGCCTTCCCCCGGTGACACCAGTGATCCCATCTCGATCAAACAGACACCCGAATGACTGGCTTCCCACTCCCTACCCTGTCCTATCCTGCCCTGCCCTGCACACCACGCCAACGCTGTCCCACCATCCCGTGTTTGCCCACTTTGCTTTACCTCCGCGCCCCAATATCGGTCGCCAGGTCACCTCCGCCCAGCTCGGCTCGCCTACTAGTCGCCTAACCACCCCTACAATGCAATATATACTGCGTCCGCTAGCCTGGCTCACTCACCTCATCCCCTCCCTGACCACACCCGAGCCAGCCTCTCCTCCACCATCACAGTACACGAGCCGGCGCTGCTGCAGTACCAGACTGCAACTCTGTTTCGACGGCACGTTACCATGGATTCCCATGTCGGTAAGTTTATGAGGCGGCGGGCTAATGAATTGGAACACTGCAGCCATAAAACGTGGCCCCTATATGCCAAATATAGCTCATCCCCTACCACCATCCACGTACCACCGGCCATTGTCCGTGGTTGTTTCTCCTCTCCCGAGCTCTACTCTGCTGTGACAGCTCTACTCCCCGGTCCCCTCTTCTTCCTACTCCCACTCTTTGGCCGACACTGGATGACAGAGCTACAGCCGGCTACCGCCCCTAGCAGCAGCTGCCTTTCAAGGAAGTCGAGTCCCTCGGGGTCCCGCCCATGTGCTGCTTGACTGGCCATGTTGAGTTCATGACATGACCATGACCAATCCCGCTGATGAACTCTGCATACACTGCAAACCCTCATGCCCCGGGACATTGGGCTCATCAAACACAGAAACAAGCGTCCAAGCATCGAACCCAGAGGGAAAAACCATGACGCTTTGCTCCGCTCTGACCATGCAGTGCCAGCCAGTGCCGTGTGGGAGATTTCCTCATCCGGAAGGTTTCGCTGTTTCCATTCAATGACGAGCGCCACAGACCATTGCGCTTTGTACCCCTCTAACTCGTTTCCGACAGCTTTCCGACAGCTTATACTAGCTCAAACTGCGGTTCGCCTTCGATCAGACTGTCAAGTGACAGGAGCTGAATCCACCAGAGACCCCAAAAGTTGGTCGTGTCCCAATCTCTTACAATCTCAACTCTCTTGTCAGCTTCCAATTCCTTTCTAATCGGCCTGTTTTACGGAAACGAAAAACACAAGAGGCGCAAGCGTGTCTGACTTGCGGCTTACTCTTGTATTACCTGCCTTTACGCTCTATCATAAGAGTCTTTCGATATAACTACATTGCGCCCTGGCGTCTGCCGAAGCCTCGCGGCTAAGCTTCCTCACGATATTCGAGCGGATATCGATTTTGAATCGTTGCAGATAATCAAGCCAGTCTTGCCTTGCTATTAGTCCGCAGTGGACCTCTCGACTATTATATTCGGGCGCATTATACATAGTGTCACTGGGAGCGGTGTAGTGATCTCCAGAGTTGCGGATCTTGACGTGGCCATCGACTGAGAGGCTGGGCCGGCTATTTGGAGGGCCACATCACAGCACATCAACTCCTCAGTGGAGATCGAAGCAGGCTGGAAAAGCTCTTTGGATTGCTATAACATCAAGGTCGCATCGGTCGGAGCAGCATGCACAATGTTTGTCCCACCGTTGCCACCATTATCGATCATCATGTCCGAAGAGTTTCGAGGATTTACCAAGTTACCGGCCGAAATCCGGAATATGATATGGGAGTATTCTCTCCCGGAGCCGAGAGTTTATGAAGTTCTTGATGCTCCAAATGCGAAGCAGAAGACTCCAGCCCAGAAGGGCCTCATATTTGCTAATATCCATCCCGAACCGCCTCCGGCATTGGCATCGGTCTGTCGAGAGTCGCGCTTCTTCGTCTTACATAATTACAAGCCGTTGACCCTTGGTTCCACAACAAAGTTCGTCGATCTATCTCGAGACATATTATTGCTCGAACCATACCTGCTCGTCAAACGGCTGCATCGGGCGTTGCATTTCATGAGTCAGATACCACTCGTGCGTGACAACCTCAATCGGTTGGCGCTCGGCACCTCCTACGGGATGTACACGGGAATATGCCATCCAGTTTTGAGCTGGAAGGTCTCCAAGAACAACATGGGCAAGCTTCTTCAACGCTTTGCCGACTTCCCCAAGCTCAAGACCCTCATTTTCGTGGTCCATCAAGAGTTTCAGTTCGAGTTTGACTTTCGCTGCCTACCGAGCCACGCCATCGCAATTCCGCCCACCGCACCCACTCTCATGCCGCGGCCGCAGCTCGTGCACCAGGCGTATCGCTTCAAGTTCGACATCGAGGCCAACATCAACTATCGGCCGCGGCGTCCGCACGTCAACGAGCTGCTGTACTACCCGCTGGACATCGACGAGGACAAGGACGACTGGGACAGGGACAACCCGGACGAAGACAACGAGTTCTACGATCCGTGGCCGACGAACGATGACTGGCGCCGTTTCAGGAGGCGCTTTCAGCGCGCCATACACCTCAGCCTCGACGTGGGGTTGACGGAAGGTGGCGGCGTGAAGTCGGATGCCGTACCCGCGCTCAAGGGGGCGAGTTTGCTCTGGCGTTATACGCGGGGCGGGTACGTGTGACAAGACGGTGGCGGGAGCAAAAAGGAGGCGAGACGGGATGAGGCTGGTCGTCCGGCGGAAACGAGGCTGTCTATTGGCAGATTTGCGGGCTCTCCAAATCCGCGGCTTGGGGTACCCTAACGTTGGCCAGCCCCGGAGGTCTAGGTGGGACTTTAGGCTAATGCTCCCTACCAAGACGCGTCGGGCTGGCCAGCAATGATTGAATGTGCTCGGATTGATTGTCTTTCGTTTGATACCCGGGAACAGGTGCCCTATTGGAGTTTGAGCTCTTGGAAACGAGGATATATAGTTCAGCCAAAGATGCTGGCGGGGCGAATGCTACCCATGTCCTTCCTAGACTGGTTTGAATACACTGGAGCATAGGCCATACTGAATAAAGAGATAGACCTCTTCATTTCAACCTTTATACGAATACTGAATAGCAATGCTAGGTCAACCATTACCATTAGCTGCGAATCTTGCTGATGTCCAACCGATTGACTTGCCCACTTTGCGTCATCTTGGAATGGCGCCTACATAGTCTATAATAATCTCCCGCTGACAGTCTCATCCCTATTAAGATGACAACCTATTGTTTCTTGGAATGTGACTTAGAAGCCACCCGGCATTATATTCCAACAAGATGTCACCTCAATCCGCGGATCCCCTGGCAGCATGATTCCATGGAGAGCACGGATGACAAGACATAAGACTACAATTGGGGGGCTGCATGTCTCCACCAAGTCATCCGATGGAATCAGTACCTACATTGTATACACAAGCCCGAATTAACTCAGATGCCTCCATAAGTAGCTCAATTACATGCCTTGTCCACTTTATGGAAGTGCTCGTTCAAGGCCAGCGAGTGTCGACTCTTCTCAGTGGCTCCTCACAGGAAGCCAAGACTCGAATCTGGGTACAAGGAGTACCCAAAAGCAGTCATCTTCGAACTCTTGGCTTGCAGCTCTAAGGACATGCAGATCTGATCGGAGCACTCGATAAGAGAATAAAAGGACAGCTTTCATCTTTAGTATAAGACATTCCGTCAGCGCAATTCTAGACCGAGAGCCAGGCGAGGCGCCCGTGACGGCTCTCGCCAAGCCTCATTCATTTATTGGGGAAGTCCTTCTGACTAGCAGCTCCTTGAAGGGGCAAGAGATGTCCTGAGGATCGCGGTGTGATGCCCCAATGCGGCGCCGGGGGTCTTGACCTCTTCTGCAGGGTTGAGGACCGAGCCCGGCCCCATAATTGGCGGCGGGCCAATAGAAGGGCCCGACGGCATTCGGATCGTGGTGTCGGGATAGGAGACGTAAGATCGCCCTTGTCCTGAAGAGGAAGGCCTTTTGGGGGCACTTTTCAGTAGCTAATCCAGGCCTCTTCTCCTGTTGCTCCTTCGCCAGAGCACACAAGACAGCCCCGGGGCTTTTTTTGTCAGACACGGCTCAATGGAATCAATGAAACAACTGCAATGGACTGTCGGCCGCCGCGTAGTCCCTACAACCGCCTAAAGCCATTGCTAACGTACGCTGGCGGTGCCTGAGTTGTCCACTTAGCTTGGAAGTTAGGCGTGCATTTGTCGTCGTCGTCGTCGAAGCCTGTTGTCGGCCGACCCAATTTCGATAATTGGCTGCTGAAGGATTGGAGTCACCGTGCTCCCGGCGACCGATAAGACGTCCAGGCCTCGCTCTTCACTTTGCTCGCATCGATCCCTTGGTGCATTTCTTTCCTTTGCATATAAATACTTGGCCCTTTCAGCCGCCTCTCGCGCCTTTTGTGAATTCGGCAGGCGATTCGGCGGCGGCCAGCAATCATCACCAAGATGACGCAGGGCCAACAGGCGCCCTATCAGGACGCCACCAACGGAGGGGCTCTGGGCGATGCCATTGACCAAGAAGACAGCATCAATGAGCAAACGCCGCTGCTCGCGACCAAGGACATTGCCCCCACGGCCGACCCTCTTGTAGCCAAGGCGACGGTTGCGGCTGCGACGGAGGGCAACGGCAGCGCTGGGCATGACGACGAGGACAAGCCTCTGCCCGTATGGCAGATCGTCCTCCTGTGCTACGCGCGCCTGGTGGAACCCATGGCTTTCTTCTCCATCTTCCCCTACATCAACAAGATGGTTCAGGAGAATGGCGGCCTGGAGCCCGAGGATGTCGGCTTCTACGCCGGCCTGATTGAGTCGCTGTTCAGCCTGACCCAGGCCATCGTCATGATCTTCTGGGGCGAGGCTGCGGACCGCATCGGCCGCAAACCCGTCCTCGTCTTCTCCCTCTTCGGCGTCACCCTCGCAACGTCCATCTTCGGCATGGCCAAGACCATCTGGCAGATGATTCTGTTCCGCTGCCTGGCGGGTGTGTTTGCCGGGACGATCGTCACCATCCGGACCATGATTGCAGAGCACAGCACCCAGAAGACCCAGGCGCGCTCCTTCAGCTGGTTTGCCTTTTCAGGAAACCTCGGCATCTTCCTCGGGCCTCTCCTGGGTGGCGCATTGGCCGACCCGGCAGGCCAGTACCCCAAGGCCTTTGGCAACATCCAGTTCTTCATCGACTACCCTTATGCGCTGTCCAGCTTCGTGGTCGGCAGTGTGGGACTGACGGGCGCCATAGCGGCGGCGGTGTTCGTGAAGGAGACGCTCAAGAAGGAGCCTGGCGACGATGTGCACCATCCGAACAAGCCCAAGAGAGACAGTCATTCGATCATTAAGCTCGTCAAGGCCCCGGGTGTGGGGATGGTGCTCTATGTCTAGTAAGTGCTTTAGTTTCCCGGCGTACTGCCGCCTTATGTTCTCGACTTTCGAGTCCAAGACAGGTTGTAAATGCTGACCTTTTTTTTTTTCAAGCTCGCATATCATGATCTTAGCATTCTCATACACGAGCTTGGTTGCAATTTTCTGGTACACGCCTGTGGAGCTCGGTGGTTTCGGGTTCACGCCGCTGCAGATATCGATCATGATGGCGGTCAACGGCATAGCCCAGGCGACCTGGCTGCTGCTGATCTTCCCGCCGCTGCAGCACCGCATCGGCACGAATGGCGTCATGCGGCTATGCGCCTACGCGTACCCGGTCTTCTTCTTCCTGTGCCCGCTCGGCAACCTCATGCTGAAGCAGCAGACCGAGGCCGCTGTCAAGGCGTTCTGGGTCATCGCGCCCGTGGTCCTCGTCTTTGGCTGCGGCATCAGCATGAGCTTCACGGCCATCCAGCTGGCGGTGAATGATGTCACGCCCAGCCCGCAGGTGCTGGGCACGCTCAACGCGCTCGCCCTGACGGGGGTCAGCATCATTCGGGCCTTCACGCCGGCGCTGTTCAACACCCTCTTTGCCGTGGGGGCGCGCACGCAGTGGTTCTACGGGTACGCGATCTGGGTGCTCATGGTCATCCTGGCGGCGTGGTTTGCTGTCGTCGCGAGATGGCTGCCTGAGAAAGAGGACCTGGTCCGGGAGCGGGAGCGGCGGAGGCAGGAGCAGGAGCAGCAGGAGAACTCTGCGGAGTGAGTGAGGCTTCAAGGGGCAAACGCCGGCATGCCCTACGGAGTGACTCTCCGTATTTTCTAGCCCATGCCTTGGGCAGTGTTTTACGACACCCTCATGCAAGGCTATTATGCATCACTGCCTCGGCGTGTGCTGGCTTACATTGCCTTACAGCAGTCCGGGAGACAAATGCCTCGCTGACACGACTTCATGTGGCTGCATAATCTGTCCGAGGCCACATCTTCACGAAGAGGGGGGTCAGGATGCCTGACGAGATTGAGGACTGATGGTAAGCTCCCAATCCCGGAGGCGGTGCCGACGGCGGCTTGGAGATATAACCAACAAACATGTACGGCGACGATCCTCCCGCAAGAGGAAGGATGTTTTCCTATTTGTGCCTAGGTCGGGCATCGAGCGCTCACGATGCGCTTCGGTCCTCTGACGAAAGGTCATTTGGATGTACTTTTTTCTAGACATACCCTATAGATATCTTGGATACATGTGCTACTGAAGTGATTCTGGTATGCATTTGCCTACTCAAGTGTGCAGATACCAGTATATTTGAAAGGGCAGTGCTTGATGCGTGCCAAAGCTGTACCAATATGTAGATACGATCATACAAGTATTTGATCCATCTCAACACTGAAAACCCCGCGCGCTTATCCAGATCATCTCCATGCTTGGGGGTTCAAAGGAGATTTGTACACTGGATTGCACACTGATGATAGTTGATCCGGCTATGCGGCTACACCCGGCTACCGTGACCTTGATTTCTGCTCTTGAGGTCGGCCACCGACCAGCTACGATATGCAAGGCAACTGAACAACAAAGGCCACCGTGATCATGAGGGCACCCAACACGCGAATCAAGACAGTGCCGACTCGGCCGAGACTGCAGTGTGCTCGAGGCCCAAAGACATGCCGAAGGGCCCAACCAGACAGGCACAGCCCTGAGCCTGGGCGGCGGGAGGATCCATCTGAGCGAAAACTGCAAAGGCTCGACGGAAGGCTGCTTTCTGGCCTCCCGACGATGCGGTTTCGAGAAGTGATTAGATAGCTACAGTCACACTAGAGAGCGAGACTAGAGGGTTCTGCCGCATGGGATGGGACGGACCCTCCCTGGTCCCTGGTGGAGCCGCGCCATTGGCTGGCAGGCCCAAGCCACCGAGCCGGGGTGTCTGTGCCTTGATTGTTGGCGTGACGTCCCTGCTAACGTCATAAGGCCTCCATTGCCCAACCAGAGCACAACTCCAACATGCCTGCGCTGCGCTGCCATTCGCCTGTTCCCGCTTTGCAGGTGAGCCCGAGCGAGCAGACACCGACGACCCCTTCGACCTTGATCAGGGTCCCTCGGGTCCTTTGCTCTTGGTGCAGGGTGTGCGGGTCTCAGGGTCCTCCCGGTCGACTGTCTGTACAGTTGACCAAGCCCAAGCCTGCTTTAGCCCACCATTTTCTCGTTTTTCTTAGTGCGATGTAGACCGTTAAGTCAGGCTCTATGACTCCCTTTGTGTAGCGTGTAGCGGCGGCGGTGTCATGAAGCCTTACATAGTAAGTGGGCTGTGTGGTCGAGACTAAAGGGGGGGAGGCGATATTCCGTATATATCTTCCCGACACCCTCCCTCCAGACCAACACCACTTGGCCATGAGCTTTAGCTTCCGCATTCAGTCTTCGTGATCCTCTCCACACTCTCGCCTCACTTCATCTCATCTCATCTCTGTTCTGTTCTATTACTGTCTCTCATCTGATCTTCCTGAAACAAGATTCTCATCTTGTCAGGTGCTACTATTGAGCCCTGTTATCGACCTCGGAGCCGCCTCCTATATCAAAGGACTCTTCAAAGCTGCATCAGCTTGACCGACGGTCTTGTTCCAGCCATCCCGCTTTATAGAAGTCTTTCCCACAGCGAATTTCAGCTCTCTACAAAAGTAAGAACTCCTCTATCTATCTACATCCAGTTCCATATCCCTCCATTTATCATATCATGTGTGTCATTGGTATATCTCTTCATTACAAGTTAAGGGCGGCATCCTCTTCTTAGAACTCTGAGAACTAACACTGCAACCCAGTGGTTCACGAGCACAAGTACCGCGGCGCAAAGAAGGTCCTATACCTGGAGCCGCCCACCAACGGCAGCGTCACCGTCAAGAAGAAGATCACCCGCATCATCCCGCCCTCCCCACCACCGCCGCCCCCCATCATCGTCAAGCCGCCCCCTCCGCCCCCGATGATGCCCCTCCCGCCTCCGCCGCCCATGTCGGAGCCGGAGCAGATCGACGTCATCGCCGTCGACGTCGCCAAGTCCGAGAAGAGCACCCGCAGCAGCAAGTCCAGCCGCACCAGCCACAGCCGCAGCCGCAGCCACGTCGACAGCCGCGAGCGCGAGGTCTACATTGAGCGCGAGCGCATCGTCCCCGTCCCCGTGCGCGTCCAGCCCGAGTTCGAGACGTTCAGATACGTTGACGCCCCCCGGCGGTGGAGCCCGCCCAGCCCCCCGCGGCGCGAGGTCAGCCAGGAGCGCGAGCGCATCATCGTCGAGGACCATCGCCGCACGAGGGAGTACTACGGCGGCAGTGGTCGCTGAGTGAGGTCGCTATGTTGCCATGTTGTCATGATTACTTTTTTCGCTTCGATGAGGGCATATGGAACCTTCCTGTCTTTTTATCATGTAGTATTTTTCCATTATAATGTACGATGACTCATCTGTGATGAGACCAAAGATGGGTGGATATTGTCTCTAGCGTTGCATTTTGGTAACTCTGTATCATGTGTGGAAGAGCAGGCATGGTGTTTTGGAAACAGAGAAGTCGCAGGTATGGAGGTGGACATGTGGCTTCTATGCTACGACTCTCGGTGGATGGCTTCATTTAGTCACGAGTCTTCGTCGATACGATTTTTTTCTTGTACAATTTACATGGATCTGTCTACTTCTGGGCAATAGTCTTGTCTCTTGAGAATCCCCATCGGATCTGATTAGCAACGTGGATCTGTACGCCCAGCTCCTCTGCCCAAGTCCAAACCAGCCCCGGCTCCTTTTGGAACATCCTGCCCACAGCCGTCAAATCCAACGGCTCCCCATCCTTGCCCTCGAGTAGATCGTTGGCTTGCTTCCCTTTCACTATCCTGCCCACCGTTGACACCAGCGCTCGATCTCCCACTGCCTTCTTGATCCTCATCGCAAACGGCGCCTGGTAATTCGGCACCTGGTCGATCTTTTGCGCTGGATGCAGTCCTCCCGAGCTCACATCGATGAGATCGACGCCGCGGTCGGCAAGGAGAGGCGCCAAGCGCACCGAGTCCTCGACGGTCCAGCTGGGCCCCTCGTACGGCGTGTTCTCCAGCCAATCCGTGGCACTGATCCGAATGAACAGTGGCATCGAATCCGGGATGATGGCACGTGTCAGCTCGACAACCTCCAGCGTGAGCCGCGTCCGGTTCTCGAAGCTGCCGCCGTACTTGTCGGTCCGCACGTTGCTGGCTGGTGAGAGAAACTGATGCAGCAGACGCCCGTGGCCGCTGTGAATCTCAATGACGTCGAAACCCGCCTTCAGCGCGCGCTTGACGGCGGCGCCATAGGCGGCCTTGAAGTCCTCGATGTCCTGGGTCGTCATGGCTCTGGGGACTGCATATTCCTTGTCGTACGGGATCGCCGACGGGGCTTTCACATCGCTCGGCCAGCCCCCGACCTCCTCCGTCGCCACGGCCCCCTTGCTGAGCCAGGGGGCGACGGTGCTTGCCTTCCGACCACCATGGCCGATCTGGATGCCCATCTTCTGCCCCTGCGAGTGCGCAAAGTCGGTCATGCGCTTCAGGGGCTCGATCTGGCTGTCGAGCCAGATGCCCGAGCACTGCGGCGTGACGCGGCCCTCGGGCAGGACCGCGGTCGACTCGACCATGGCGAGCCCGGGGCCCCGCGAGACGATGCCGCCCAGGTGCTGGAAGTGCCAGAGCGTGTGGTGGCCGTTCTCGGCCGAGTACTGGCAGAGCGGCGAGAGCATGATCCGGTTGTGCAGGGTCAGGCCCCGGATCTGGAGGGGCGTGAAGAGCTTGGGGAGAGGCTTTCCATCTGGCTGGGGGTTGGCGGCGCTTCCAGAGGGGTAGTTCTGTATTGGTGTGAAGTATGAGACCTGTAGGGTCTCTGTCAGTTCTCTGGGAGGACAATGACCGGAGAGACGTACACCTGGGGCACCCGTGCTCGGGATTGCTTTCTGCCCATTTTGTTCACGCTTTTCTTTCTGAGGTTTAACCTCGTCTAGGTTGACAACAGCCATCGTTGTTAAGTTACGCTGTCATAATGAGTTGTCAAACTTAGAACATGTAATCTGTTTAGACACGCAGCGTACCTCACTTCCTAAGCTAGACGTTACCTTATGTCAGCATGTGACTCTTGAGACCTGCAGACGTTGTCAGATTGCCGTTCTAGAAGAATCAGAATGGTGAAGCGAGGAGCGGAGGTTACAAAGGCCAGTAGCCGCGCCCCGGTAGCCGGATCGGGTATGTAGGCAAGTAGCCGCGCCTTATCTTGCCAGTTTTATCACAATATGATATCGTTTTTCTCTCATATCTTTTTCATTTTATCATATCTAGATAGCTATATCTTATCTTGATAACTCAGTCTTTGAATCGGTATTCATATCGGAAGAAGTGTTGCAATTCATGTGCCGGGGGCCGGATATAACGCTGTTGTTCGACGCTCTAAGCCGCCAGCAGTATAACATCGTGCCGATCCCGCCGTATAAGCTGCAACAAAATCCAGATTGATGGAACTATACTAACTTCTTATCTCTTATTAGTCTGATTTAAAGAGACTCGCTGGATTCCATCGGGTGTTTCCCGACGGTTGCATCCCCTGGTTGAGAATAGGCTTATCTGCGGAACCACTTTCAGTTGTGGAAACCCACTTAATGTAAACTCCTACTGCGAAGAGAAAGTCGGATAGCCGACGGACCCAATTTCTATAAATGCTGCCTTACTCAGATAGAATCCCATCATTCATTTGACAACGTTGTCAGACAGCTACCTTTAAGATCGCAATATCTGCGTCTTGCGGATTTTGCCCATCATGTCTGAGAAAACAGCGTCAGACAGCGTCGCCCAAGATGTGCTTGTTACTGGAGATGCCAGCTCCTCGCATGTCTTCATTGATCCCGAGAAAGAGAAGAAGGTTGTGAGGAAACTGGACATTTTCATTGTACCGGTCTTTATGATCACTTATCTCTTCAGTTTCTTGGATCGTTCAAATCTTGGGAATGCCAAAGTTGCTGGCTTGGTGAAAGATCTCCACTTAGAGGGCACCCAGTTCAACGGTAGGGCTTCCAATATTAAGACACTTTGGCGTGTGACCAGTACTGAAAATTTACAGTTGCCGTATCGATCTTCTATGTTACATATGTTGTCTTCGAGGTTCCATTGACGGTTTTGTTTAAGGTGGTCGGACCTTCCAAAATGAGTATGTCCTTTTTTAATTCCTTTCCCAGTGCCATTTCTAATGCCAGCCAGTTCCTGCTATCATGATATCTTGGAGTCTTGTCACTGTGTGTACAGGTTTCTGCCAAAACTATGGCGGACTCTTGACCTGTCGTCTTCTTCTTGGCGCGTGCGAGTCAGCACTATTTCCCTCCCTCAATCTCTACGTGTCCATGTTCTGGAAGAGAGAAGAGATTGCCAAACGAGCTTCGGGAATCGGCATTTCCCTCGCTTTGGCAGGCGCATTCGGTGGTCTCTTTGCCTGGGCAATTTTACAGATGGACGGTACCGCAGGTTATGCTGGGTGGAGGTGGCTCTTCTTTATCGAGGGAGCTATCTCATTCGCTCTTGGCATCGCCACATATTGGCTTTTCCCAGACAACCCCGAGACAGCGTATTTCCTGAACGCCGAAGAAAGGGAACTCGCCAAACTACGCCTCGAGGTGCACGGCAACTACGAGCCCTACGACTGGGCTGATGTGAAAGCGGCTTTCAAAGACCCTGTGTGTTGGTTGTCTGGGTTTATGCAGTTCAACGCAGACATTTACAACTATAGTGAGTTGACTAAATGATAGTCAAGTCAAAGTCTTGGCTCAACTAACTCTTCAAGGTATCTCGACCTTTCTGCCCACCATCATCAACGACATCGGATATACCAGCTTGCAAGCGCAATATCTCACAATTCCATGTTACTTGCTAGGCTCGATAGTATACTTCACAGTAGCCACTATTTCCGATAGAGTGAAACGCAGGGGCCCGTTTATACTTTTTGCCGGGATCTTCATCATGACTGGATATTCTGTCTTGCTGGGCAGCAAAACACCAGGCGTCCGGTACTTTGCATGCTATCTGGTCCTCTTTGGCGCGCCCATCATTCCAGGACTGAACTTGACATGGCTCAACACCAACATGAGCCCGCATTTCAAACGTGCCTCCGCCATCGGCCTCAACCAGACGATTGGCAACTCCGGCGGCGTCATTGCAGGGCAGATCTACCTCAGCAGAGAGTCGCCATGGTACAAAACGGGCCACGCGGTGAGCTTGACGGCTTGTGGTCTCACTTGGTGCTGCACCTGGATTATGATGTGGATCCTTTCCAGGAGAAATGCAGAAAAGGATAGGAAGATCCAGGAGGGTACCCCTGACACCGGAAAGGGAGACCATTCAATCTACTTTAGATATCAACTATAAGAAAAGCAGTATAGAGTCACGTATATTGGTAATTACTCGTCATCATGGCTGAAACGGTTATACTGGGGCAAGGGTATATGGCAAAGGATTAGGACATGAAATAATGAGACATTTGAATTATTGTGCCTGTTCGCATGTTGTTTACCTTGGTGAAGAGTATAGACGAATTCTGACTATTCGTTGCCATTGCCCACAAGTCTCGGCGGGGGGAATAATTATGGCTCTAGGTAAACTCATTGGTGAAACGCGTGAGTGCTAAGTATGTGACATTTCACTTGAACAAAGTGATGAATGTGATGCTGAATAGTAAAGTAATATAGTTGCTCCTTGTTTTGTGAGGAAAATGAGAAGATGAATGAGTTGCACGTAGACATATAAGAAATCTTGGCACCGTGGTACTCTCTTTAGTTTTGGCTATGATATCTGTTACCCATGGAGTTAGTGCGCACCAAATCTCAGAAGCCCCTCCCCTTTTTGGGGAAGGCGACAGGGGCTGGCTAGGAGCTACTGCATTGGTCCTGCCTCACATGCGGCACTGCTTAAAAAAAGTGCTTGGGTTGCAAGTTGCGACACCTCTGGTATTGAATTGCTGCCCTTGCAAAAAGCGACACATTGCACTTTTCGCCCAAATTGACCCTTGATTAAGTGAGAACTCCAAAAGTCAGTACTTTCTCTGAGTGGCCTATCTATGTCTGGAAGCGAATCTGCATTGCAGAAAGGCACAAAAAATTCAGTGGCCACCATATTCAAGACAGCCTAAATACTGACAGCTGGCCTTACTTACCTAGTTAGAGCACTCGGCCGTGGAGCTCGACCTCCTTGCGTACCTCCATCGCTCCTGACACACTCTTCACTCTTCTACCTCCGTGCCGAAGACAAACCATTGCACATACGAATATGCAATCATGAAGCTCTCGGTGCTTTCCCTGGGCCTTTTGGCCCTTCTCACGCCTCTGACGGCTGCGTGGACGAAAGAGGGTATGCCTACTCCATCGCCCTACTTTCCTCTCCCTTCAGAGCTGCCGTTAACTCTTCCCCCTGGCTAGACCGTGAGATCTTCACCCTCCGCGACGAGATTGCCGTCCACGAGGGCGCCGACGTGACCTTCTACGACTTCCTCGGCATCACGCCGTCCGCGACGCAAGATGAGATCAACAAGGCCTACCGAAAGAAGTCCCGCTCGCTGCATCCGGACAAGGTGAAGCAGCAGCTGGCAGCGGAGCGCACCAAGGCGAGCAAGAAGAAGGGCAGCGACAAGAAGAAGCCCGGCGTGAACGTTGTCAAGCCGCCGACGCAGTCCGAGATCAAGGCGGCCGTCAAGCAGGCCTCGGACCGGCAGGCGCGCCTGTCCATCGTGGCCAACATCCTGCGCGGCGCCGGCCGCGAGCGCTACGACCACTTCCTCGCCAACGGCTTCCCCGTGTGGAAGGGCACCGGCTACTACTACAACCGCTACCGGCCCGGCCTCGGCACCGTCATGTTCGGCGTGCTGCTCTTCGGCGGCGGCGCCGCCCACTACCTGGCGCTGTACCTGGGCTGGAAGCGCCAGCGCGAGTTCGTCGAGCGCTACATCAAGTTTGCGAGGCACGCGGCCTGGGGGGAGAACCTCGGCATCAACATCCCCGGCGTGGACGCCACGCCGGCGCCCGCGCCTCCCCTGCCTGCCGAGGACGAGCGGCCCATGGCTATGAACCGCAAGCAGAGACGGATGCAGGAGCGGGATGCGAAGCGCGAGGCGGCGAGCGAAGGCAAGCCGTCGCGCCGTGGAGGACGGCGTCTGGGCACGGGCAATTCGGGCACTGCGACTCCCACTGGGGCAGCGAGCGGTCCTACCGGCGCGAAGAAGCGCGTTGTTGCTGAGAATGGCAAGGTCTTGGTCGTCGATTCCCTTGGTGATGTATATCTTGAGCAAGAGGACGAGGAGGGTAACATAGCAGAGTTTCTGCTTGATGTAAGAAGCCCCATACTCCATATATCTACCTTCACTTTTATGCTAACGGACATCTTTCAGCCCAATGAGCTTCCCAAGCCTTCTATCAAGGACACTGCGCTCTACCGCATGCCAATCTGGCTGTACGGCCTGACCGTCGGCCGTGTCCTGTACAAGAAGGAGCAGGGCGAGGACTCCGAGGAGGACGACCTCGTGGATGACTACAAGGAGGTCAACGCGGCGGACACGGACGACTCGGAGCCGGGCAGGCGGACCCCCAGCACGGGCTCGGCCGACGACGGCTTCGAGCTGCTAGACAAGTCGGTCGAGGACCTGGGCAAGGCGACGGGCAGCCAGGCGCAGCAGAAGCAGGGCAAAAGTGGCAAGCGGAAGGGTAAGAAGAGGTAGTCATCGATTTTGAGGGTCGGGAGCTGTTCTTGGCTTCTTGTTCCGCAGGCAATGAATGGCAAAAAAGGGGGGGACGACTCCCGGAAAATGGAGTTGGTGTAGCAAAGACAGACTACCTGTTAGAAAAGAGCAACACAGTCTTACGCGAGATCTCGGAGTTCATGATGCACAGTATCAAAATGAGATGATCTTGAAATTTGTCTGCCCGGTCACATATGCAAACACACGGTTTGAAAGATCTTGATTTGAAATATGACGGGATTTACGCTCATATTGCTAACGAACTAAAATGGAGGACAGGTTCGATAACCCGCCAACGGCTTACCTCGCAGCCCTCGGGGCCATACTTACTCTGATATAGGTGTTTGGTTGAGACTGGGAAGGGTATTTGGAATAGGGGCTTCAGGAGAGGGATCAGATTCACGTACCTCACATAAGCTGCATCACTGAACTCTTCTAAATGAGATAGAACGTTAGCGCTTTGCACAGTTGATAAATCGGGGGAGAAAGAGTTCTCTAAGGGGTAGAGAAAAAGGAAACAAGTAGTGGTAGTGAATGCCTATGAAGAACCCTCAAAAAAACTCCGTCGCCCATAATAGGGGGGTGAATCTTCCTCTGCTACTCGATGCAGTGCAATAACAGACCTTGCGACAACAAACTAATCCTGCACTATGTAAATCCAGTCTCGTCATGAAAACACCTAATGCCAATAATCTCATCATGCCCGATCCTAGCTTTCATGCCTCCATGGTATCAAATCATATGCCAAGAGCTTCCAGAATGATCCGGCTCCTGCTGTCATCTAACGATCTAAGGTATCTGTAGATAGATGCTACTTTCTTATCTCACAGCATCTCTTCATCGCGCCACTGGTGGTACGCGCCATACTGGTTCTCCATGGCAGCCTGTCTCTGCCAGTCCAGGCCGGTGTTAGTAGTCTTGTAGACAGGATCTGTGGCGGGCGAGTAAGTCGGTCCACCGACGGAGGTACCGAAATGCGAGTAGACGTCTTTGGATCGCGGCTCCATGGACATATCGTAGTCTCCACCGCGGCTAGCTGACGCCTCGTACTCACGCCTGGCCATCTCCTCGTAGCCAGAGGCCATATATGGCTCCATGTAGTTCTGGGGCTGCATCCACCGTCCATCACCGGCCTGTATGGGAGTGAGCATGGTGCCGTCAAGGCTCATCACCTTGGGGGTCTCATGCTCCTGGACTTTGCGCTCCATTCGTATCTTGGCGAGGGTCTCCTCCTGCTCCAAGGTCGTGGAACTCCAAGCCAGCGTAGGGTTGTCGATGCTGTTGGTGGGAGGGCAAATGCTCCATAGTTGAATCAACCGCATCTTTTGACTGTCATCGGCCGCTTTGAAGAGCTGGATTTGAGAGGGTGAGAGTGCAGATGTGTCTACGCCATAGGTCCTCAGAATGTTCTCCAAATCGGGGTTCTCGGACTGAGGAGGCTCAGATGCCGGCCTTTGCGGCTGCTGCGGCTCTGGTTGGTTCTGGCTTTGAGACTGAGCCTCAGCTTGCTGCTGATCCTGCTGCTGCTTGGCTAGGTGTGCGGAGTGGTTGTAGTGCTGAGAAATATACACTATCTTGGGCTCTTCCGGCGGCAGTTGCTGGGAAGGATCAAGGGTCAAGTTGCGGGTGAAGAGACTGGCCAGCTCCTCCTGAACCTGCATGTTGGGTTGGATGAAGATCATCTTGTTCAACTGTGAGGGGGAGTTAGCACATTCACGTCCAGATGTAAGTGGCTTTTGCCTTACCGTGCTGCACGTCGAAGTGCAGAATTGATGCGACAAATGATTATTTTCCTGTCCTCCAGCATACAAATAATGCCCAACAATAGCTCTGACAGTGGCAAGATGCTAGAGTTTGCACTGAGTGGTCAGCTGAACAACCAGCGTGGCAATGATGATGAAGGGTGGTGGTAAGAAGCGGATGATGCTCTCGGCTCGCTTGGTGTAAGCGGAGGGTAGAATTGTATGTAACAACTTTGTTTTATATTGACTATGCTATTTACTCGACGCTGATTAAAACCGGGGTAGAGTCAAAGAAAAGGACGATTAGAGGGCGAATATCCCGTTCGGAAGAGACAAAGACCGTCGTCGAGGCAGGACAGCGGGCGTCGATGGTATAACGGATCAGGAGGTTCACTTGTTCGTTCGGCTGCGATCGGGTGACTGTCTTTCACTGACGGTAGCTCTGGTGCAAGGGCGCCAAACGCGGGGCAGTTAGTGGGCGGTGACTCGCACAAGGGCGAAGGCGGCCAGTTCTTGATGAGGGAGCTACGCCCTGTTTTGCGTCTTGAGAGTGACGAGAGAGAATCAGGGAATGGCAAAAGAGAAAGTTGATGATGCAAAAGAGGCTGAAGCAAACAAAGCGAAGTCGGCAGGTTTGCGACCTTATATCTGATGAAGAAAGAGGGCCAGGCAGGGAAAATGAAATGAGGAGGGGTAGGCAGCCCGTAATTTCGTTGAGCAGGTGCACGAACAGAAACAGGCACCTGGCGCGCGCTGGGTAAGGGACGAGTGGCACCTAGAAAGGGGGGGGAGCGATCGAGGCGGTGACGCCAACAAGACGCCAACGAGTTCCCCAATGCAGGTCCGCTACTGTACATGTACAGTTACAGTTACAGTGTTGATGGTGGGGGAGGAAGGAGGGATGCACAGCCAAGCGCCGCTTCCCATCCTATCCTATTCTATTCTATTCTTCAGAAGGAAGGTATCTCTTCTTGTGTTCTAAAGATCTGCTATGTCCTCTTTATCGTTCGTGAATGCTCTTTGTGTTGCTCATCGACTCTCATCGAGTGACTTGACTTGACTTCTGCGATTCACCAGCCGTCCCTTGCCGTGTCCCAGAATTGCTGGATATCCCAGCAGTCCCATTAGTCCCAGAAGTCCCAGGCAGCTTGTTGGGCCGTCCTACAGTTGCTCCATCCCTCAAAGAGGTGTCATGCGTCACGTTTAGGCGACTTGAAACGGCTCTAGAACCTCCACATCCACAGACGGCGACAGGTGCTCCAGCTGATCTAGAGCATACCCTCCAATGACGGTGTGACACGAGATGGGGCAAAGCAGCAGTCTGATGGGGAGTGAGACAGGTACAAAGCAGGAACTATTCTTTTCTAGTGTTGGAATTGTAGACTGCATCAACTATGTACTGCTGCTCCTCTTCCGACCGGATGGATCCTGCAGTAGTAGCACTACGAAGAACATGCCGACAGTCCACCGATGGCTGTCCAGCTATCCAAGAGAGGCATATCTGAGATGGAGGTAATGCACAGCTGCACAAAATCTGGCTGCCCAGAGAGGGCTATAGTGGCTGCATGAATTTCTCAGAGGTCGCGAGATATAGATAGAGTGGTCTGAAGGCAAATGGCTAGATCTCCATCATGAGCTCATCATTCTTGAATTCACACTCCTGATGCACATATCAGCATATGATAATGTGCAGGGCAGCGATAAGTTAGCGGTTCCAGAGACAGGCCTGACATGCCCCACATTGGTTGGGCTGCACCTGCATCCAGGGGCGTGGTAAAATACTGTCAGTATTTTCTTCGGAGCCCGTAGTTTACACCTGACCTTTTAATAAGTAACTGTCGAGCCGATCCATTTGAACAAATTTTTCGCGCATGGGCCGACTAATAGGAGATTGAATGGAATAGTAAAAACATCGCATAATGTGGTTCGTTGCATCTCTTCTTGTCTTTTCAGAGTTGGTAGAGATACCTTGAAGGTTTCTGATGGTGATTTACTGATCGATGTCACAGGTAGGGTAACTTACAGACATGGTCCGTGCGTCACGGGTCATCAAGAGATCAAGCCACGTTGACGCCACACCCCGATGACGTTGCTCTCCAGAAACCATGTCTCGAACTGCCCTCTCTGCCCTCAAGTCTCAGTCCTATCATCATCTTCTATTCTACCAAAAGGGGGCGATTTTCTCATTCCTAGAAGAATATTCGACGCTCTACCTTTGATTTCAACCTAATAAGCTGTCATAATTACTATCATCCTACCTTGACAGCATGGCCACTGGACCGCCTCCCAACTACTGTAAGTTGCCCCCACCGCGCACGAGGCTGTAAGCCCAGACTAATACGCCGGGAACTTGACAGATGCTATTCTTGAGGTCGTAGAATCAGCGTCGACGCAGCAAATTCGAGATGCATACAAGAAGTAAGCTTACACCAAGCCCATCCACAACGCACTTCACAGGCTAACAGTTCGTCCCCCTCATCAGAGCCGCGCTGAAAACCCACCCCGACCGGGTGCCCGCCGACTCCCCAGAGCGGCCCGCCCGCACGCGCAAGTTCCAGCTCGTCAACGACGCCTACTTCACGCTGTCCGACGCCACGCGGCGGCGCGAGTACGACTCCCAGCGCAAGCTCTTCGGCGGCTCGACGCCGTCCGACCCCTTCGCCGAGAACGACACCAACGGCCCGCAGCAGGGCGGCGGCCAGTCGGGCTTCAGCTGGGCGTGGAACTTCTTCTCGGGCCAGAACCAGGGCGGCGCGGGCGCGCAGACGGGACAGACGCGCCAGGATGCCGAGAACGAGCAGTTCGGCGATGTATTTGAGGAGATGCTGCGCGAGGAGGGCATGGCGGAGCCGAACGGGCGGCCGACCAGCAAGTTCTGGGGCGTCGTCGGCGGCGTTAGCGGCGGCGCCCTGGGGTTCATCGTTGCGAACGTGCCGGGCCTGCTGGCCGGCGCTGTAGCAGGGAATAGGCTCGGCGCGGTGCGGGATGCGAAGGGGAAGAGTGTGTATGCGGTGTTCCAGGTGAGTGCGAGCGTGGAGGTGGGATAGAAACGGGAGTACTGCGAGTTGCTCGTGGGTATTGGCCCATTGGAACCGGGACCTCGGTGCACAAGATGCTGATTGGGAGCCTTCTAGGAACTACCACAAAACGATCGGTCGAGGCTGCTTAGCCAGTTGGCTGCGAAGGTGTTTAGCCACGCCGTAGGCATCTAAAGTCAAGAAACATATTGCGTTGGCCCCAGGCTAGCACCAAAGGGTTTCAGTACGGAGTTTCGGTACATGCTTTTGTCGGCCATAATCACAGGAGGTTCAGATAATCCACGATTCTGAAGAGACTGTCTAAATGAAACATGACGTTTCTTGGAGAAGTTGACGAGGGCCGCATCAGACACAGCCTGTGTCTTCCACGGACGGCGGCCATACTACTTAGCGGAGCGTTGTTATTCAGCACAGTAGATAGATACACACAATCATCTTTTTGAAGCCACCTCTGATATGTGATAGTCCGTGAGAATTGTGGTTTGAAATTACCCTGACAAACACCCAGATACCCGGTCCTGACCACCAGCTTCTTTGGAACAAGGGAACCTCAGCCTCCGTCTGACACACACTTGTTCCACCGATAAGAAAGAAGCTCGGGGTTGTCCAGACCATACCAGTTGATGGTAAAGGCACGAGCGGCTATATTTAAACTAATACTATTCAGCTTAGAATCAGCCATAGTAAGTGGCGGTATCATGGTCTAGCCGGTAGAATGGAGTGTCGTCTGGAATGGCGAGCTGAAGACAGAGGATTGAGTAGGAATGCTATGAGCTCCTTCCGCCCCAAAACGCCCTCTTACAGTGATTAGAATTGGGACTATTGGACTAACACATGTCAATTAATACAATGCTCTTTTCGAACCATGTCGAGATAAGGTTGGCTTGACTTGGCAGCATATCACCAATCTTAGCCGGATACCTGGCAATATCTCCTACAATTGGGTCGTGAGTAATCTATGCCGGACAAGTTCTCAACGTGCCACGGCCTGAGTGCAACTCGTTCCTCCGTTTGCACCCTCCACCGGCTAACGGGAAGGTAGGGCGACATTGAAGGTAAGCAAACTAATCAAGTGGATGCGGTTGGACCGCCAGTCGAAAGCTCTCTGGAGCTTGGGGCACATATACGGACGGGGCGAGAGATCGGGCAACGTCAGGCAAAATGAAATAGCACAAAAGAAATTTAGGTTAGGTATTGCTAGTAAGCTGTTTGGCTACACGGAATTTCCAATCCATCCACTCAATCTGAAGTGTTATTTTTTCTTGGAAAGTTGTTTGGAGTGGCTTTTGACTGCAGTAGCTTGTAGCTTCCCCCACCACCACCAGCTCCCACTGGTCGCTCCTTCTCCACGGCCAGCACACCCGGCATTTACTAAGGCCAAGGCCAGTTAGGCGAGAGGCAAGCCTAAGGCAAGGCAAGGAAGGGCAAGGCAAGGCAAGATCAAGCAGGGCAAGGTCGATTCGATTCGATGAAAGAGCGGTCGGGTTCGTGAGCAGAGCGTCCCTGCCCGATTTTTTCTGCCTTGCCTCCTCTTCCTTACCTTACCTTTTTCCATAAATACTCCTCTTCACCTCACACCTGCACTGGCCGCAGGTTTCCCCTCTGCGCGCTTCTCTTTTACGGGGCGACATGAGGAGGGAGGAGCAGCCGTCCGACCATCTGTGTACGATACGATAAGCGTGTACAATACAGCACGATCCAGCTGAACCAGCCAGCGCAGGGGCACAACGACGCTTTCCGATAGGCCCGAGTCGCCCGGCTGGGTCTGGGAAGGAGAGGATCTGGGCAGCCAGGGGCTTCAGCGTTTTTGGCCACGGCATTGGGTTTAGCGGCACATCATTCAGCATCCTCATCAAACCGCCCCCTGACTATCCACGAAAATCACCACCTCCTACGGTCTTACCCCTACTCGAGGAAACTCTACACGACCATCAGAGGAAGCAATCGTCAAGTCCTCACTATCTCATTGAGATCTGTCTTTTGTCGTCGTTCTCGACACATCTGTCAAACCGCATATCCTCAACCAGAAGGTGAAGCTGGGTGTTCTTGCCAGGTTGCGTAAGCACAGCAATTGCGCCCACTTGCCTCATCCCTACCGCACGTTGTGAGTGGTGGTTTCCTAAAATAAAATTTAATTCGTCGCTCAATCTAAACTTCGTGTTTTTTTGACAGATCTCCAATTGTCGACCCAGATCTTTTCACAACTCTGGCTTTCCCACGACGATCTTGACACGCGCACTCATTTTTCACCCGACAACACGTCTTCCTGAGACATCTGCATTCCATCAAGCGGACTTTCGTCATACTCACGATCATTGTTCTTCTTCGACTCTGCTCGACAACCACCTACGTAACCAAACCAAACAACTCGACTTTTTAAGCCCAGCGGCAGCATCGTCACTACTGTTCTCTTGACTCTCTTCTGTCTCCAGGATCACTCCTCACTTCACGCAAAATGGCTCGCATTCAGATTCCCCTGGACGTCCTGACGTCGCGCCTGAACCTTCAGGACCGCTTCGCGGGCATGCGTTCCGGATCTCTTACGAACCGGTTCTCCAACTTGCGGCCCATCTCCGAGTTTCTCGACATTAAGCGCATCTCGAAGCCTGTCAACTTCGCCGAGATGCAGTCCCGCGTCAATTACAACTTGAGCCACTTTTCCAGCAACTACGCTGTCGTCTTCGTCATGCTCTGCATTTACGCTCTTCTGACGAACCCCTGGTTACTCTTTGACATCATCTTTGTCGTCGCCGGCATGTACCTCATTGGAAAACTCGATGGTCGTGACCTCGAGATTGGCCAGAACCGCATCACCCCGGCTCAACTGTACACTGGTCTCTATGTCATTGCAATTCCTATCGGTCTCATTTCTTCGCCTTTCAGCACTATCCTCTGGCTGATTGGCGCCAGTGGTGTGGTCATTCTTGGCCATGCTGCTCTAATGGATAAGCCTCTCGAGGAGGCTTTTTCCGGGGAGGCGGTCTAAGTGGTCGGCCGCGAGCTCCCAAACGTGCGCCCCAATGGGGAAGACCATCGAGGCGCGGTCGGAGGAGATACACGGAGCGCGCTGGCTTTGTACAAGATTTATGGGGTAATGGAGGACGCGTTGTGGAGGAACTTGATACAGGGGATGATACTGATACACAAGGCGTTGGTTTGAGTTCTTCCAGGAGTTCTCGATTTGTTAGCGATCCATTGAATTTTACGGGTATAGACTTGGGAGAGGGCATGTCTCGGCCACGCAGGGACTACGCTTATGGGCACTCCGATGATGATGTTACTTCTCAGGATGATTCGGACCAAGACTCGGAAGAGGATTCTGACAATGCGGCACAAGTAACGCTACGTGGAAAGGAAGAGGCACTAGTCGAGTCGGCCTTGGCCAGGATTCGCCGCGCCCAGGTTAAAGGAAAGGAAGAAGTCAGACTCAATAAGGAGGAACTCGCAGCACTGGAAAGGAGGCGGAAGCGGATGCAGGCTGAAGCAGCCAGAGGAAGCGGCTCTAGTGGAAGTGAGCGCAGAAAGCGCAAAGAGGCCGAACAACGCTTTGCGGTGCCGATTTCACACCTCGATCCGACTTCACGCAAGAAGCGACCAACTTCTTTACATCCTGACGATGCTTTACCTCGCCATCCTTCCCCAGAGGCTGCAAACGACTCTCAAGAACGACTTCCACCAATGGGATTCTTTCCTCCCCCTTCTGCATCTCGCTCTCGACCTCGCTCTGCTACTTCTTCCTCTCAACGATTGCCAAGCCGTGGGGCTGGTGCTGAGGCTGGCTCTTCACCTTTTCGGTATTCCTATGTTCAAGCTGCGCCGCCATCGACAAGGCACGTCTCAGACACTGCAGCCAGGCCTCAATCCGCGCGTGGTCCTCACTATCATGAGGGATCGTGGTTTCCCAATCCCAACGCGGCTGTTTCGGCCCCTTCTGTCACTTCTTCTCGTCAACAAGCAGCACTGGATCCATTCCGTTATATGACTGCGGGATCGCCTGCGCCGTACCATGAAACTGGCGCTGCTCCGTCTCGTCGTCATGTTTCGGGACCACCTGGTAATGCTGAGTATGTCAATGTTCCTCGCGGGGCCGTTCCTGCTGCAGTCAGGGGTGGCAGATCCTCCAGACGTGTCAGCCTGGACGATACCAGCGAGGAGGCTAGTGAAGATGACGAGACCACGAGTGACGAGCGTGATCAGGGTGCCCGGGTTAGAAACTCAAGTGACTCGAGGAACCGCGAAGAGATTGTCGTTGTCGAGCGAGAACCTACACCAAGTCCCGAGCGGCCAAGGAAAAAATCGTCATCGGGATCATCTCCCAAGAAGAAACAGGTCGCTCTCACCTCAAGTCGGAAGAAGAAAGGGAGGTAATATCATTATCTGTTGAGTGTGCAAAAGGAATGAGTGGCTGAGAATACCCTGAGCAAAAAGCGTAATCGGGATTATGCATTGATAGACTAGTATGGGCTTTTAATAATAGTATTGATTTGATCTCCTACGTATTTTCGATATGACTGGTGAAAAGTGTTGGGTATTTACTGTCTGCGTAAATTGACTTTTGTCGGAAGAAGGAAAAGTGCCATCCCATATCATATCCAGGAAGAAAACGCCATTAAATACAGGGATTAATCTTTCCAAGCCACAATCTACCTACTGAACCATGCTCATGTGAACAATGGTCTTTAAACCTCGACTTCGTTTAAAAGAATTTCCCAACCATTCCCGCTACATCTCCCCAACCGCCGCCACCACCACCACCGCCTCCGCCCCAGGAGTCACGCTCAACGCTCCGCCGCTCCCACTGCATCCCGCCGTCGCGGCCCCGCTCAATATGGGCGCTGCCGCCGCCGCCGCCGCCGAGCCCGCCGGCCATGCGCATCGCCTCGCCGACAAGGCCAATGCTGTCGCCGCCCATGGCCTTGGCGCCGATGCCGAGGGCGCGCTCGAGGCCGGCGGGCATGCGGAGCCCGAAGCGGGCCAGCAGGGCGGTCAGGGCGCCGCCGGTGATGAGCGGCATGACGACCAGCATGAAGACCTTGACGGGGTGCCGCTTGGCGTAGTAGACGAGGTCGCGCAGGAGGCGCTTGACCTTCTTGATGGTGCGGGACATGAAGGAGGGCCGGGGCGAGCGCTTGTAGTACGAGGGACGGCCTGAGAGGAGCAAAAGAGTGTTAGAGCTGCGTTGTGCACAAGGGGGTGGCTTGCTTGAAGAATGAATTGGATGTGGCAGGGCTTACTCAGGCCGAAGAAGCTGCGCGTGCTGACATTGGGCAGGCCGAAGAAGCTCGACTTGCTCGAGTTGTGCTTGTGGTAGTGGCTGTCGCCGCCGAAGATGGAGCCGGCGATGCTCTGGCTGCCGTGGTGCCTCGAGCGGGAGCGGGACCTGGACCTCGACTTGGACCGTGACGACTTGTGGTGCTTGTCATGCTTATCGTGCTTGTGGTGCTTCGACGAGGACGAGTGGTGGTGCGACGAGCGCCGCGAGATGACGGAGCCGCCGTCCCAGTCCCAGAAGCCCATCTTTGCGTGTAAGAGCTCTTTCTGGCAGCTTACACCGCTCGATAATATATATATATATAGAGTTGATCTCAAAATAGGAACTTGAAATGAGGCCTTTTGCGAAAGTGAAGAGCTGCAGTTCCAGTACTCGCAGCCTGCTTGCGCAGATTGCACTCTGCTCTATTCAGCTCAGCTCAGCGCAGAACCAATTGGGGACGAAAGCTGCAAGCTCTTTGCGGACAAGATGGGATTGGACGGATAGCGGCCACCACGATAGGGACCAGCCGTTTTTCTAGCGGTGAGAAATCGTGGGGCTGGGAGAGCCGTCCCGACTCCTGATCCACGGCGGGTCTAGCACCGTTTCAGCCTAGCGTTTTCTCCGCCAGTTTGCAGGGGTCAAGCCACTCGAGCCACTTTAGCACTGACAGCCACAGCAGAGACAGAAGGACGGCAGAGCTCCGAAGAGCGGTGGGCTGAGAGAGTCACCAAAAAAGTTGCCAGGGCAGAAAATTCGCCATACTGCATACTGCATACTGCGCAGAGTGGCACGTTAAAAAAAAAGCATCTGAGGTATGAGTCAACAGCTGGGCAGATACTCGGCTATATCTTTGTATTCGCTTGCAAGTAGAACCCAATTGACATTTTCTCCTCTCCAGATTCTCAGTCAACACCTTCTGTCGGTCCCAATTGCATCTGCCAGTCCCAGACCCCGCCATCAGTCGACGTCAAAGTCCCGTCCCCTCCGCAGCATCCACACCACGATGGCCTCCACCATACTACACCTCCGCTCCGAGACCAAGCCGCTCGAGCACCGGAGTGCCCTGACGCCCACCACAGCCAAGAAGCTGATCGAGGCCGGCTACACCATCAATGTCGAGCGCAGCCCCGAGCGCATCTTTGACGACAGCGAGTTCGAGGCCGTTGGCGCAACGCTTGTCCCCGAGGGCAGCTGGCCGAATGTCCCCAAGGACCACATCATCATCGGCTTGAAGGAGCTACTCGAGGAGGACTTTCCCCTCAAGCACGTTTTTGTGCATTTTGCGCATTGCTATAAATTTCAGGACGGGTTTGAGACAGTCCTGGCCCGCTTCCCTCGCGGCGGTGGCACTCTCCTTGATCTCGAGTTCCTTGTAGACGACAACGGTAGAAGATGCGCTGCGTTCGGCTACCATGCAGGCTTTGCTGTAAGTGCTATGTGATCTATCCTGACTTCCTGTCTTGGTAGTGTGCTGACTGTGTGCCTAAAGGGTGCAGCTCTGGCGCTTGAGACGTGGGCGTGGCAACTGAACCATACCGACCCCTTCCCCGGCGTAGCTTCATACCCGAACGAAGACGCTCTGATTGCAGATGTGCAGAAGGCGCTCGCAGAGGGCAAGGCAAAGGCCGGCCGCTTCCCTCGTGTAATCGTCATTGGGGCCCTGGGCCGTTGTGGCCGTGGTGCCGTGGATGCCTTCACTCGTGCTGGTGTGCCGGATGAGAATATCCTTCGGTGGGATATCCAGGAAACGTCCGCGAAGTCTGGTCCATACAAAGAGATCACCGACAGTGACATCTTCGTCAACTGTATCTATCTCACCTCTAAGATTCCCCATTTTGTGAGTCTGGAATCGCCATTTTCGTGTATTGGATGTAAGCTAATCTTGAGTTCCCCCAGGTCAACTTTGAGAGCCTCAAGGATGCCGATCGCAAGCTGAGCGTGGTGTGCGATGTGTCTGCAGACACCACGTCGCCATTTACACCTGTCCCCATCTACACCGTTGCTACCACCTTTGACAAGCCCACCGTGCCTGTCGAGGTCGAGAGCGGGCCCAAGCTCAGCGTCATCAGCATCGACCACCTGCCGTCGTTGCTGCCGAGAGAAGCCTCCGAGGCATTCAGCAGCGACCTCCTGCCGTGCCTCCTGGGCCTCAAGGACTGGCGCAACCACCCGGTGTGGTCGAGAGCGGAGAAGCTGTTCCAGGAGAAGGTGGCGGCTCTACCCCCTAGCGCCCTGGAGAAGTAGAAAAGGGGCTTGTAGATATGTTGAGATAGGAAAGGGATTTGGATGGCGTTTTTGGAGGATGTCTTATTCTTCATCCTGAATCTTCTCAGATGCGTAGACAAAAGCGCGATATAGAGACCAAAAAGGAAAGACCCACACGAAAGGGGCCTTCTGATAGAATCTGCTAGGCGCGAGCAAATGGTATGACGAGTTTTGAATGAGACTTTTTAGCAAGAATCTTCTGGAGCATGTGAGCAAACATATTTCCAGTGTTGAAGACGAGACGGGTACATGAGTACTCAGCCCACGCCCTTTGATTCGGACCCTCCCCAGCGATTGTCACGAAGCGGATGTTGTACACATGGAAATCATAAGAAGATGCTGCCCAAAATAGCAACCTAGATCGTCTTCATTCAAGAGCTAATTCCCTATCCGTCACAGAAAAATACATTCTCTCGATAATCAACTTCATAAGCCGTGTGCTAGACCTTAGCCGCCGTGCCATGGTCTCCTTCCCTTGCCGTTCATCATGCTGCAAATATCCTACCCATCTTCACTCTCGTTTGGCTCGCTTGCTTGGCGCCACCTGTTTCTCCTGTATAACCCCAGCAGATTTGCGCTTGCTATGACGCCTTCGCTTCGGTTGGGAGACACCTTTATGCTTCGGTTGGTCGGTTGGGCGGCGAGACTGTTGGTCTCGGTAACGAGGTTGAGTGTCTACGTAATAAGTTTCAGTGGTTGTGTAGCGAGGCTTAGTATCCAAGTAGTAAGATTGACTTGGATAGGTAGTCTGAGTATCAGGATACTTGGTCTGGGCCGCTGGATAGGTGGACTGAGTATTAGAATACTTGAACTGAGAGCTTGGATAGGTGGACTGAGTATCCGGATAATGAGATTGAAGGCCGTGATAACGATATTGAGTACCTTGGTAGGGGGACTCAGTGCCTTCGTAGCGAGGTCGGTTGCCTGAATATCTGGGCTGAGTGTCTACATAGTGCGAAAATGTATCTGCCATGCTGGCAACTCCACGGGAGGTCGAGCTTTGCGTATTACCAAGAACTCCCGATGCACTTCTGTTCTTGGTCTGCATCTCGGTGGCCTCTTTTAGGTCCACAAGCGACTTCTGCACGATTGTGAGAGACTTTGTTGTTTCCTTCAGGCTCTTCTCCAAGTCACCCTCCTTCTTAATGCTGTTCGCAAGCGTTTTCTCCACATCGGCCAGTCTCTTCGCCGTGTCTGCAAGCTCCATCTTGAGCTCTGCTGCCTTCTTCTTTTTCACCATAGGTTGATTCTCCACTTCTGCAATTCTCCTGGACATATCTGCAAGCTTTTGCTCGAGGTCGGCGTTCGTATCCTTTCTGTCTGCAACTGTCACTTTCTCTTCCTCTTCCTCTTCTTCCTCGCTGTCTTGATGGGTAATCTTCGCCTCAGTGGTTAGGTCCTTGACAGAATGCATGGCCTTACAGCTCAGGCTCTTGTGTGCAACCTCATTGACCAAGCCGAAAAAATCGTCGCCAGTGATTTCACTTCTGGCAACAAACTTCATAATAGTATTGAGCCGCTTTCTCAGCTTGGCCTTGTCGTCCTTGGGTTCCTTCATTGTGACTGGGGAGATGAGGTGCAAGAAAAAAACCGTCGATGCTGATTGAGGTTAGAGTGAGGGTGTCACTCAATGATCTGAGCTTATTGTGAGAAGGCGTGAAAGGGCAGGTATGTATGATGATGGAGATCTCAGTCTGCTAAGATTCTACGTGTTTGCATAGATTGTGTGGCAGTGACGAATGATGTGTGAAGGACCAGTAGCCGCAGATGGGCTGAAGATGAAATCTGAATGAGCTTTCCAGGCTCTGCGACGTCAGTATAATCGACTATCACTTTCTCGAAGGGTTGAAGGAGGCTCACACCTTGTGGACGAAAATGCGAAGAGCGAAGGGCTGGCTGAAATCCAGATATCTCTTCGAAGGAGCTTGTGACCTACAAGGTAATTTAGGTAGAGGATGAGAGATCCGCGGGGAGACTATGCTCGAGTTAAATCAATCCTTAGAAAACGTGGTTCGCGAAAGCTTCAAGGACCTTCTCCGAGACACAGATTTCCTGGTGAAAGTCGAGACTCGCTTGATTATGGGATGGCTTTTGTTTTCGTTACACGCCCAAGGAGGTAGGTATTGTTGCGTTCTTTCCCTAAAGAAATGCGACAGCTCTGTGGCTATTTGCAATGGGCTCTCCTACTCTCTCGTGCCTTTCTGCCGTCCGCTTGACGTAATTCATGGCACAATCGGACGAAACAACCTCCAGCTTGGAAGACTCCGGATAAGTCGCCTATCCAATGTCAATCCTCTCAAGATATCCATGTTTCTATGTGAATATGCGCATTGATGATTGGTATCGTTAGGAATTCTTACATCATCCAACACCGAGAACACTCCTAAGGCTAATGAACATACAATCAATTATGTTTTGTCGAGCTATCTGTTGCCTGGACGCTCGATGTAGTCCCTTGGGAACTCTTCTCCAACAGCCTGTATTGGAGCACGGCGGCTCGAGGCAACGAAACTCTCCGTCACATTCAGCTCCTTTAGCTGTGAATACCTCGAATAGGAAACCCAAAACCACTATTCTTACCAGGCAGCACTGCAAGGTTTGACACGAAATCACTACTTTTCTGGCATTCCATAATGTTCACCACGGTTGCTTGATATAGCCCGTCGATCTTCTGCGTGGTCCTTTTGCAGAAAAACACACCGTCTGGGGCATGCCGCCGTGTCAGTTCTAGAAAATTCCTAGTCTCGCTGCAGTATCGAGAATGGACTACAAGATTCATCAAAAGAGTGATTTCGCTTTAAATCAGCCGGGACTCGATTTTAGTTGATTTGGAAGGACGATTCTCAGAAAGGAGAGATACCAGGCACGCCTTGAGCCTTCCTAGTAGGCGGTCCCACACCCGAAGAAAGTGCTTATCCAGCGGCCCTACAGGGCTGATTAACTAATCCAACCAGTCACGGCTAAACAATCGTATGACTGACTTGACGAACCAGGAACACAGTTGTTGCTGACAGCGATGCCATACTACCTGCGTTGTCCGCCCGAGGTGAATGAAATAAAGGATTACTGATCACGTTGGTTGGTCACTTGCACTAGGCCGCAGTACCTCAGATGCGGGATCTCCACTAACCAGCTGGCTGGGCCATCTATTCGGCGTCTCAGTCCAGATCCCGGTAACTCCAAATGACCGCCTTCGCTCTCCTAATCCGAGCCAGGCACGGCAAGTCAAAAGTACCTTGGCTGCTTGGCCCTCAGATAATTCTTCATTACCTGAGCTGCCTGCGCCGACGTTAGATCAGGGTGTTATCGCTTCTTGGCGCATGTACGCAGCGGCTGTCCACGGCCGAGGCTCAATTGGTTGCGATTACTTGTCCAGGCCGAAAATAGCAGGATTCGACGAAGCACCGGGATTTTAGACTTAGGATTTTGCTCGGCTAGTAGCCCGATAAGTCTGCCGCCAACACCGATGGCCGCGAACATACACAATAGGCGCGCGCGCCGGAGAATGCCATGTTCGTCAAGATGGGGCGGGTAATTCGTACGGCCGTTACATAATTAGATGTCTATCCTTCAGATGCGGAAATTTGTCATGCACATCTTGAGAAACAGGGTGTTAATTCCGCTGTTCTCCCCCCTATCTCTCGTCGACACCTTAGGTAAGCTTGTTATAAGTCCCATGCACCTAGTCCCCTTGCCTGAGTGGGCCATTGTGGTGGAAAACGTCTCATCGTCCAAGGTCTTAATGGTTCTGCCGGCTTGTATTGCCTAGATCCGGTGGCGATCCGGTCCTCTTGAGGTTCTCACGATATGCTTATAAAGACGGGTCTTTCTATTTTGGTACCAGACTTTATAGCACTTCTCCCATTATCGCTTTAGTGTAGTGTGTACTCAGCAGTGGTTACTGGACTGATCCCCTGACACATCAGATCTCAATAGTCTCTCATCAAGAGGCTCTCGGCCGTATATACTGTTGAGCAACCAGTGTTGGCAAGGCTGTTTATGGAAATCGAGCCTGTCAACCGAAACTAGCTCAGGGCTCACTAAGCCAATCTATGCGCACCGAGCGAGCATGTTATAAGACTTATAACCCATTCAGGTATCTAGAGGATAAGCATTGTCTGGAAATCAAGTACTGCAGCTGGTTTGACATCGAGAGACAATGCCTGAGTACCAATTCTTCGTCTCCGATGGGGCGCCCAAGCCGGCGAATAAGGCAATGCGCAGCCATGCCATGAAGACCGCCCTGAGAACTCGTGCGGCTCAGACACAAGATCCCGCCGAGGGCCCATCCGGACAGTCTGAATCGCAACGGACCAAGGACTCGAAGGATAACTTGAAAGGGAAATTCAGACTGGACAGCAAGGCATCCTCGAAACAAAGGAGTAAAGATGCCAAGCCGGTCACGGAGCAGCCTTCTCAAGCTCTTGGGCCATTCATTGGCCTCCAAACGGAAAAGCCCCTGTGGGTTGTGGATGGGGGGCTGGGCACTGGCCCTATTCAGTGGTTTGCTAACGGATATGTTGACCCTTTCGGTATCATACCGGTGCCAAACAACTCAAGAGTCGAGAAGATCCTCAAGTATTGTAAGCCCGTGCCCACTCGGACCTCAAATTCGTGACACGCCATATTGATTCAACTAATTTCTGCAGATCTGACGAAGTTCACGATCAACTTGGCTACTACAGATAAGGAACGGCCATGGTTTGGTCTGGCCATGACTTCGCCCGTAATCATGCACATTACACTTGCTCTGTCGGCCACTTTCTGGATTTCAGATTGCAAATCAGAAGATGTCGTTGTGAGAAGGGAAGGTCTCTGGCAGAAAGGAGAGACAATACGCGTAGTCAATAGACATCTACGCAATGGCGAGGTCTCGGACAACGTCATCGCTGCCGTATCCATTCTGGCCAATGTTGCGGTACGTAATCACATCCTTTCTATGGCTCGACCGATACTTCTTAGCTGTTCGGGGTCGGACTTTGCAACGGAAGGGAGACCACCCCTACGATAACAACCTTTATCAGTCACCTTTTGGACTAGTTATCTAATTGAATCTTGTGCAGGGCCTTGAAGGCTCATTCGAAGAGGCAGACATGCACGTGAAGGCTGTCGCACGCCTCGTGGGTCTCAGGGGAGGAATTCAAGCATTCAAGGACAATCCTACCGTTGCACGTGCAGTGAATTGGTAAGTCTCAGGCTGGCGGTGGCGTTCATTAACACATAACTGAACGATCTAGGGCGGACATTCACATTGCTGCTGGAGTCGGTCGCAGGCCCCTCATGCCACTTATTCACGGTCTTGAAGAGGTCACTCTACCCGACTACATCATTGCGGAGGCTGAGAGCCCGAGCCTCTCTCTTCTAGACAGTCTTGCATACGGCAGCAACATTTTGAAGACCATATTTCTGTTCTTACGTCAGGCCATTCTATGCAAAAGATACAAGGTCTGTGTTCCAAATGGCGTCCGAATCATTTTCAACATAGCGGATTGCCACATTCTCGACCACCTATCCACAGAACCCGTGTCACCAGATGCACATCGCTTCAAGACGCTCCTACTTGCCACACATGTTTTTATATATGCGGTGAAGCGCCAAATGCCCAAGGGCGGCGCTATCGTGTCCATCCTGATTGAGCGTCTCAAACTATCCCTGCAGGCGAGTGGCGTGTATGTCATGGCATGGGCAGATCACCTACCGGCGCTGGCGTGGGTGCTCTTCATCGGCGCAGCGACATCAGAAGGGGCTAACGAGGAAAACTCAGAGTGGTTCTCATCAAGGCTGCAGTTCGTCGTCCACTTGATGCAAATCAGAAACAAAGCGCAATTGCTCGACCGCCTGAAGATGTTTGTATGGACGGAGGACTGTTGCAACAACTTCTTGAACATATGGTGGGAGCGGGCATCCTTGGATCCAGATCGCCAGCTGCCCTTGATAGTGGAGACAATACGCAGACAATCGGCGGAAGCATGTTGATGACACAGCACACTCAATACATAGACTGGAAGTCATTCGTTTCCATCCTAGCAATAATAAACGGGCAAAATCTTTCACATCTCTTATCGTAAAGGGGTACCCTAGCCGTACCAGATTCTGTAGCTTGAATGAACGTTCCTTCGAAGAAATGATGATATTGCTACTTTCGCCTCTCCTTCAGTGAGACTGAACGCCTTTGCATGATTCATGACACCCGCGCGGTATTGTATTTTGAACCCACTCTTTGATGGTCGTCAAGAGCCGTAGAGTTGGACCAGCTCCGAGATCAACCCTGAAAATGCTGGCCAATCAACTTGACACACATGCAGCCAAGAATTTCCCGATTTGGAAAATACTCAGGACCCACCAAGTTGCTAATCTATGTGTAAACTACAGATGTCTTTCAACCACATCAGACAGTGACAGATTTCCTCCACTTAGGCAGGAAAGTCATGCAGAATCATCTAGCTCAATATCGCAGCTGTCGGGAGGAGCTATGTCTGGTGGCCAAAGCCGTCTCAACCCTTACTAACTCCTGACTGGACGGTTCGGCGGTGCCTCAGGTCCAGGTCACGACAGTTGCCTAACTGATCTCACAATGCCTTGCTAGAAGTACGAGACACCTATTCTCCTAGAAAGCAAATCGAAATCCATCTTAGCTTGGATGTTTGAAAGATCTCTTGTTAATTCATTTCGTACAGTTAGGAAGTCGTGTAAGCCAGCTTCAACATGGATACAAGGTGGTCCGTGCAAAGAGTGGCTGGTTAGCGCTAGCCTCAGCCTCAGGCAACCAGCGCCCACGCGCCACAGCTCGCTCACCTTTGCAAGCAACACGCAGCTCCAGGTTGCCTGAAGCTGTCTCCAAACGACGTAAAACCAACCCCAAGCTTCAGAACCTCAACGTCGTGCCTCCCCATCGCCGTCAATACCCATCACCACCTCACACGCTAGCAGAAATTCAAGATGGTAAGCTCCTAGCGCACTGCTCTCCGCAATTGCCATCGATTCTTAGCTCACATTTCCGCTTCCGTAGACGTCGATAGGAACAGGCTACGATCTCGCAAACTCCATCTTCTCGCCCGACGGCCGTAACTTCCAGGTGGAATATGCCGTCAAGGCGGTCGAGAACGGCGGCACATCAGTCGGCATCCGATGCAGAGATGGCGTCGTCCTGGCGGTTGAGAAGGTCGTCACATCCAAGCTGCTGAAGTCCGGCGCCAACAAGCGGATTGCAACGGTCGACAGACATCTCGGCGTGGTACGTTCTTCTCATTCCCATGCGCATTATCGATTGATTTGAGGCGGCTTCATCTACTAGCAGCGATCGGCAAGCTAACTCTGCTGCCAGGTCTATTCTGGCATGGTCCCCGATGGCAGACATTTCGTCGACAGAGCCCGCGACGAGTCCCGCTCCTGGCGCGACACCTTCAAGACCCCCATCCCCACCGCTGACCTGGCCAGCCGCATGGGCGGCTACCTGCAAGCCTACACCCTCTACCAGTCCGTGCGCCCCTTCGGCATCACAGCGATCATCGGCGGCTTCGACTCAGAGCTCGAGCAGCCCGTAGACGGCGAGGTCGGCCGGGGCCCGTCCGTCGGCGCCGGCGGCAAGGTGGCAGGCAAGAAGCACGGCGGGCCCTTCCTGTACATGATCGAGCCGAGCGGCATGTACTGGGGCTACTACGGGGCGGCGACGGGCAAGGGCCGGCAGGCGGCCAAGGCAGAGCTGGAGAAGCTGGACCTGGCGGGCGACTCGATCTCGCTGGAGGAGGCGGTCAAGGAGGCGGCGCGCATCATCTACGTGGCGCACGACGACAACAAGGACAAGGAGTTTGAGCTGGAGATGAGCTGGATCAGCGGCGCCGACGGCCCCACCAAGGGCCGGCACGAGGAGGTGCCCAAGGCGCTGCGCGAGGAGGCCGAGCGGTTAGCTAAGAAGGCGCTTGAGGGTGATGATGACGAGGAGGATAAGAAGGACGATGAGAAGATGGACGACTAGGACGACATCCTCTGATCATCGCCGTTCGTTGTTGCTGAAAGTTGAATGACCAAAACCAAACGTGTACTATCAATACCGCTATAGGCGTAGCTTAGGGATTCATAGAAAACTTGCGGGCTGGACTTGGGCGTCTCAAGTCTACGTTTTTTCCTGATTCTACTGTATTACACTATCTGTCTTTGACTCTTCAAGCTATCCTTGAGTTACCAGTACAGTTTTGTGGGTATCTATATCAATTATCCTTCAGCCAGCTGTGGGAGACTGGCACTGGCTCAGCATCCACGAATTCCATTCAGCCAAGAATGAATGCTGGAATGCCGTCTTCTCCTGGACCCATTTCGCCACCGTCTCCGCATATAAGGAAGAAATGGATGGGAAGCTGCTCTCGTCTTGGTAGAAGAGGCTGGAGATGACAATGAGATTAGCGGTGGAGGCTGCCTTCGCATGAGCGTGCGACAAGTCCTTAGGCACTTCAGCATGGATTTCCTGCAGGAGTTCCAGATATTCATTCTTCTTCAGTCCACCAATCGGGTCTTTCCGGCTCCGCACCTTTCGCAAGGCCTGAGAGAAGCTGATGATGACCTCGCACGCCTTGGATGCGATGGCCTTGTTTTGTGTAGCTTGCATGCATTGCAGCAGCGGTACCAAGAGGCTGAATGCCAGCGCATTGGTTGCCTCCTTCTCAACGTAAATTGCCAGGAAATCCAGAACGCGATGCTTGAAGTTGATGACCGTCTCCTTGGCATCCTTGTTGTCCTTTTTCTTGTTCATCTTCTTGACGCGCTGCTTGAATACCTCGGTGAGCTTGTCGTCTAGCTCCATCATCTCCGAGTCGCTCATATCCGAGTCGTTATCAGATGAGTCTGCATCCTTGTCTTTATCCAAGCGATGGCTTTGGAGAACCTTGGCTAGGGCATCGTCTAGCTCTTTCAGGTTCTGGTCATCTTCCCCTTCCTCGTCTTCCCCATCATCGCTGTCGTTTTCATCGTCTTCATTTTCACCTTCCTCTTCAGCGCCATTTGCATCTGCCATGCCAACAAATTCCACGTCAGAATCAATATCAGACCCGTCCAGATCCTCATCATCGGATCCTTCTCCTTCTTCGATACCCTCCATCTCGTCTTCTGTCTGGAAGAGAGCTTGCTGACCCTTTGCACTTTCTTCGGCGTTGAGAGTATCTGTCAAGAGTTGAAGAGACTCTGCAGTCATCAAGGATGTGAATGCTTCAAACACGCGCAAAGACGACTGTCGCAGCAGGCTAGATGGCCGAGCTACCAAAGAGAGGAGAACCTCCACAAGGATGCTAGATGTCTCTGCATCGCTCTTCTGCTTACTGGAAAGGCTCGCATAGCACTGCTTTAAATCACCCAAAACCTCCAGAGCATCAGGTTCTTCATTATAGAGCTGAAGAATCGCGACGGCATAAAGCAGGGCTAATCCTTGGTTGGGTCCCCGCGATTCGTCGGTCTTCTTGCTCTTCTTCGGTGGCTTCATGAGCGACTGTAGCTTTTCCAGAGCCTCAACAAGCTCAGACTGCAGCTCCTCATCCATCTCGACGCTATTGATGTCGATTGAGAGAATTGCATTGCAGAAGTCGGGGAAGTCCTCCGGTTTCTTAACAAATTTCGACAGAGCTGCCATGAAGCGGCCCCGTAGCATACTCTTCGTCTTTTCGGTCAGAGCTGGCAAAGAATCGTCTGAAGAGTAAGAGGAGTGGGCGAATTCGAGCAGCGCCTGGCCCGCTACTGATGCCTCTTGTGTCTCACCGGGTTGCAGCTCTTCGGATGGCACTGATGTGAGCTTGAAGAGATATTCTCCATAGACTCTCCCGTGACTCTCAGCATGTTCACTATATCCTTGTTAGACTCGCAGCTGTCCGGAGTACCGAATCGATTGGTAATGAAGAAGGAATATACATACGCTTCAGGCGTCAGGAGCACAAGCCTCCTGATCGCATCAATGACAAGCTTGCCATGCTTAGCTTGGGTGTGTTGTAGAATCTTCTCAATGGTCTTGCTCCTAGTGCGCTCGTCGAAATTGTAAGCACCATTGTCGCCCAGAAGTTCCTGCAAGACTGGAAGGACCAAGTCTGGGTTCTTCTCAACGACTGTTTCTATCGCCTTGAGGGCTTTGGTTGCAGCACGGTGCAGATATCGATCCTCCTTGGCGGCTTGGTTCATCAGACAGATCATTAGGTTCTTACTGAAGAGATTGTCAATGACGAAGGGTTGGGAAGCACCTCCCTCGAGGAATTTCTGAAAAATCATGAATCCTGAGAATTTCTGCACATCTGCCGCCCCCTTGGAAAAGAAACCCTGATCCACAACTCGGGTCCAGAAGAGTTTGAACTGATCTGAAGTGCCATCACCTTTGAGTGATGACTTAATGAAGTGCGCGAGAATGATGTCCCATACAAAATGCAGCTGTGCACTCCATGAGCCTTGCTTGTGTTTGGGGGCACCATCAACAGCGTTATCCTCGGACCTTCCGCTATCCTTCAAAACGGACGCAAGATCTTGAAGAGATTTGGAAGCCAGTGGATCTCGCCAGGTCTTAGCTGGCACCTGCAAATCACGGAATTTATCCAAGACCACAATCCAAAGGCCAACTGCCTCGGGGGACTTGGCCAGGCCTGCATCTGCAATTTTCTGGAGTGTCTGCTCGGCCACCTTCTTCTTCATTTGCGTCACGGCCTGGATGATGACCCAGACGCACTGTGAGCGCATCGAGACCTTCTTTTTCGCAACCTTGAGCAGGCAGTTCATGATAGCCTCCCACCTCTCCTGTTCCTGGAAGACGACATTGGCCCGGACGAAGCATTCTATGCCGAACAATTGTCCAAAGTAATGATCCCTCTCTTCCTGGCCCGAGATATTTCCCACAGGCTTGGTCTTCTCCATCAACGTATTCAGGACGAAATCGAACGTCAAACCTCGGTATCTCGAGGACGATAAGTCTTTCTCTCCAAACAACTGCTGGATTATCTCGGTCAAGACGATGCTGAACCCTAGTCGCGATGCATTCCGGCCGCTAGCCAGGCCTCGAAACAGCCGCTTCTCGAGATGCCGGTCGAGGACGGACTCGGAAACACCTTCGCCATCGAGCAGGGCGGAGATGATTGTGTTGGCTGCATCGAGCCGTTCGGTGTCGTCTTCACTGCCGAGGAAATTATAAAGAGCCCCTTCTCGCAGACGTTCCTGGGTGGTGGTGAGCTGTTCGGGGAAGGGCTCCTTATCGAGCAGATACTTCTTGTTATCGACAGCTGCCTTCTTCGCGGGTGCAGAAACGTCTGTCTTTGCCTCGGTCTTTGCTCTTTTCTGCGACAGGGGCACGCCGTTTGCGCTCTCTTTTGCGCCGCGCTTTCGCTTGTTCCCCATCTTGGGCAGGGGAATCAGGGTGTAGGCCGAAACGTTTCAATTGGAAAGGTGCGTCTGCCTACTTTTCCTGGTATACAGATTAGACCCCGCGGGATCACCACACCAAAGTTTGGAGCTCAACTTTTTTTTGGAGCATGGCATTACTGCAGCCTCTCACCGCCCACCGCGAGCCATGCTAGACTGCCGGACTTTTCTCTCTAGCAGTCCAGGGACTCAGGGATCTGTGCGCCTGGCGCCGCGTAAGCTGTGCCGCATCAGTCCCCTAAAGTTACCCGAGCCGATGAATGTTTTTGCGGCTCATGCCAGTCAACGTCTCGGGAACCCCTGAGAAAGTGGGAAAGAAAGGTAAGTTTTTACCATGAGTTCGGGATGTGGCGAGACAAACGAGGCGTTTTGTAGCAACAAGGATGTGCACCAACGTCAACGTCAACCGGCGGTCGAGGCTATACCGAAAAGCACAGCAGCGCCGAGAGGACGCATCACACGGCGACAATGCGCTATGCGGCCGCCCATTTAGGATTGTGAGGTGTCGCGTGCCCTTTGCCCAGATTCGGGGTCTTCCTTTAGTCACCTGCATACTTTGATTTGGCCTACCTCTCATTACCTTAGGTATGCAGGTGCTGCAATGCTGCAAGCCCTCGGGGCTACCCAGGCGAGCCAGGTACCATACATCTCTCTTCATTCATCCTAGAACCCCTGCCCTGTGTTTCTCGTGTTGCTTACTGCGAGCCGCCAACTAGCCTATGAGTATCTCGTAAAGCGAATCGGTGGCACCACTGGCGTCTACGGCATACTGCATAGTAGTCGATGGTAGCCTCTTTGCAGCGACAGGGGCCCCGCATATTCGGCCTTTCAGGGCGGTTGGCTCGACGTGACTGGTCTGACTGGTCCCTGACAACGACCAACACGCAAAACTGACTTTGGCTCCGCGACTGCCAAGACCTGAGCTAAGGAGCATTAAAGGGTATCCGGCGCAGTTGTGGGGGCATCGGGCAGACCATCTCAATCCCCATCGCATGCCTGTCTGTCTCCAGGCGTTTCCTCTCTCATCCCTTGTTACAGTCCAGCCCAGCCCAGCCCTGCCTATGCCCTGGCATTACTGAGTCGCATTGTCTGCCCTGCGGGTGTGCGCGCGGGCGATCTGAAGAGGGCGAGAAGAGACCAGATGGAGTGCGTAATGAGTAGGACGTGGCCATCGTCTCGTCTGTTTGACCCTAAGCCGGGCGCCCCGTGGGCTTCCTGCGGCTGTCCGCGACGGGGCGTCGTACAGGTACAGGTGCAGGTGTGATGTGTGATGCGTGATGCGAGCCAACTGCTTTGTTCTCTCGTTTGTTTCGTTCGGCTCGTTCCTGCGTTCCCTCACCCGCCCGCCAGCGCACCCACTCCCATCGCTCCTGCCATTGCTAATGCTGCTACCTTACATTGCCTTGGGGGTTAGCTAGTTGAACTAGCGTGGCAAGCTGTCATAAACTTAAAAAGGTAGGGCAAGCCAGGTAAGGAAGGTCTCGTCTGGTCTCGTCAGGTCAGGTCGGGTAAGGCAAGGCAGGCTGTACAAGACGCTCCTTCCTTATGATGTTATTCCTGCTCCTGCTCCTACTCCCGCTGCCAACAAACGAAGAGTCGTGACGCTCATTCGGCAGACTGCGCCCTGCTTGTTGGTCACTTACACTCACACTTTTCCCTCCAATAGCCGCCAAGGTGTGGTGAGAAGAGGATTCTCAGCTTCTGCTTGGGCCTGGCGTCTTCTTTCATCCCTTGCCTTCAACCAAATTACTCTCGAGTTCTTTACGAAGCCAGAACCACCCCATACCAGTGCCCCTGTCTCTTTCTTGGGCTAGGTTGAGTCAGGTACCACCTGCATACATACCATCCCATATACCGTATCATCGGTCGTTCTTGCCTTCGCCGTTTAAATCCCATCTCCCTGGCTCGCCCGCTCTGTTCCTGCCTGGTGCGGGAGGGCGGCCACGTTCCTTCCCATCCCGTCCCATCATATCCAGCCACTGTTTCTTGCTGCCGTCCGCCTCCCGTGTCTTCTTTGTCTCCCGGTTCACTGCTTCTTTTTGTTTGTCTTTCATCGTCGCCGTTGCCGCCGCCGTCGTCATTGTTCCTGCCGTCACTCGGCCAGTCGCTCCTTCTGACCTCATTCGGCGTCGTTGCGGTGGGAGAGAGGCACTGAGATGCCCCGCGGCCTCATCATATTGTCACGCGACCATTAGATTACCACAGCCGACACAGCAACAACATCATGTTAGCAGCACCGCATCGAGGCAGGAGGTGTTCTACCCGAACCCTCTTTGCCCTCTTCATCGCCTTTCTAATCACCTCCTTCTGGCTGTTGGACGTGCACTCCCAACCGCCGAACCTACCAGTCCATTTACCAACATCATTAGACGACAGTTATCCTGCATATCCAAGCCCTGAGCTGAAAATATTCTGGAGCGACCTCCTCAATGAGTTGGTTGGCGCAAAGCCCTTGGCTGGGCCAGTTCAGGTCATAGGGCGGCCGAGGGACGAGGATATGGATCCCAATAAACCCTACACAGACGGCTCTCAACCGACCGATATTATTCGCATCAACGATAGCGATAGAGAAGGACTGCAAAATGCTCATGAGCGGTTTGCTGCGGCAGTGGGACATCTTGCACCGAGGATGCCTTACAAGAAGCGATCCCGGGGAATCGTTATGACGGCGGGAGGCAGGTACATTGGCATGGCTATAACGTCCCTCCTCATGCTACGGCGAACTGGGTCCAACTTGCCAGTCGAGCTGTTCCTGGACTCGGCGGAGGACTACAACCATCATCTTTGCGACGAGCGATTACCGAAGTTGAACGCGAGATGTCTCATTATGGACGACGTCTTCTCTAGCACACCCGACATGCCAAAACTGGAGAAGTTCCAGTTCAAAGTGTTCTCCATCATCTTCTCGGAGTTCTCTGATATCCTGTTCCTCGACGCCGATGCCTTTCCGATACACAGTCCGGATTACCTCTTTGACAATAATCCCTACAAATCATATGGGCTCGTGACATGGCCTGATCTTTGGATGCCAACGGTGTCGCCAGTGTTCTACGATCTGGCCAATTTGACAGCCCCGCCGCTTAAGAGCCGGCGGAGCTCAGAGAGTGGGATTATGATGTACGACAAGAGCAGACATGCCGAGAGCATCATTCTGGCCTCGTATTACAACTTTTACGGTCCGCACTACTATTATCCCCTATTTTCTCAGGGGGCGCACGGTGAGGGTGACAAAGAGACGTTCCTTCACTCTGCAGCAGTGCTAGGGAAGCCATTTTACGATGTCAAGACGCCCATGGGCTTCCTTGGCAGGTGGATCAAAGGGGACTTCCGAACAGCGGGGATGAAACAAGCAGATCCAGTCGAGGACTATAACTTACAACTGTTGAAACGAAATAAGGGCCAAGCCAACAAGGAAGAAAAGGATGGCAAGAATGAGAAGCGTGCGCGATGGCTGTTCCTGCATCACAATATAGTGAAACTCGATCTCCGTAAGATGGACGACCCTGTGGATACTGTTTCCGAGTTGAACGAGAACGGCAAGCTGATGCGGATGTGGGGCGATGATAATAAGCTTATCGAGATGTCGGGGTACGATGTGGAGAAGGTCATGTGGGAGGAGATCATCAAGGCGAACTGTGAGACGTCATATTTTGAGCAATGTGAGAGGTTGAGGGAATTTTATACCAGCGTGTTTACACCGCCACCTTCGGAATGAGACCGGGCTGGTGAGTGCCGCTTTGGCGGCTCTGTATCAAATGGTGTTTTTGGGAATCGGGTGGATTGGCATTTCATAGATGGCATCGAGCGCATCGCTCTAGCATTCATGGGTATGAGGGGCTGTGATTGAGGACTCATAGCTACACATCATAGTCATGACAAATGAATTAAAGTTTGAACAAATTGGGTCCTAGTTGGGACAGCGTAGGATGTTGTAGCTCGCGATCTTGACTACATATATTTGAGTATACGTCATTTTAGGAGTGTTTGTGATTGACTAGTACGACATAGATATAGCGACTAGTCCTACCAGACGGCTGCCCGTGGTCTAGCACAGCATAGGCATGATGCCTGCCTTTAGGATTTTAGTGTTCTGACGGACCTGGTTCGATGAAGCCTGGGTAGTTATAGATAGGAAACATAGCCACACAGCTGACTCGGCCCAGCTATCCCTCCTAGCGGTCGGAACAAGCGAGGGGATCGACTCGGGGGCGTCGTTTTGAGATAGTATGATACTAGGGCACTGCTGTGGTCGTGCCACTACTATCGCAACAGTACTTGAGCACCTGAGACCATTGCTTTGTATCTTTGATACGACAGAGCGACGCTCCTGATGCAAGAGCTGATGATAGAAGAGCGAAGCAAGCAATTACTTCGAACGACTGTATCCTACCTCAACATCTAGGTAGGCAGCGCTGGTGACTGATGATCATGAGAAACAGCGGTCTGGTGCTGCCATGCACGTATTCCTCTGCCAGGGCCTCTTGACTGTGTTGTATCCATTTAGATGCGTGGGGCCAACGAACCCAAACCCAGCTTTGTGATATTTACGAAGCCTTTAGGCTATTAGAATATCTGTCGTTTAACCTATGGTAACCTAGATTGCCAAGTGTTTTCCAAGAACAAATGGATGGCCTTGTCCGTTCCCTTCGTATCCTACTTAGGTAGGCATCATAACGTTCATCTGGCTCAACTAGTGTCTCGAAATCTACAGCAGATAACGCCACACCACAGCCCACATAAATGAGAAAGCAAGCGAGGTAGAGGCTCCCGTACGATAATATATATCAGGGAGGCGGGCCAAGCTTAGGGCAGTCATAATTTCACTATGTAACAGACACTGATGGATCTACGGCAGCGAGAATAGGTAGTAGCACAGGCTGTTTCGCAATCTACAGTGCCTCAGGCTCTGCTAAGCGAGACAAGAGCGCCGGATAAGAGTCACGGCGTCATTAGCTCGTATGTTGCCATTCTCGTATAGATTCGGCTGGGTCTGGCATCAGGGTATCAACATGCTATAAGAGCTAGCTTGGTTGATGGGTAGAGGTGCGATAGTCGTCCCGAAAGTAGATGTCTGATTTCCGCCACTGGATGCCTGGTATATTTTTGCCCGCCGAGTCGTAAGGCCTAGGCAGAGAGGCATAATGCCGACTGAGCCATCCTTCAGAGACCTGACCAATATCATCCGTGCCATTCAGACGTGTTTCGAGACTGACAATCGAAATGTTTGACGACTACGCTAAGTTGCTGGACGAAGGCGGCGATTATGTGGGGTTAGAGCCAGCGGTTGCGCTAATTGTATTTCGGCGACGGCTAATATTGGCGCCATTTGGATTTGGTGAAAGCATTATAATGTACTCCTGCGAGGTGTACCGTTTGTCTAACCGAAGATGTCGCGATGCGACGCGAACGGACGACAGCTGTACTTTTGGTGGCCAGCTGGCAGAGCTTGCGGCAGAATTCTTCTGTCCGTCCGCGAACACTGACAGGCCCAATTCGAGCCAAAAGCGCGAAAAAGTGCAGCACCCGTAAGGTTGCGGCACGTGTAGTAAAGTGTTGTGCGGCACTCCTATCAATTGCCGAAATCAAAGCCTCGTCCTTCCAATATCGGGGGCTTTGCCAACAAGAGGACTGCTACCCATGCATCCTCGCTGATCGATATCAATATCATAAATTTTCTTGGCCGTCCCTCGTTATCTGACTGACTGACTGACCGACTGACTAGATACGGTTCTCGTGTCCGCAATGCCGTGCCGAGATGTTGGCAGTTCAAATGCCGATATCGCAGGCCTGGGGGTCAGTCACTGCCTGCCCTCGAAAGATCCGTCACCCCTCAGCTAGGTATCTATCTAACACGTGCTAGATTATCCTCTCATTCGTGATGCAGGGGGGCTTGTCGTTCATCCTGTCGATCTGGTCCATGGTACTGGAACTCCCTCTAGGGGAGACCTATATATCCAAATGGTGGTTGGCTACCAGCCGATTTGGGATTCTGACTTCTCCTATCAAGCGCGCATCTTCTCATACTGAACAGCCAGGAGCCCCAGTTACATACTGGATGTCAGGGACTAGGCGACATGACATGGAGGTCAAGAGCAAGCTCATCAGACGGCTGCTAGCAACAATCAGTGATATTCAGACTTTAAATGGTTGGCCACATACGCCTTTTACGAGTTTGTCGCTGTTGCAAGAAGCGATAAAGCTAACAGGGAAAAGGCATTGCGTTGTTGATTGGTGCGTTCGCACAAAGCAACCTTCTCAATCTATATCATTATCATATAGTCTACGATGCCGTCAACTTTACGGGGTAAGATGCGGCCTACAAACAGCGAGACAACAAACTAAATTGCTTCTCCCAGTGTGTCAGCATGTGCTGCGCTCGTTATGGTGTCCGGAACAGCAGCCGGATCGCTGTATCGACTTATACTCTTGGGCGTTTTCATGGTCCTCTACCTCGGGTTCGTCATCTTGTTTGGCCTGAAACTAAAATCATGGGACGATGAAATTCCCGGGCACTGCTACAACGCCTATAGGATGTCGAGCACAAAAGCACTGCATCCTTACGTGGACACAATCTACCTCGCACTTACCAGTGTCTGGTTCTTCCTGAGTTTGGGATTGTCGGCTCAGACGGCAATATCGTCCCTTGCACCATTGATTCTCGACTTATACCTACTACCAGTAGAGGCTCAGGATCAGCCCAGAAATTCCAAGAGGAACTTTTCTGCTTCTTACGCCACAATCTGGAATCTCTCTCTTGACTGTCTTGGCATTGGGTTGACGGTATTAGGGGGCTATCCTTTCCCGTGGGTCATCGGGAAGCTCCGTCAAAAGCCTCGATGGGAAGGGAGTGTGGCCAAGATTGATAATCTGCTAGAATGGCTCAGCCCCGCCCTGGACCAGCGATTCTTAGTTCTTGTGATCGCTCTGTTCCAGTATCCACTTCATAGTTACATGCTTTTCACCCTTCGGACTTCGAATGTAGAATACCTCTCGGGAGATTCCGAGAATACCTGGGGGTTTGGACAGGTCGTGGCCCTGGTGCTGCTCGGATCGACAGCTTTGGAGTGCTTTCGAGCGTTCATCGGTCAGTCTAATCTCTGGCAATTCCCCTATTAAACACTTATCTGGAGACAGAGTATTTCATTTTGAAACTGAAGCGAGTAACATCTAGCCCTAAAGCAAAGGAGTCATTTAGAGTTCTGCATGCTATGATAATTTTGGTGGAAAGGCTTCTGGTCGGCATGGACGATAAGACAAAGCCGAACATCTCAACCGCCGATACTGGGATGCAAACGTCACCGTCCATAAGTAGTGTGCAAACGTCACCATCCAGAAGACGGCGACAATCTCTTGGGCCTGACTTTTCTCCGGTATAAGGGCCCACCAGAAAGGGCGTTAGAAAATTAGCGACTTGTTAGACTTGATGGTGCGTAAGGATTATATTGAAACTTCACATAGCAAGCGGCACTATTGCATATTTATCACTTAGGTATATTGGCACGTAAGTTGTGACGAGTCCTGTCCAGTATTATTCAATTGGGTTTACAATATTCACCGGCAACATGTCCGAATACTTAAATTGCGTTCATCTATATGTATCAAGCATATCCTTCTTGTAAAAATCCTTCTTTCAGGTACTTCGATAGGTAACTAAAGGTCCTTTAGGTTCATGTCCTAAGATAGGTCGAGGGGCACTTGAGTAATATAACACATAAGGTGATCGTAATCTTAGAGATCCTAGTAATTATAGAATCAAACTATATTATTAAAAGCTAAAGAGCTAGTTTCTTCATCTCTAGGCTTACAATGAAGTAGATGGACTCCAGGTACCTTACCTACCCATCGCCGCCATGTCGCTGTGTGGTCAAAAACTACCCTTGACCATGGTCTGAGTATGTGGCCATACTGTCTCGCTGTCTGTACTAATTCTTTGTAACGCTGCGTGCGCGAGTGACCGTTACGCCAAATGAACCAAAAGATTCAGCAGTGTCGCCTGACAGGCGACACCCTCGCGCTCCAGCTACTATAAGGCTTTTCCCTAGCCTTACAGACTGGAAGGATCGTTACAATATAGTGCGCGAGCATATTTACTCTTTCTTTCTTTCTTTCCTTTTCCTCTCTTTAGTTAGATCGTAGCTAATACTTGATCCTCTACTGCGCTGTTAAGCCACTATTGGGTTCTCTCATAGTAGCTTTTTCTTTTTCAAATTTGCATCTTCTTCTATAGAGTTTAGCTTGCTAAGCTTTCAAGTCACAGAGAGCTCTGGTGATAGCATAGTATTGATCTACTATGCTAGTTTCTTGATGACAATTCCCGTTGTATGGACATATGGTGACAGAAAGGAGACCGTCTGTGTTTAGTTGTGAGTTAGAGTCGTCCAAAATGACACCTTGTTATAGCCCTCGCGAAGAGTTGACAACTCTTGTAGCAGATCTCTGACGGTTGCAGAGCACTGCTAACTGGGCTAAACTACCTAGGTATGTTCGTGGGGCACCCGGTGGCCAGCCTGTGCCCGTCCTGCTTAGCGGCGGTTTAGCGCCTGTTCAGGCGGCGAGGGTTCTGACGATCCTGACGGCAAGATTCAGGAGCTATTACAGTAATACTTGGCCGGGAAACTCAAATGCTTCATCATGGAAACAGTGGAAACATCTCAAGCATTGACAAGAAACTCCTGAGTTAAGCACGTCACTAATAAGTTTGCTACATATTCACAG